CTGAGGGCAGATGGGGCCCGCTCGGCGACCTCAAGAATCCTGCGAGAAGGTATATGAAGCCCAAGAACATAAGGGCGACCGCCGCGATAACCTTTAGCCTGCTGCGACGGACAAGCGGCGGTATCCTCGAGGTTCTCGGTCGGAAGGGCGGCGGATTCGAGCTCTTTCGCGGGGGGTACGCGAAATGCATCTTATCGATCAAAATAGGGCAGTTCGTAACGTGAACTTGTCAGGTCGCAATCGATCAGACTGTCGAGGTTGGATTGGTATAGCAGTCGGCGCTTCTGGACGGAATATCGTTTAGGACAAATAGTCTTCGGGTGTTGAATACGAGAAGGAACGCTGACCGTAGCCGTTGCGATCAAAGGCTTGGCGTGGAAAGGAGGAACGTGTCAGCGAGCCTCGGGGGTTGAAAACGTTCGTGGGGATTTCGCGGGGGTTTAATCCACAACGACGCATTACTTTCGGTATTTGGATGCACCGGGTGACACCTTCAAGACCGCGCGCAGACTTTTGAAATGAAAACGGTCGTGCAAAGGGAAAGGCGGGCGGTCGAGGGACAGACTGTTTAACACGAGCTCGAAGGCATAGCTTCAAGGGTCCACTCTCTAGAACATAGGTCCAGACCGTGTCATCGTCCTTGGCCCACCATCCACTGGTGATTGGCACGGGCGGTGATATTATTGTCCGGCCGGGCGGACCTCCACTGCCACCCATCCGCTCCCCTAAGCCCCTCGCGGTCGCATTGTGCCCCATGAGCTAATAAATAGGCGATGACAAGCTGCGGGGTGGTGATGACGCTGGCTTTTATTTCAAGAACAGTCGGTCGGTTTTTTACGAGGTTTCTGATGATGACATGCATGGACACGTCACCTTATTCTTAAGGTACTGGTCGCGAATATGTAAATAAATGAGTAGATATACTTGAGTGGGTTTTCGGGAAGCTTTCTCTGTTTTAGGGAAGGGGCGCATTCCTGATGCCCGAAGCCGTGTCCAGCAGACTCCCTTGTGAATTTGTATCAGATTGCGCGTTTACCAACTCAAATGAAATTGACAGTTGGCATCGGTATTGGTCAAGTCAACAAAAAGTCGACTGATTAAAAAAATCAACCTGATGTCATCCGTCTGCCCTGAGTGAATATGGCCAAAACGGACAAGTTCAAGGACAGAACGGGGACTTGATCTCCGCACACAGACTAGTTGACACGATATGGAAGAGAATCTTCGAGGCAACTTAAGAGTGTGCGGAATGAGCATCATTGAACCAAAAGAGGTATTAGTGCGCTTCAAGCGAGGTTTGTTCCATGAACGATAGCATTCGCATTGTCCCGGGTGCCCGCCCTACGTTAGTCTTCCTTGATATCTTCATCTTCGTCCTCGTCATCACAACCAACATCGAATACTCTATCGCTCGCGCGTTGCAGAGTTGAGGCACTGAACTTTCTCACACCTTTCCAAACGCCCCACATGAAGGTTGCTGCACCTAATAAAACGAGAGCCATGTTCATGTTCTCGACACGCGCACGTCCTGTTCCGCCCCGGCGGCCAGTCGTACCAAGGAAACCGCTGGACCGAAGGTGCCACCACTGCCATGGTGTCATGACAAGGATGGTCTTGAGGAATCCAAGTAGACCGAGGGACAAGAAACCCTTGAGGAAATGTTCCAGCCATGTTCCAGGCTCTTCGTGTATCTCCGAAGCGGGCTCTTGAAGGGCCTCAATGTCTTCGAGTACATTTGCGGCCACATCGGCAATTGCGCCTATAGGATCAGACCAGATGTTCAAAATCGGGTCGGCGATAAAACCGAGAATGAACACCGAGACAACGAAAATGAGAATGGTCAGTAAAATTTGCGCAAAGGTGCTTTGCAAGCGGTGTGCCCACGACAGTCGCTCGAGTGTGTACCGGTAGCCACAGGTAGGACATGCGAAGAAGTTCCGTGTGGCCGTTGCATCGGCATATCTCCAGGCTTGTAAACAACCCTCGTGAACGTAGCGTTGAGACCCCTTGCACTTGCATGGTGAGATGAGGCGCCCAGATTCGGGGTCATCGGACTTATAGATCGGTCGTGGAGGCTGGCCCATGAACCCATCCATGGCCGTTGGTTCCTCAAAGGTAGGATGAACCACCTCGAAGCAGATGCGGCATGTTCGCGGGCCGTAATAACGTTGCCTTGGAGGAGCCTCAGGTTGAGATTGTTCCTGATGCTGATGTTTCTCGTCCTGGTTATGGGTCTCATGCTGGCTGAACTGCGGTGTTTCGGCTTCGGCGGCCTGAGAGTGGTCTGGGCCACTTGGAACATCAGATGGCCAGTTCCACTGAGGCTTCGCTGTTTCCATAATTAAATGAGAAGGAAGAATTGAGGCGGGAAAGTCGGTGTTGACGGTCCTTTATAAACAGAGAGCTGCCGGAGTCGTGAGATTTCTCTAGCCTGCAAGATGACGGAGAGCAAAAAAAGAACAAAAAATTGGGCTAAAAGTAGCGGTGGACTCTGTAGGGGAATGTTGGCCCAACGTGACCAGATGCAGCAGCACCTACATGGCAGGAATCAGCGTAGGCGGGTATGATAACCTGACCATTTGTCCTTTCGGAAATGGTGCCAAGCGGATAGAATCTTGGAGGAGGTCATGCGATGAGATGAGCAAAAGGTGAAAAGAATATTCCAGCACCACTTTATCTTGAGCTCTTGCTGGGTGGTCATAGCTTCCTACCTCTCTCATTATATAAGCACAGATGTCCCCGGATCAATAGCCTAGCCGACAAAGTCACGTGCGCCACCCTTCCCGCGGCGGCGCCCAGACGATTGGCAGCTTGACGCGGCGCGAGTTGCCTAGGAGGGAGAGAGCTTCGTAGCTCCGACAGCCTCATACCTCGTCTTTAACCGCAGCCAACCCACCTTCGATTCTCCCCATTACTTTAACAACGGAAAGCATATCGCGGCAACACGTTTTTTAACAGTCAAGCAATGGCCGACCGTTACTCTTTCTCGCTGACGACATTCTCGCCCAGGTGTGTTGCTCAGTTCAATTGTATGACGTTTGTATGCTGACTTGGTACACAGCGGCAAGCTGGTTCAGATCGGTACGCTCCCACACTGCCCCCACCATTGCCTATTCGCGGCGAGGATGAGGCTGAAGGCTCAACAAACGGACTGACACTATTATTACAGAGTATGCTCTGAACGCCGTCAACCAAGGTGTCACCGCCCTTGGCATCAAAGGCAAGCCCGCTTGCCCCTCCTGTCACGGCCCATACTAACCCCTCGGAAGCCACCAACGGTATCGTCCTCGCAACCGAGAAGAAGTCATCATCGCCGCTGGCCGATCCTAGCTCGCTGTCCAAGATCAGCCTCGTCACCCCCAACATCGGAATGGTGTATTCAGGCATGGGCCCCGACTACAGAATATTGGTGGACAAGGCTCGCAAGGTGTCCCACACCGGATACAAGCGCATCTACAACGAGTACCCCCCCACACGGATATTGGTGCAGGACGTCGCTCGTGTGATGCAGGAGGCGACCCAGTCTGGTGGTGTTCGGCCTTATGGTGTCAGCTTGCTCATTGCTGGCTGGGACGAGGGTATCCTGCCCGAGGACGAGGCCGAGGGCAAGGAAGGCGAGGAGAAGAAGCCCACTGGCAAGACCGGCGGCACCCTGAAGGGTGGTCCCATGCTCTACCAAGTCGACCCCTCTGGAAGTTACTTTCCTTGGAAGGCGACGGCCATTGGCAAGAGTGCCACGTCCGCCAAGACGTTCCTGGAGAAGCGATACACCGAGGGTCTGGAGCTTGAGGATGCCGTGCACATTGCGTTGCTCACACTCAAGGAGACCATCGAGGGAGAGATGAACGGAGAGACCATTGAGATCGGTAAGTGCCCGAAGTCTGCCACGTGACAAACAACTGCCTAACCAGAAGGACAGGTATCGTCGGACCCCCAGCGGACCACTTGCTCGGGATTGAGGGTGTTGAGGGTGCCACAGGCCCTCGCTTCAGGAAGCTTAGTCCTCAGGAAATCGAGGACTATCTTACGAACTTGTAATTTCCGCGACGACTGGAACGGTCTAACCTTGTATCATAGAACAGCGTAGAGACATGGGGGCAGTGAGGATCTCCGAGCTCTAGAATCAATGGACGACCTGCAATGACGATTATGCGAAACAAGCTGACTGACCTGTAACTGTCTGTGATTGTATCAACTTGGACTTTGCAACTGCGCACTCTTGCCATGGATGCGTCATCCGACAACAAACACAGAAAGATACTCAGGCTGAAGGTGATATCTCCTGCCCCCTTCGATACTCCGATGGCTGCCTAGGCTATAGTAGGCACCAAGCTGGCAAGAGAGCGGGACGACGGAGCCAGATATCAGGCAGCAACTGGAGATGTCCACTGTCGAAGCTGTTCACCAACTTGAGGCGCTGTCGGCCGCCCCCTGGCCGGCGCACATTCCATTGGGCACTTCCAAAGCTGAAACACACTATTGACAATGATGCGCCTAGGATACTGCATTGGGCCTGTCATTCTCATCATATTCAAGTTCCATAACAGTCATAAGATGCCGATGTCGATCGTTTGCAGCAGTCTGCAGCAGTAGAACGCACATAACCCAGCCTAATAGACCGCTTAAGAGCCGCGTCCCATGCATTGGTCCAAGTGGCATCAGCTCCGCACCATCAACTGTCGTTTTGAAGAATCCAGTTCGGGGCGCCAATCCTGCACTGCATCTACCTAGTCTCAATATCGTGAGAAATGTCCCATACAATGCCTGGTAAAGATTGATTTGTTGATGACTGGAGTTGGACCTGAATCGCCCAATTCTCGAGGCACTTTATCGCACTTCATTTCAGCTATGATGCGAGGGGCTGCCCCTGTCCATTTCTCTTTTTGTTTACATTGACCCCAAAGGAACAGAGCAGACCAACTTATGTTCAGAAGATACCAAATTGTCTTCCCGCAATATCCGAGCCCTATGCTATCGCCTCTAAACAATGTGGCTGACCGCTAATCAGCAGTGTTCGATTTTCCATCTGCGTTAGATGTGCCCAGAACCTTGAGGAAGAATGAAACATCATGCAACTGCCCGATGGCACTTGTAGCGTAGTTCGGGCAGACACCCCATTCAGTATACCCAAGCCTCAAGTAGAAAGTACGTGCCGGACTCTCCGTCGAGGTGTCTAGCAATAGCAATGTTTTGCCCAGTGCCTCCAACGCGAATTTCTCTGCCGTAGCCATGAGCATCTTACCCAGCCCATGGCTCCTCTCTTCTGCGGCGACCATCAACTTCCTGACCTCTGCCTTGTGCGCGTGCGTCTCTTTCAGTTGAGTGGCCAGTTGGAATGTCCCGATGACTTTGAAGTCTGGTTGCGATGCACGAGTGACAACGAACAACGTGGTTGTAGGTTCCACCCCGAACAGTTGGGCTGATAGTGATTCCCAATATGCCGTTGCTGTGACTACAGAGAGCGGTGCGCGAAAGCCGAGAGAAGACGAGGCCGGATCAATATTGACGCATGATTGAAGAAGTCGGCATAGGCCTGGAATCCATTGTTCAAGGTCTCTTTGGCTTTTTACTTGATGAATGGAGAAGCTTTCATAACTGTCTTGATACGTCATTCTGGACATATCGTTGTGTTTGAAGCGGCATTGTAGTTTGCCGACGGTACAGCACACAGGGTGATCTCAATAAGCAGAGGCTACATCTCGACGATGCCTCGTTCTCATACAGGTGAGTCATAATTAGCCGTCTAGCGTTTGGGTCAAACCAATACGCCGTCATTTTGAAAGCATTATGTCATCTACTCTAGGCCTAGGTGAATCCTAGGGTGCTCTATTACGACGGGTTTTGGTGAGAATATTGCAATTGTCTCTCTCTCGGATTCTCTGAAGGAGCCGATGATATACAGCATAGCTTCCATCTCTTGGATGGTATATCATCACTTGTGTAACTGACACGTAAAAACCAGCGTCGGTTTTCGATGGCATGCCACAACCGAATTCGAGCTCACAACCGGTGGTCAGACGTTGATGTTACACAGCATTTCGGCCTCAGTCATTAGCGCCTTTTGGTTGGAGTCATCGCGGGTTCGGATCGGCCCCCGACGAGACCATGTCCCCCCCAGGGCGGTTGTGGGCAATTATTCCTGAAGGTACATAGGTAGCCTCACCCCTCCAAAGTCCAAGATATGATTCGCCAGCGCCAATGTCAGACTCGTTGGTTCTTTCCTCCGAGCCGCATACAGTATGCCCAAAGTCCCGCACTCCTTTCAAGATTGAGGCCACCAACAAAAGAAACCAGATATCGAAGTTGTACAGTAGTAGGCATATTCCGTTATGAAAATCCTCCTCGGCACACGGGGATGACGCTATGGAGCCATGAGATACCATGATAGGTACATCCTCATTCGCCCGGATTCATCTTCCCTTACGACGACTTATCAAAAGTTCCCGTCTCAAGAGCCAAGATGACTCCATCATGCCGTGCGTCATTCGTTACGAAGCTGCCTAAGCATCGAAGGTGGGCTGGCCGGCCTCCTGCATAGTATTGGAAACCAACGCGCGAACGCAACTGCCATCACGCACACGGGGCTTCGAGACTGGTTTCCCCCAGCGATACATCACTTGCAGGCAACGAGAGGGTACGACCCCCGCACATATTTAGGTAGATAGGCATCAGTTGTCCCGGGTACAACATTTTCCTCCCTACCTAGGTGTTCCAAGGACTTTTGTGCCTATCTACACACGCAAGTGCTGTCGCAACAAGACTCGCAGCACTACCCACAATTTTCTCAATTTAGCCAACCATCGTCTCCAGGCACTCGCGAGTCCCAGTTACGGCCTTGCACCGCATCCTTTACACTCCAACAGTACCCGAGCCCTGCATCGAGCCACCCATGTCTAGGCCCTCCGTGTCATCCGAGTTCGTTTAGTGGGTTCCCGAAGGCATGGCTAAATCTCATCCGCGAGTCGCGTCATTTGAACCTACACCTACCTAGCTACCTGGCACTGTCCGATTGACTCAGGCCGACCACACCGCTGCCGGGGTAGTCTTGTCATACGGCCAGGTACTCTGGAGGGCTGCAACTGCACGATTCTGCTTGGCTACCCTGAAAGTACTTTACATCCCAGGACTGTGTTTAGGACCTTGGGGATGGATCTTCAAGTCCACGCTAGCAGCCGTCTGACAATGCCTGGCTATTCCCAATCGTCCTCAGACGACGGCTTTGGCCCCTTAGAAGATGTGATGCCTGCTGATGTACCGGCCTCCTGGTCTCAAAACCAAGACGTCCTCTCGGCCGCCGCCGAGGATGTGTTCCTGGACAATGAGGTTTCGTTGCCTTCAGACGAGCCCGCGCCAGGCATACCGGTCATAATGAATGCAAGAGCATACCAAACTGAGATGTTTGCCCAAAGTATGAGGCAAAACATCATCGTAGCTGTACGTGAATACCAATCAACCCTCGAAGAAATGACGGGCAACATTTAACACCCGCGCAGATGGACACCGGGAGTGGCAAAACACAGGTGTAGGTGGACTTGCTTTGATACTCCTCGCTGCATGGTGCTTACGCAGGCCTTGACAGAGCTGTCTTGCGAATAAGGGCAGAGGTGGAAAGGACTTCATCAAAGCATGTTGGTTTGACTCCCTCTGAGCTGACAGAGCTTGGGCTTATTGAGACAGATCGTCTGGTTCCTGGCCCCCACGGTATCACTATGCGCCCAACAGTTCGCGGTGCTCCAGTCTCAAATTCCCGAGGTCCAAATCAAGTTCCTCAGTGGTGATGACAATGTCGACTCTTGGTCGGACCAAAGAACGTGGGACGAAGTACTTCATAATGTCCGGATCGTTGTGTCGACATATCAGATATTGCTTGATGCACTGTCGCATGCATTCGTGCGTATGGAGAGGCTGTCCCTGATTGTTTTCGACGAAGGTATGCCATCAGAACTTCTCTCGAAGCTGTGCGGGCTGACGTTGGACTAGCTCATAACTGCATCGGTAAGTCTCCGGGGAGCAAGATCATGACGGTCTTCTATCACGAAGAGAAGAGCAAAGGTCGTTATACACCTCACATCTTGGGTTTGACGGCAAGTCCAACATTTGGCTCCAAAGTCGAGGGCATCAACGCCCTTGAAGCTACACTGGATGCCGTCTGCAAAAGCCCTACAGTACATCGCAGCGATCTCCTTGCTTGTGTCAAGAAGCCAACTATGACCTACATCTCCTTCCAACCTCATAGACACTACGACCGTCCAGGCAGCTTGCAGAGCCTGAGGAAAGCCATCCAAAGCCTTGATATCCTGGATGATCCTTATATTCTCCACCTTCAATCGGAGGGGACCGAACGTAGCCAGCGCGCCCTCGCGGCGGCTTTGGAAAGCTACGACACCCATACTCAAAACCAAATGACGGCGTTTGGCCGCCAGGCGAATCAGATATTCAGCGACCTTGGCCCTTGGGCTGCAGAATATTACATCTGGGTAGTCAAATCACGGTTCATGGCTGCGCTTCGGTCACAGAGCATCTGGTTGAACACATGGAAGGATAGCGAGAAAGAATACCTTGTCAAGATTCTCAGTCAGGTCGAGTGCCAATGTCCGTCGGAGGAGACAATTAGCCGGGATGTTCTGTCAGAAAAAGTATTCTTACTTATCGAGCAGCTCTTGCAAGACAAGACCGACATCATGGGCATTGTTTTTGTCCGAGAGAGGGCGACGGTCTCGGTTTTGTGCCACTTGCTCACATCTCACAAGCTGCTTCGGGCTCGGTATCGGATAGGGACCATGGTGGGCACCTCGCAGTTCCAGGCCAGGAAGAGAGACATATGGGATCTCTCTCGGAGTGAAGACTTGCAGTCGCTGCACCAGTTTCGAAATGGGAACACCAACCTGCTCATTGCGACCAGTGTCCTTGAGGAAGGCATTGACGTACCGGCCTGTAACGTGGTCATCTGTTTTGATAACCCGCCAAACCTGAAATCCTTCATTCAACGCCGCGGGCGAGCCCGGATGAAGGACTCGAAACTCCTGATGCTGCATGATTCCTGGGGGTCTGCTAAGAGGGAATGGGCGGCTCTGGAGGCAGAGATGAAGAGCCAGTATGAAGAACAAGAGCGAGAGCTTGAGCATCTCCAAGAGGTCGAGGATACTAAAGAGTCGACAGAGATGAGTTTTATGATCAACCAAACAGGGGCAGTCTTGGATCCCGACAATGCGAAACAGCATCTTGACCATCTTTGCCGGATTCTGTCGCCAGGGGAGTTCATCGACTGGAGACCCGACTACATCATCAAGAAGCTCGGCGCAGTAGACGATCCCGATATAAGGGCCACAGTGGTTTTACCGAGCTATCTCCCGTCTCATGTCCGTACCGCCGAGAGCCAAACGGCGTGGAAGTCGGAGAAGAACGCCACCAAAGACGCCGCGTTTCAGGCTTATGTCGGTCTCTACAAGGCAGGGCTCGTTAACGACAATCTTTTGCCGTTCAGGCCGGAGGATTTCGTACCTGGTGCTGGCAAGGTACCCGCAATTATTCAGGCTAATGGTCTGCTTAATGCTTGGGTCAAGGTGGCCGAGGCTTGGAAAGTCGGGGACAGCCTGCGGTCGACCCGCATCCTACTCAAGGACTCAGCCGGGGCTCTCCAAGGAGAGTACGAAATGGTCCTTCCCGTCTGGATTCCAGGGCTGCAGACAATATCCGTTCATCTGGACTATCTTACCACCTGGTCACTCGAGTTCGGGGAACAGCTTCCCATCGACGAGCTGACTGGCAAAGATGACACGGCTGTGCTGCTCGCCCTGCCCTACAGCCACCGCTGGATGCCAACAGACGCTCAGCAGGTCGTTAGGTTCAGCGTGGTTGACGGCGCTGATCTCTCTGTAACCCAAATCGGGGCCAATGAGTTCGTCCAAGGACAAATGTCGGCACACGATATGACGTGCTTCATACGTGATCAGTCTGGATGTCCTCATATCTACGACGGCATCATCCCCAAAAAGCCGGCGCCCCAGTCTGTACAAAAGACGTTTTACGAGTTCGAAACGGCGCCCGAAGACGTGCCCTATATAGCACTGAAGAAATGGTCGCGTCGATCAGACTTCCTCCATCGACCGCAGAGCGAACCCGGTCAAAGTCCGAGTAGTTCCAAGCCATACAACCGAGTCTACCCTATGCCATGGGCAAAGGTAGACACAATACCAGCCAAGTATGCCCAGTTTGGGGTGCTGATACCCTCCATTCTGCATCACATCGAAACCCGCCTTGTCGCGCGCGAGCTATCTTTGGGTCTCTTGAGGCCGTTGGCGATCTCGGACCTGTCACTGATACTCACAGCCATCAGCACGGGGAGTGCTGCCGAGCCTACCAACTATGAAAGGATTGAGTTTCTCGGAGATTCTATTCTCAAGTTCTCCACTACAATCAACGTGGCCGCCTTGAGTGAGTAAACCACATCATGTCTGCTACAAGACGCACATGCTAACGCCTCCCAGACCCGCAATGGCCAGAACGGCTTCTTTCCTTCCACAAAGATGCCATCGTGTCCAACTCGACTCTCTGTAAGGCCGCCGTTAAGCACGGGCTTGACAGGTACATCCTCACCAAGCCGTTCACGGGGCAGAAATGGCGCCCAATCTACGTGGACAGCGTCCTTAGTCGCGGTCAAGACAAGTCCACGAGGAAGATATCGACAAAGACGCTCGCAGACATCGTCGAGGCGCTTATAGGGGCCTCGATGATCGACGGCGGCCTGGACAAGGCGCTCAAGTGCATGTCCATCTTCCTCCAACAGATCAATTGGAGAACTCCGGACGCCTGCAGGCTGGCGTTGTACAACGTCTCTCCCCCGGACGTAGAGCTGCCCTCGACCCTTGAGCCCTTGGAGCAGCTCATCGAATACGAGTTCGACAGGAAAACGCTTCTCATCCAAGCCATGACACATGCTTCGTTCAACCTCGGCAATCCCTTCGGGTGCCTGGAGCGCCTCGAGTTTATCGGAGACTCGGTCCTCGACTACGTCGTCGTCAACCGCCTCTTCGCCGTCGAGCCCCCGCTCCCGCACCAGACCATGCACCTCCTCAAGACGGCCATGGTCAACGGCGACTTCCTCGGCTTCCTGTCCCTGGAGCAATCCGTCGGTCAGGACGAAGTCGTCCTCGGTGAAAACACCGGCAAGGAGCCTGACCTGCAGCACTCCCGCTTCGCCCTGCCCCTGTGGAAGTTTATGCGCCACCAGTCGCCCGCAATCGGCCTGGAGCAGATCAACGTGCACAAGCGGTACACCGCTCTCAGGGACCAAATCATCGACTCAATGGAGCGGGGCAAAACGTACCCCTGGGCACTCCTCGCGCGCATGCAGCTCCGGAAATTCTACTCGGACATCTTCGAGTCTCTCCTCGGCGCCGTGTACATCGACTCCGGAGACCTTGACGTATGCGCCCGGGTGGTTGAGCGCTTCGGCATCACGGGGTACCTGGACCGCATCCTTCGGGACGGCGTGCACGTGCTGCACCCCAAGGAGGAGCTGGGTCACCTCGCCGACAAGGAGAGAGTCACCTACGTTCTCGACACGCGGCAGGCGAGCGACGACGCGGGCGGGGAAAAGGAGTACCTGTGCAGGGTCTTGGTCGGCACCCGGTACGTCGTCGAGGTCGACGGGGGCATCACCCGGGAGGAGGTCAAGGTCAAGGCGGCCGAGGCGGCGGTAAACATACTAAAGGCGGAAAAAATAGCGGAGAAGATCCAAGGCATGGTGGTGCTAAAAGATAGGGACACAGCCATGTAGCACGCGAGTGACTAGTAAAAGGTTGCAAGTGAGCGCGGTGCCTAATTCACAGTCCAGCATCTGCCTCGAGGTGCTCTTTCCGATCTTGATCTCATCGCGCCACTTCACTTTGGCCCCTCCCATTTCAGGAGCGCGTCGCTCCTTCCTAATAAACTCTGGTTTTTTGTTTTTTTCTTACATTCAAATCGCATTATGTTTCTTTGTTTATCTCTTTTGTTCCCCGTCCACATTTACACGGCCTCTTCCCCTCGCCGCCTTTCAATTATCAAAACTGCACGGGACCAACAACACAATCCACGTGCAGTTTGCGACTTGATATCCGACTTCAACCATGGCAGTCATCGACGGTCTTCCAGGCGTCAGGGTGTCCATTCGCCTCAATGGCTCAGAAGAAGATTGTCCCGAACATGACGATCCTAACCCTCCCCAAACCTCAGCAAGCAGCGGCGCTGCAACTCACTCCATCGCGAAAGTCATCGAGAGCCAAGACGATGCAAACTTTTCTGTCCACTTCGAGGTCAAAGATGCTCGCCGTTGGGCAAAAAACAAAAAAGGACTTAAATTGTCTATTCACATCGACGGGAAGCGTTTCGCAGCCAAGGTATACCGTAAATCCGAACTCCAAGGCCAGGTTTTTCGGCGGCATGTGGAAGGAGTTACCTACGTTTCATCCAACCCCCGGCAGTTCATTTTGAAGCCTTTCATGTTTACCAAAATCAAACAAGGTATGGCTCGCTAAAACAGTCTCTTATCTGCCGTGCATAATGCCTGATCATATGGACAGTCGATGAGGGTGGTGCTCGCGTCGTTGAGGACCTGAAAGTTGTGAAGCATCTTGGCAATATTGAGGTCACCATATGCCGTGTCGACAACATACGCAGAAAATCAGTACTCAAGAAGTCAAGTAATGTAACAACGAAGACGGAGCTGGCAGAGAAAGCTATGAAGGGCAAAAATTTGTCACATGGGACGAGGCTAGTCAAACCCCATTCCGAATCGTACTCATAATCGCTTATCAGTGTCAAACAGTTTCTCAGAGGGACGAAATACTCCCAAGACAAACCCTGTGAAGTTTACATACCCTGATGGGGGGGTCCAACTTGCCCGGTTCAATTTCCGTTACATGTCCAAGATGGCTCTCCAGATTGAGGGGATTATCCCTCGTGACCCGTCTCCCGAATCCCCACCCGAGACTCAACCTCGAAACGCCGCAGATCTTCCCATGGAAGAAATCCAGAGACTGGCACAGGAACGTCTCGACCAGCTGGTATGTACCTATTGAGAAACGGTCACGAAAGACATTTGCTGATACCTATACGGGCCATGGTGAAGCTGGAGAGTAAGGCTGGTGTGAAACGGGAGGCAGACGATGATAACGAACTCCGCATGCCCAAAGTATACAAGACCACTTCAGATGGTGCCATCGATCTCACCGAGTGAACCGATTATCGTCGGACGACTTCTGAGGTAGAGCATGAGATATCATGAAGAATCTGGGAGGTGGTAGAGTATGATTACTTGGTTGAAGAGCAACAGAGATGGTATGCTTGTTTCGTTACTTGGTCTACTGGTTTCATGGGTAATAAGACACAAAACTACATTGACATTATGGCTTATATGAGGCCCACGACTTGAGCAAACGGTATGGGGATTTCTTGGCTTGTTTAAGTCTCATCTACTTGTAAGCGGCTTTTTCACGTCTCGTTCAACTCACTTCAGAAATCAATTTGTGATCATACGTTGCGGAAAAGAAATCACTAGATTTGTTGTTGATCTCACCAGATATACACACATTAGTATTTGTCGCACTGCCTAGTGTCTGTCTAGTGTCCTCCAGTTCATAGTGACTGTATTTACACTCTCTGAAGGTTAATCATATGCATCCATTTCTTGAGGTAAACAGCTGTATTCAGATCAAAAAGTCATGCGGCAAGGCGAATCTTTACCTCACCCATGCTCAGGCGGGGAGCTCCTTTGATGGTATTGAACCCACTCTTGGCCGCTGGCGCAGCATGATCTGCAAATATCCGGCGCTACTCCGCATGGCTCCAATTCTAGAGCTGGTCGAGATTGATGGCATCGGACTTTAGCTGCAGTGCATGGGGAAGGCGAGTCCTCTCGTAAAGATAAAACTCATGCTTAAGCCAGGAAGAAGAACAGTCCGGAACCGGTACAGGTCGTGACGGTTTTATGCGACGCCCTGACGGATGATGATGATGATGTATGGAAAAGGGGCAGGCAGCATTTAGTGGCATCACAGTTGATGGGGGTCCACTTTTGTCCGACAATCAACCAATTACACTGCGATCGCAACCTGCTGTAAGGCGCCCGCAACTGAAACTCTGCCAAACAGTACTTGCTTGCCTGTTGGGTCGCGCTCACACCCATCCAACTTCACGTGGGTTTATCAATTTCCCCTTCTCGTCCTAAAGCTATTCAATCATTTTATGTCAATCCTCCCCTCCCAGACAGCCTGCACCAACCATCTTCCAGACAACGCACGACACATCCTAACTGAACGCCTCCCCACGCTCGGTCCAAGATGGCCATCATCCGCGATTTCCCCGGCGTCAAGGTCACCGTCCGAGTGGACGGCCGAGACGCCACTGAGTATGATGACCCGGATGGGTTCGAAACCGACACCAACCGGAAAAACGCCCGTTGGCGCACCTTCCGCTACATCGAATCCAAGGACGACGCCTTCTTCTCTATCCGCTATCAGGTCGACAACAGCCATCGCTGGGAGGGCCCTGACCACGCGTTCGCCTTGACCTTATACGTCGACGGCAAACGTGCAGACGGCACCGTGTGCGAGGCCCAGCGCTTTCTCAATCACGACCCATTCTATGTTTGGGAAGGCATCATTGAAGGCTCTCGCCAGAGGTCCATTACTTCGAGCTATGATCGCCTCAACAAATTCAAGTTCTCCAAGGTCACCACGTGTATGCTACGACCTCGTCCGATGCGACAGGCACCCCTTGCTGACTCCATCTCAGTTGATGATGCTGCAAATGACCGGGTCAAGGCGGACACCGCAAAAGCAAATCTATTGGGCGTCATTGAGGTGTTCATCTATCCCATAATCATCACCGGGCCCTCAAGGTACACTAATTCCAGACACTACCATGATGCGCAGGATGGCAACTTTGAGATTGCCGAGAAGGCTCTCAAGGGCCGCGCAGTCTCTCACGGCACCTCGTGAGTTCTTCCGTACTCTCAAAAGTAAGAACAACCGTTCGTGCTTACACGGACAAGGTTCGCCGACGGTGGTATTGTTTCTCGGAGGCCCACGGTAACTGCGGAATATCTCAATAACTACAACCCGATTGCGGCCTTCAGCTTCAAGTACCGCTCGCGAGGTCTGCGCCCAATATTCCGCAGCTCCTGGGACAGCCACTAATTTCGCCCTAGACGCACTGCACAAGGAGTTGATCATTCCCAGATCGCCGAGCCCTGAGCCCATTGCCGGGTTGTCCGAGGCGGAAATTCGCCGATTGGCTGTGGAACGCCTCGACGATATCAACGTCAGTATCCCCGACTCTTTCACCAAGCAGCGAAATGCTGACCTTATGCAGAATCGCCGTAGCTCTCCAACCGTCAAGCGAGAGAGCCGCCGTCCAATCATCAAGCGAGAATACACGGAGATTCTCGACCTCACGGAAGAGCCCGCTAAGCGGGAGTGGAAAAAGATCAAGATCGAAGGCAACCGTGTGGCTATTGACCTCACTGACGACTAGATGCCTTTCTGTTTCCCCCAAAGTATTTCCTTGACGACTGGCTGTCTACTATTATGACGGGAGGATGGTTAATGATCACCACTCGCCCTCGGCCCGAATTTCGTTTCCTTCCGGCGCGGTTCCATGACTTCTTTTCTTAATTATCAAGCACTTCAGGGTCGTCCAACCAGCACCGGGCCGTCAGTCCACAAAATTAAGAGTATCGCCGGACGTGCTCTGGGGAGTAGCTAGGTTTGAGACTACCACGACACGAGCGACATATATTTGCTTCCAGGAGTTCAGGGGCGGAATCGGGTATACCCTCTTATTGCACCTATCTGTATCGTCTCGTCTGCAGGGAAGAGGAGGCAGGACATCAAAAAAGGCGGATTTCAGATATCAGATGTCACAACAAAATGAATCATTTTTTACTGTGCAATTGCTACCCACATCTGACTCTATGCTCGAGAGCAGCACCCGCGTTGCGTTGATTTCTCGTTGAGAACCTCCGCAAATGTAATCCCCTGGCATAACAATGAGAGCCATAATAACAAATCAATTCAGGCAACGTCTCCTTGCGATGAGGATTACAGGCCTTAAGATGACTTTTATGGCTAGGGTATACCGTGGACCCCGTTGCTGGATTCGTACCATTTCGATAATGAGATGGATCGGACATAGCCATTGGAGACACAGAATAGCATGATAGACTCAATCTAGTATATTCCACATCTGCAATACTCGATACCTCCTATTCCACCAAGCTGAGATAGACACAAAGGCGACTCCGATAGTGCGCGCCTTTTGAGTACACTCCTCACACTGCTCGTTTTCAATCGGCCTCTTCTTCTCCATGGACACCAGCCGATGTCGGGTTTATTACTCTGATAGCGCAATCACCTTCCTAGGTCTCGGCGGAGAACTCTCGTCGAATGCCCAGACGGCTTTCCTCTTCCTGGGGACGGTAGATTTCATATCATGACCCGACTGGATTGAGATGGTCTTGTCGTTTTCTGTCTTAGCATGGTCGTTTTTCTCTCCCATTTCGGCCAAGAACCCCTTTGGCTGAAGAGGTGAATACAGGCGGTTCATTTCGGTTTTTTCTTCCTCCGAATCACTTAGTGTTAGGTCGTCGAAGAGCTTCGTCGCTGTGTGGACTTGATAATTCATTCGAGGCGCATTCAGTAAAGATCCGGATGTAAGCATCGTTCCGGGTGTTTTCTGTAGGCTATGTTCCGTGCTAATGACTGGAGATGTATTTGGAGCTGACCAAATATCGTCCAATTCGATCAAGTCCTCATCGGTTCTCTCATTATTACACTCCGGCTTGACATTAGCGGGCGGAGTCCCTGCTAACGAAAAAAAGTCAGAACCTGGAAGAGTGCCCGTAACTGAACACCACACACTCACTTTTTGTCTGGTATTTGAAGATGAAGCTTGCTAATGGGTTTCCATGATTTAACCTGTTAATATCATAGGTATTGGCCGCCTGAGACTTTTTGGTTTTGTTGGGCTCGAAGCTATTCATTGTCAGTACTTAGAAACGTCCTGAGCTGGTGTTTGGAGAGAGACTGACACGATGGCCTGAGGCGGTGGGCCTGAAGAGGTTATATCGACCAGCTGCCCTCTCTCTGGTTGACTGAGTATGTTGACAATGTACACGTCGACCTTGATGCTGCCCTTGGGGATGTTGCCATTCTTGTCGCTCGTGGCGAATCGGAATCTCTTCAACGCTGGTCTTGACTTGCCATCTTTCTCGTGAACACCCTCTAGAAGGAGACGGTGCTTTCGCGCTTTCCCAGAACCCAACGTCTTCTTCGTTACCAAACGTCTAATGACTTCTTGGGAGTCGAGGTGGACGACGGCCATCAATGCAGAGTCGTCAGAGGCGAGGATATCTCGAATGCCGCGGCCGAGGAGGATGTCTATGGAGAATGAGGCTCCCCCCTTGATTTCGATAAGCTTACAACAGACGAGTGGCGCTTCATGCGCGGTCTTGATCGCATCTGGATCGTCGTGTTCCACCACTTTCTGCCCATTCATCTTGATCACAACCCGGATATACAGGGCGAAATTGAGGCCCGTCATCGTTTCGATACCCTTGGGTTTGTTTAGATGTATTCAGTATGGTTTGCTGCAGAACCTGGTTGACATGAGGGGACGTCGAATTGGAAAGAGGCCACTGCGTCTCCGGGTATTCAGCGGAGAGGTTGCTCTTTCTACATAACATTGGCGGTCAATAACATCCCTTCCCACGCAGCGCGTTTTGTTTGAGGCCGAAAGAAGGTAGCTTTGAGCTCTAAATACTTACCGCTCCATCCCATTGTCCTTTTTTCAAGACAGACGGAGGAGGTATAATTGACTTTGACTTGCGATGAACGATGTGCATGGGAAGACGAGCTCAGTGCCACAATACCGCCAATTATTATTCTCTCCCTGTCTCTCTTCTTCCCTTTCTCCCTCTTCACAGCTCAAGTAAGGTTGGTTACAATGTATGATACATGGAAGCAGACAATGAAGTTTAGATCACAGTGTGCGTGCAGTTTCTGCAATCATCTGTATTTGTGCTCGACTCCTGAAATATTTCATGGCTGTACACAGGTTTGTTCCTGATAGTGTCCTTGCAACCTCGCAGCATACATTTCTAGTAGCCACCTGTGAGATCAATGATATCATGTTCACTTTCTACTCTGATGGTTTTGTAAGGTGGTGCTGGCTCATTTTCACCTTCCTCTGTGAGGTCACAGTAGTCATCATACGTGCGCTTTCTCAAGCTGGACGTCTGGAGTCTCTCATCCTGAGAATATGTCAGTCAATAAATCGATTTTTGGTAGATTAGTGTCTCACCCGAAGCTGTCTCAGCCTTTCTCGAGCAAGTCGCTCCACCTCATAGTCGTGTAGGTCTTCGAATCGAGGAACATCACCTGACTTCTCAGAACGGACCTTGCGCGGAGGCGCGGGCTCGGGACTTGGTGTCCGGGGAATAATGCCTTCAATCTTTAAGGCCTCTGGATTAATATCAGACCTCCATCAACTCAGAACATTATCAGCATATCACTTACCTTCCGACCGGTACTTGAAGTTATACGTCGCTAGTAGTGCCCCTGTGGTGGTCTTCAGAGCATTGCCACGTGGGGGGCCTCCAGGTAAACTCTCCGGAGCTGCGAAACTGTAATTTACTCGTTAGATGAAGAGGTGGTGAGGAGGTCAGCTAGCTACTCACGAAGTGACGTGGTAGATAGGGCGACCCTTGAGTGCCTCTTCAGGGATCTCAAAGTGATCCACATCTGGCTCACGAAAGTCTCTCTCAAGGTTTCTGCGTCGCCGACGATCGACCATGGGGGTTAGTTTTCCAAGCTTGAGCTTCACCTCAATCGTGCCAATGTCGCGGGCTCTGCGAAAGTCGCCGTCCGTTGGCTCGTCGTCGACTATACACCATATCAGCAGGCGAAGTTGAGCCATTGTTTGACAAAGGTCGAAGAGAAGCTCACCAGCAACAATTGACCGAAACTTGAATCTCCTCTTGACGAGAGAGGAGCGTTCTGCGTTTGGGTATGTTCTAGAGGAGAATGTGAAGCGCCACTGTCCTCGGTTGAAGTCTTTCCCCTGGCAAAACCTCTTGCCCATGAAGATCCCATCGATGTAAAGGAAGAATAGAAAACCATAGTCATCATAGACCCAGTGGTCGATAGAGCGTTCATCTATGACACGGATATGGATGCAAAATTCGGCATCATGTTGGCTCTCGATGTAGTTGCGGGAGCAGCGCTCATACCCTCCCAGGTATCGTTCTTGACGGTAGGGGTTCGGATCCGGGTATTCAGCTGCGTTGTCGAAGAAGTTATTCAATCGAACGGACACGTCAACTGCTGGAAGAGTGTCTATTATCGCCATCTTGTGGGAAATGACATGGTAATGGAATGAAAAGACGGGACCTTGGTGCTACGACAAAAGGCTCGGAGTGGTAGAGACAAGAGGACCGATGACAGTGCTTGGAATGAAAACGAGAGGATTGGAAGAAAGGAAAATAATGGGACAGATGAAAGAAAAGAGAATGGAACTGGAAGCCGCAAGTATAGGTAGGTGCCTTCCGAAGTCAGGTGCTCCTTCCAAATCAGTTTGCGAGAAGGTGCTGTCTTGAGGATACCTCCTTCCATGGGAGGGGAAGGAAAGGTTGCCAGCAAGCTTCACATCCATGGTAACTGTATCAATTGATCTTGATGAAACTTATGGAACGATGACAGTAGGTAGAAGATGTAGAATACAGAGATGACGATGACTTATAGACAGCCAAAATATCAGTAATATTGTATACAATAATGGAGGTCTCCGTGTAAGTGGAAGAGGTCAAGCCGTGGCTAAGGTACGTACTGCGACCCGACCCCGTTGCATTTAAGCGGGTCGGCCTGCTGAGATAAGGGGCCGAGGCGACGGTGACGCTAAACCCGTGTAAGGAAACGGGGATGTGGACTTAACCCCTGCAGGGCGCGCCGATGAGCCCCCGTCCGACTCGTAGCGATACTGGAGCTAGCCCAGCTCGCTCAACCTCCGTCTCCCGCCCACTCGGAAACCCATGACGTTGGATGCTCCTTTCAGGACTCTTTGTCCATTTTCAATCCACGGGCCCAGACGCGATGATGGTTAATGCCAGACATGTAATGCCCTGCTAATCCGTCGTAACAATTAATTGATTCTTTTCCTCTCCTTTTCGCCTCTCTCCCCCTCCTCTCCGACGGGAGGAGCGCCATCATGTCTCCAGAGGCCTCCAGCAACATTCGAGTCTTTATCCGCTGGCACGACCAGACTGTCTTCGCTGGCGAGGAGATCAAGTGCACCATCACCTTCAAGAATATTGCCCGCGATCCCAATCAACAACGACAATCACAGCGACTCTCACCCGCCGACCGCCCGAGGCATGTCTCCCCACTGCTGAGAGGCAAGGCCAGCGCCGGCTTAACCCCGCCGAACTCTGCTCAGACCCGTGGTCACCGATCCGCCCTATCCCTTAACGTTCCGGCAGCCCAGTCACGAAGCCGCGCAGGTTCAGTACCATGGCCGCCGTCGCACTCCCCTAGCGCCCTCGAACATCGTAGCAATGGGCACAAGAAGTCCGTCTCCATCGTGTCGATTGGCTCCACGAGCACAATACACGACGACAACCAGAGCAATGCTGGTTCCGTGAAGTCGCATCGGCCCGGTCGCGGTCATGGGCGAGCCTCCAGCCTCCAGATCGTCCCTCGTGGAGCAGCTCTGGGCCAGGGTCTTACCGCCCCTCACTCTGGTCAGTGTCTCGTCGCTTCATGTCGACTGCGGTCTGATTGCTAACACGCCGCAGCATCACCAAGGCATATCAGCTCGCCTCTATTCAATTCGACTTCTGCGTCCGACTCACCCCCGGCGACCTCGCGATTCTCCACCGTACCGAATACTCCGAACGTAGTTGGCACACAACGCTCTATAAGGTCGCCGAACAACGCGCTGACGGAGTTCCGGTTCCCGATGGTTCAGTCTCCGCTGTCAGATACTCTGAGCACACCTATAGCAACACATCACGATGGGCTATTGAGCCCAAACACCGAAGTGCCTCCAAGCCTCGTCATACGATCCAAGGACGGCATCACTACCAATTACAACGAACATGCAACCCCGGCCATGCGTATACTCTCTACAACAAGCATGGGAGGGGGGACACCACGAAGCAGTGGAGAGTTTTACTCAATGAGCAACAACTCGACAGAAACACTGGTATCCGAGTATCCGACGCAGCCCACAAGGGGCCCGATGCGGCCGCCACACTTTCGACGGCCGTCGCATTTCGCATCCCACCATCCGAAGCAACCGGAGTCGCTGATGATGGGTTACGCCCAGATCCAGGGCTCTTTCACCCTCGATGGGTCGCTCATTAATCTGGCTCCCTTCGAGCAAGTCAAACGGAAGGGCGTGGTAGGCGGTCAAGGAGGCGGTGTCATAGGAGTGGAACCTTCGAAAAGGGATAGTGGACTCCTTCGAGGGTTTGGCTGGGGAAGCATCAGCAACTCGATCGGAGAACTTCTTGGGACCGGGGAAGTCAGCAGCATCAAAGACATGCGCGGTATCGCGGGCTCCAAGTCTGTACCGCTGCTCTCGACGCCGCAGTCGATTCTGTTTGTGGACCTGAACCTTGGTCCAGGCGAGCACAAAGCGTTCGAGTACTCGTTCCAACTTCCCAAGGGACTGCCACCGACACATAAGGGGAAAGCGGTAAAGATATCCTACAACCTGGTCATCGGCACGCAACGGGCGGGAGGCTCGAAAGAGCAACAGGTACGCTCCGTCGAGATACCTTTCAGGGTGCTGGGCAGCGTCAACAGCCACGGGGAGATTCTCGGCCACGACCTCATGAGCCCCTACATCATCCTCCGTGACCAGGCAAAGGTCAAGGCTGTCGACAAGCTGTCAACGCTGAGCGAGATCAAAAAGCTGAAGGCGTCCAAGACGGACGCGACTATTAACGAGTTTCTCACCTACGTCGACGAGCTTCTCAACAGGCCACGACAAGGGTCGCATGCGGGTCTGCTATCACCCACGGCGCACCCTGGGTCGCGACGGCCGTCAGTGTTTGAAGACGCCACGACGGCGACGGATGCCATCAACTTGGCCATCATGCGCAGCAACATGACGTCCGAGGGTCAGCAAAGCCCCAACCGCTTCGAGATTGCCCGCAATGGACAGCGTGTGGGCGTGGTCATGCTCACGAGGCCCTCTTACCGTCTGGGCGAAGTCGCCACGATGGCCATCGACTTCACGGACGCCGAGGTCCCCTGCTACGCGGTGCACTCGTGTCTGGAGTCGGCAGAGCGGGTCGAGTCCCATCTGGCCATCCGGTCGGAGGCGTCCATCCACCGCGTCACGCGCAAGGTCCACGTGTCGGCCTCGGAGGCCACGCTCTACTCCCGAAGGATGGTCTTCACGCCAACGATCCCCATCAACGCGACGCCCGAGTTCGTCACGACGGGCGTCTCGCTGGAGTGGAAGATCCGCGTCGAGTTCGTCGTGCCGAGCCAGGAGACGGAGCTCGAGCGCGAGGCGCCCAGCGCGCACCCACTGCTGGAGGAGATCTCGCGGGACGAGCGCGGCGGGCTCGTCCTCGTGGCCGTCGAGAACCTGGCCTGCGAGAGCTTCGAGGTGGCGGTCCCGCTGCGGGTGTACGGCGCCGTGGCGACGGGGCTCGAGAAGCTGGAGCGGGACGAGGCGCTGGAGGAGGGCCTCGTGGTCTGATGAGCCGTGACACTCCTTCTCGCGGGGTGGCGGTGACGGTATTAGCTGGGAGTCGTCACGATGGGCGCAGTGTACGTGTAGAGCAGGCAGGCAAAGCCCATTTGCGGCGTTGGATAGAAACCCAGTTTGTCCTTCATTTTCTTTTTCTTTTCTTTTGGGAACACGGCGCAACCCCCCCCCCCCCCCCCCCCCCCCCGAGTCGGTTAGACAAAAAATCACACAGCTTTTTCTTCCTTATATCAGACGGCGGTCTTGACCGAGGAGGCCAAGTCTTAACTTTCGGCCTGTACATAATTTGCCATGCGAATATCATGCGGGGCCGGCTTTGCTGGTCAGACGTTAGTAGCGTTACGTCTCATCGGGAAGGAGGCCTGTGAAAGTGCTGTTGAAGTGGTCAAATGACGGGCAGAAAAGGGGCCTCGCCTTGTGCTTTGATTCTGATGCTTTTCCCTAAAGAGGAAAGGAAAGAAAAAGAAAAGTAAATGGCGGCTGCGACCCGGCAAACATTATGTCCAAGAACCACAAACGCGTCCGCGCAAAGATTCAGTGAGAAAATCGACTTCCTCCTTTCCCCCTTCCCATAAATATCCATCTATTCCTGGATTTTCATCATCCGCCAATGCCCCTCACTTCGCCGTCTGTTACCCAATCAATATCCCCAGGGCCAATACAGAATAAAAAGACTCCAAGCTCCGATTCGCCTGCCGTCACTGATTTCCCTTGTATGGCGGGATCTCCGTTGCAATCAAAACAAGAACAAAGGGAAAAAATGAAAAGGTTCGCTGCTGCCGTTGTTTCGAGAAATTTATGGTAGACCGATAGGTACTGAACAAATAAAAAAGAGGGAAAGGGGCGGCGCGTGTCACCCCGTCCGCCAGAATCATCCCGGAAGTCCACGGCGTCGAGCAGGCAATCAAAGCCGGGTTTCGTGCTGTAGGTGATAAATGTATGTTTCCCGATCAAGAAACGCCAGAATTGTCCGTCCAAGTAACGCCGTTATATCCAGCAAGTAGTGTACAATGCATGGGAAAAGTGTATGAAAATAATGATACAATGAGTGTGTGTCATGACGGTGATGTAGAGGTGGTTTCGTCGCCGCCCGTGTCTGACCGCGGGACGATGAGTATTTCCTCTCGCTCCTCGGTTGGAGTGGAAATCTCTCTCGACTGGAAGGTGTTCCGCAGCTTCTCGTCAAGCATGGAAGCCAGACGCTCCTCGTACTGGTCAAGGAGGCCGCTGAGGAGGGCCGAGTCATGTAGAGCCTTTGTCCTCGTAGCTCGGTCGCCAAGAGCGGCAGAAGTCAGGCGCAATTCCTGGTCGAGCTCGAAGATGACATCCTCGCTGAGAGGATCCGTAGACGCGAGCTTCTTTCTATACGCTCTCAGTGTACGGCAAGTCTGTTCGGTCGACATGTTGAGGCTGCCAAAGCCTCGCAGGTTGGGCGAGCTCTTCTTCGGCGGCAGGCCCAGGGACGGAAGAGAGGGCCGTCCGGACACTTTCGACTTTGGGCTAACAGGCGGGCTGCCAGACTGGCTGCCAGAGGAACGTCGCGATGGTGTATCTTCGGCCAGCGGGCTACTTTGTATGGCCGTCTTGGGTGTGCTGGCGCTGCTGCCCAGACCATACCGAGACGTCCGTTTGCGAATGGTCCTTGGGGGCGAGCGACGACCGCTCTGCGCGGAAGAGGGCCGCTGGAACTCTGCCAGTTCGGCCTTTGAGAGTACGCGTCTCAGAGGTAGCCTGGCAGCGGCGGGTCCATCTTTCATTGGCAACGGGTCCCCGCTAATGGAGAAAGGTACGGTGTCCTCGCTTTCCATGCCCCAAAACATCACAGTACCGTCCGATCCGACACTGATGACCCTCTGGGAGCCATCATCATCCTCTGCCAACGTGACGCCGTTGATGGCTTCTGTGTGTCCCCATTCCCTGTCTACGAAGTGGCCAGATTGAGCATCGTAGAGACGCACAGATTTGTCCGTGTTGGACACGCCGAGAAGAACGCCCGTGTCTTTGCCCGGAGGCTGGCTGAAGATCAGAGAGTCCAGTATGGCAGTCTCGTATCCACCTTCGTCGACACACTTGAAGCAGTTGAGAAGCTTGCCATTGGAGAGGTCATACTGGCAGACCGAACGGTCCAGCATTGAGACGAATGCAGTTCTGTCGTCCGGGCCGAGGGTAAAGGACGTCGGCGCTGCCTTTAGTATGTTTGTCCGGGAAGGGAGGGCCGCGATCTCGTCGACGTCGACCGGCTTGCAGACAATATCGTAGACTTGCAAAGTCCTGTCCAGAGAGCAAGTCATGATTTTGTTGTTTGCCGGAATGAGCGCTTGTACGACTCTGGCAGCGAACTCTAGCGTTTGGAAGTGCCGGAACTCCCCGGCCGATGTACGATGAAAGAGCTGTACCGTCCTGTCCCTGCCGCAAGTCGCCAGCAGGAACTTGTTGTCGTCCTCGTAGATGGTGACGCCCTGGCAGTCCGAGGAATGCGCCTTCGTCTCGAGCAGGCATTCCTTTGTTGACAGGTCCATGATTCTGAGGACCCCAAACTTGTCGGCTGCTACAAGCATCTTGCCGGCCCTCGTGGCTCGGACCACATTGAGCTGATTTACTGGGTCCATCTCGTTTTCAGGGATGACCTGTTCAATGGGCACTTCGATAGAGCACTTGATCGTCCCCTTCATATCCCAAAAGATGACTCTGCCGGAACCGGACCACGTGATGAAATCGGCGTCTTGGTCGTTCGGTTTTGACAAGGCCTGGATGCCCAAGATTTGATCCCCATGGCCAGGTATAGAAATGTGAGAAGGGTCACCCTCGGTCTTGCCTGGCAGATAGTTGGAGCTCCAGATGTCGACAGTGTGCTTCTCGTCAACGGTGACGAGATTTTCTGTGAGAAAGCCCATAGCCACCAACCCAGACGGCGCGACGCTTCTGGAAAGGACTGCGTCCGGGAGGCTATCGAGGACAGCCCTCACGCTGAGCGTCGCAAACTGGCCGGCTTTTCCTGACAGATATGCGGTAGCATGTCTGATGGTGATGGAAGTGACTAGGAATCCGACGTTGAGACACCGGATGAGTCTCGACTGCTTGCCATCGTCCTCGACCATGCACACGTCGCCGGCCTCGGAGCAGATAATGATGCTAGTTTCGTCGACTACGGCTGCGCAGCTAAAGGTAGCTTCCAGAAGCGAGCCGAGAAGGACGTTTCGACCACCAAGGAGTCTCTGGGATGGTTGAGGTGTCGAACTGACGTCGCTGAACTTGGGCTTGGATGGCGAAGTGGATTGGACCTCCTCGACCCGCCATATCTTGATGTGCCGCACGCCGAGCGTGACTAGGCTGTTGCCCATCCATACCATGCCTTTGATGGTGGACGTACACCTGTTTTGCTGGTACAGCCTGGCAGAGCCAGTACGGGGGTCGGTTCGCCAGATGAAAAGGAAGCCATCGTTGGCAGTGCCCAGAGAAGCAAGCCATTTAGTGTCAGGCGACCAAGCCACTGCCCTCACTCCGAACCCGTGCTCGCTGATAGAAACTAGGGGCACGTCGGACGAGGCGTCCTCGAGATTGAAGATGAGAACGCGCGGGGCGTAGCCCGTCTCGCCCACGGCCAGATACCTCCCGTCCCGGCTCAGGGCCAAGCACGTCGCCGCCTTAATGCGCTCACGGCTCGTCCATGTCGAGCCGGGCGAATCGGTCCAGCTTTGCGAGTCGCGGGTACCAGCTACGACCCGATTCCTGCTGTCGTTGGCCTTGGGGGTCGAAGGCGTCGAGTGGTTGGTATGAGATAGAGGCGCAGAGCCATAGACGGGGGCGGCTGTCGGGCGGGCGCGGTAGAAGCGCTGGGCGTAGTGCTGGCCGTCGACATCGACGACGACGACGGCGCCCCCCGCAATGTATGCGAAAGAGGAATTTACGGTGTCGAAGCCTGTAGGCGAGGCACAGGTGGTGCCGATGACGCGCTTGAGAGAGAGGCGGGATTCGTGAGGAAAGGGTCCGCGAAGGGGAGTCCGGGGGCTCGGTCGTTGGAGGTAGGGGGAGTTACCCGGCGTGATTTTGAGCCGGTTCGTTGGAGTCGCGTTCATTGTGTTGCCATTGGCTCGCAAACGCAAGTTGTGTAATTACGATATGTAGAGAGTTACGGGGCAGAGGTCATGCAGTTGGATGACGTGACGGAGGAAGCGTAATGAAAAAACAAGGGGAAAAAATGACGTTATGCCGAATTGGTCGTCATCGACAAAGAAGCAAGAGGAAGAACTAACGGTAGGCGCGCCGAGCGATATGAAATGGTACGAGAAAGAGAGTGAGAGAGCGAGGTCGCTGGCGGTCGGTGTCTAAGAGGATTCAAAGCTGCGATGACATTGTCAGTATGGCAATGTCTCAGTCAATTGGCCGGAAAGGTCAATTGTGCATGCAAGGTTGGGTAGAGAGACATACAGTGACATCAGGCAGGGAGACTTCCCCTAGAACCTGTAGGAATCAAGGTGAAGAAGGAAAGCTAATGGCTTGGTTTTCCGAGCGTGGAAGAAGAGGAGGGAGACGCTCAGTGCCGAAGAGGTGAGAGAGGTTTGAGAGGTTTGTATTTTCGTTTTCCCGCGACTGGACCTAGACGGGGGGGTTCAGGGTTTGAGCCGGTTGGGTCAAGGTAAGCAAGCTCTCTTCGGGAAGTGCCTGCCCTGGTCTGGTGAGGGGGACAGACTCTCTCTGTTCTGCCTTCCTTGCTCGCAGCTGCAGGGTGATGGGGAGAGCACCGTAGCACCGGCGAGAACAGAGCGCAGGCGGGGAGGGTGGAGGTGATGAGCCTGGGTTTCGTTGCTCTTTTCTGCATTGAACCCTGCCAGTCTGTTCCCGAAACGGACAGCTGGAGGGGTTATTGAAGGCGGTCTGGCGCGACACACCCAATCACAGCCTCCATCACGCGCCAAAAATGGCCGAGATGGAGCCATGTTCTCTAGCAGCAGACAGTGACCGACAGACAGACAGACAGACAGACAGACAGACAGACAGACAGACTGACAGACTGACTGACTGACCGAACCTTTTGCTCCCCCCCCCTCTCTTTCCATGTAGTTTGGTTGCTTGCTGCTGTTGATGCAACAACGGGAACAAAGGAATTCTTCGATGGCATGTGTCGCAAACGTCCGCCGAAGAACCCAGCATTGCTAGCCATCCCGTGTCGCAGGAATGAATTTCCACAAGGGTCTCAGTCGGGATACATACCTACTACGCAGTACATTGTCTACTCTACCGCAGTTCACACTACTAGGTATGGTACTATGTCAAGGCGATCTACACCCTTCCCAAGAACGCCAAACGCCATCACCGGAACCGCCCTGCTCTAGGGAAAATGAAGACCGTCAAAACGCCAACCATTTACTAAACACCGCTGCGCTCCCGCACTGAATACTGGTAGGTAGAAGGAAGGAAACCCCCACCCCCCAAACAGCCAAACGACGGCGGCCTGCGCACCCGTCCTCGGAGAATAGATATCCTGACACATGTTTGATGGCCAGCAACTACATGCAGTCCTCGCCCGCGCGACTTCGGCCATTGCACACGTACGCGCCCACTAGGTATGTACCTATCTCAACCGTCGTCCGTTTCTTCCATGTTCCTGGCCCGCCCCATCTGAGCGTTGCCGCCCCGTGCGCCGCCGCAGTGGTGCCGGAAGGGCGAGTCCAGTCGTAACTCTCGTGAAATGAGATGCTCCCAGGACCCCTGCCGCATTCTTCAATGCATCGCCGTTTCCTTCGCTGCAGAAAGCCCGACAGACAAACATTTCGACCGCATGACGCCGTGTGCCTGCAAAAAAACTCAAACCCAGATTTTATCGATACCCCCCGTATTGCTTTACCTCTCCGCAGAGAAAAGAGCTTGCCTTCATCGTCAACATTCCTTCCGTGTGACGGCTTACCCATCATTGAGTCGATTGTAACGCGAACAGTCGACGCTTGGCGATGTATCATAACGTCAATTTCATTGACTACCGGAGCCATAGCCACGTCCAGAGCCCTCGCTAATCGATCATCATATCTATCGATGTGATTATAAGTTTCCCGGCATGGTAATCGTCATCTTAGCAACAAACCCAACCTAAAAGGGGAAAAAATGATCAAATATCCCGCCCCTTTGTGGAGTTTTCCACGTCCCAGGGGCCAGCCGCCGGCTCGCAGTCTTTTTTTTTTTTATCCTTAATGGCGTCGGTGATGAATCCATGCAGTTGTTGCTCATCCCTCCGCCGTCCGTCAACCCCCTGAGTGATTACTGATTCCCTTTTCACGCCATCTCGCCGTCGACAGCCTCAAAGAACGCAATCGGCACGCCGTGTTCCGGCGCGCCCACGATCTCCGCCTTCAGCACCTGCGCCTCCCAGTCGCCGCGGTACTCGAGTCTCTCGTATTTTTGCAGAATCCGGACCACTGGCCTCGCGTCAGCGTTCGATCGATAACCACGGCATGCCATGTCTGTCCGGCACATTACAGCCGGAGGAATGGGGGAGGGAAGGGGATAGGAGGATGGGGGGATGGGGGGCGGGTTCGCGCTCACTCGTGAAAGCCATCTCCGTGTTAGCAAAGTTCTGCCCGACGCAGATCCTCGGACCGCCGTTGAACGGCACGTACTGCCACGGCTTCGGCTGCCAATTCTCCCATCTCTCGGGGCTGTAGATGGCCGGATCCGCAAACGTCGCCGACTCCTCCGGGTACAGGTCGCGTCGCCTCTGCATCCCCAGCGTGCTATACACCACCGAGTCGCCCTCGATCACGGCGATATCCGGCCCGCCGTTCAGCCCAGGCAGCGTTGTCGTCGTCAGCGCCGAGCGCACGTTGTACGGCACTGCCGGGTACAGTCGTAGTGTCTCCTGCAGGCAGTTGGCGAGGTACTTCATACTCTTGAGGTCCTCGTAGCTCGGTGCCCGCTGCGGCCCAACCGTCGTCAGCACCTCGTGCCGCAGCTTCGCGTACACGTCCGGGTACCGTGCCAGCTCGTACAGCGTCCACGACAGCGTCGCTGCCGTCGTGTCGCGCCCGGCGAGCAGGATGGCCACAAGCTGGTCGCGGATGACCTTCGGGTCGCGCGTGCAGCGCGCAATGTTGTGGAGAAACGTGAAGTCCTTGTCCGACTTGGTGAGCTTCTCGAGCTCCGAGGGCGGCAGGGCGAGCGCCTCCTGGATGAACGGGAGGATGAACTCCTCGATGACCTTGATGCCGCGGTTGTATTTGCCGTGAGGCAGGAAGCTCTGAAAAGGTCTGCCGGGGGTGGGAGTGATAAGTGTCAGCCGGAGCCACGTGTCAGTCGCTGTCACGAAAGACTTACGCCATGATGGTGTAGAACATCTGATACCTCTGGACATCGTTGAAGGCTTGCGCAAAGAGGTGCCTCGGGCTGGTTACACACGTCGTCAGCGCCGGTCAAGTCCCATAGGCAGATACTCATTCTCTCAGCCCAACTCACTTCCCGAGACTGTTGACGCTGTGCCCAAGCAGGAAATCGGTCGTCACGTCGAGAGTCATCCGGTAGAAAAGATCCGAGATGTCAAAGGTGACACCTGACGCGGGAAACATGCCGATCATCGTCGTCGTCCACTTGTCAAAGATGGCGAGATCGCTGACACGGTCCTTGACAAACATGGGCCGGATCAGGCTCCGGTTTTCCTGCCACACTTTGCCGTCGGTGGTGAAGATGCTGTCGCCCAGGAACGGGGACCAGCTCTCGTGGAACATGGGGCCCTTGCCGAAGTCGGCGAACTTGGAGGTGAGGACCGTCTTGATGTGCTCCGGCTCCCGGGTGATGAGGAACCGGATCTTGCCCGAAAAGGTCATCTCGATGGTATGCGGAGACTCGGGCGTGGCGACGCTGAAGAGGCTGTTGAAGCCATCGAGGAGCTGATGCCTGAGTTGGGCACGGCCCACGCGGATGAAGACAGGAATTGCTTTGCTCAAGTTAGCCAAGGGCCCATGACGTGGCAGAGAGCATCTTCATGATGGGCACCTGTTATCGGGTTGGATGAAATGACTGGCGCCCTCACGCCGCCCGATTTCTTGATGTTGTACTCAGCCCTGAGTCTGAAGTAAACCAGGAGCAGGACGCAGGCCCCGAAGAGGGTTCCCACGATGCTTAGCGGGCTGGCGGCCGTTATCCTCTCGAGTAAGCCCATCTTGGATCAAGTGAATGCCCCAACCACGTTCAGTGACAGTTATCGGTATGGCAGGTGTCTCCGGGATGGACGGAGAGGTTTCTCGACTAACAAGGAAAAAAGTCGAAGAATAATTCGAAACAGACGCTTGGGACGAACAAGAGAGAGAGAAGTAGAAATCTTTCAGCCAGCAGTCACTTACGTCTATCTGTCGGTCCTTTGCAGGATCCTGGGGGCGAGGTGAGAGCCAGCAGACATCGTCTTAACTGAGTTGGTTTCAATCAATCACCGAGCGGCACATGTGAATGCCAGGTTGCGTGGCTGCTCAGGCCGCGGCAAGCTTCGACCTTGTCCCCGATGGGGAAGGGAGGCATACTTTCTCTTGCCACATCTGGACCCGACACATCATCTCGAGTTTCGAAGGCCATTGGTGGGCTGACCTGGGCACCTGGGCTCTGCATCACCATCAAGCGCTCGACGCGGGCCAGCGAGGATGTGCCATGTTCGCGTTGTCGAACAGTTGCGCCCACACAAAGCGAGATCAGCCACACTAGCTGCCCGCCCAGTCCGAAAAAAACAGTAAAATAAACTATTTGGAACACAGAGCCGGTGGGCTGTAAAGCGGGGGAACAGGCGAAGCCCCCCCGCATGATGCTGGCCGATGTTTCGATCGCACGTTGGCCCGCTCTACGGTACTGCTCCTGATGCAGCCTGCGGGCGGTCGAGCTGGGTGTCCGGTCTCATCTGATTTGACATTTTGATTTGTTCGCATGCGACTCTATAAAGGGCTGGGATCTGCAGCACCAGAGCTTAAAAAGAGGTTGGACCGCATAGCAATGCAGTGCAAGACGTGCCATCATCAAGGGATGATGGAATGCAAAAGAAAATCAAAAACTGAAGGACCGACCGCGATTCGAACGCGGGGCCTAGAGATACTTGCGTGCTACTGCAATCTCTCGCTCTACCACTGAGCTATCGATCCAACTCAGAAGATTAGATGATCAAGTGTGAATATCAGATAGCCTATATAGCTGATCATTGACCTGCCTCCTTGTCAATCAACAGCTTCGACTAAAGCCATGATTTCCCCGCGGACGCCGCATTGGCATACTCCACATGACGGGAGATCGCGACCGGGTTCAGCTTCAACGGCCAGTCGGCGATATTTCCTCAAAACGCCAAGCTGCCTGGTGGCGAAGAGCATACCATCGATAAAGAGTTGTGCCTCTCAATTATGCGGAACTCCGACGGAACCTAGTTCCGTCTGTGGCAATGTTCCGATGAATATGGGGCTGGTTCCCTCGAGCTCGGCTGAGCTTGCATCGAACTTGCTGTCGGTATCCAGACAGAGGGAATAAGTGCATTGCAGCTGCTGAGACGGTGCTGCGCCTCATAGACTGCAATACTTGGACGGGTCACAGCGCAGACGATTCCAGATCCCAAACCGCAATGCCCTTCGCACCTCTGTCAGCAACGTCGCACCTGTCAAAACTGGCCCTCATATCGTACCATCATACACGCATGCATGCATAGACGGTCGAGGAAATGGAGCTGCGTTGATGGAACTCTTGTGCGGTTGCTAAAACTCCAGCGTCTTGCTGAAACCGAGAGCCAGATGGAAAGCCAACTTGCACGCATACACACACGGTCACTTTATCATTTATTCTCATGCAGGCCTCGGGTACACAATCGAGACAGAGCCATTTGCCAAAGAGACGACAGCTCCAAGGGCTAAGGGCAACAATATGCCAGGCTTGCTCCATAATCCCCGCCTCCACAACGGTATTGGAGATTTGTTGGCGGCGGACGCATGACGTTATAATGATAAATAACTACATCCGTAGACGAGCTTAACGAACGCACCTAGGCAAAGTGTTCCGTCATAGTTCTGGCACGGTATTCCAGCAGGGACTTGGGGCTTCGGGCAGTCAAGCCTTGGATCTGGTATTCATCCGTAAAGTTTGTAAACCCACTCAATACTTTTTCTCCCTAGGACGATTCGGCTGTCTCATCCTCTACGGTGCCGGTAGGGGGACATGGGAGAAATCTTCCGTTCCTCCGGGCCGCTACTGACATTGGACTACCGGTACCTGAGCCGGGTTACCAAATAGGTCGAAACTAGGCAGTACGCAGTGGATCTCTGGCAGCCGCAGCAGGCAGACCTCCGCTCGTCCTTGAAGCCGCCGCACGACGGGATTCTAGGATGCACCCGGGACGTTGACAGAGATTAGGATCTCGGGGCAAAGTGTTCCACACAGTGTTGAGAGAGTGTGACGGTGAAGCGAGGTAAGATCAGCTCGAGGAGGGTAACTATTGCTAGCCCGATGCGGGGAAGATATGGGGAGCGTTTGAGGATCGCGGGGTCCCGCCCAGAGGCGGCACCCTCGTGTGTGACTGTCTCAGTCGTAGTGGATAGTATTTTACGTCAGGAGGTCGGACAGTGAAGCTCCCTTCGAGCGAAGGTGTGGAGGCCAGTTTCGGGATGGTGGCCACGCAAAAGAGACGATCGTACGGTGTACGTAGATACTGTGCAAGTGGGTGCTGGGGGTTATGGGGTAACGATTCCCGTTCAGCTTGCGACTAGGCAGGATTGTTGTTTGTTCGCTGGTGCGTCGTAAGGTGCATCGTGTCGGGTTGGGACTGCGAGGCGCATGATCCGTAGGCCCCTCTCTGGACGAACGGAGATGAGGTTCGTGAAGCTATTCGCAGCCCCTTCCTTGCAACTCCGTACGATGGCTCGTGCGTTGACTGTGCCTCACGTGGTAGTTCAAGCATACGGCGTCCAGGGTTTCTTACCTTGCACAGGCCTTAGAGATGGTACCCTAAGGATTTAACAGTAGGCGTGATGAGGTGTGTTCAAGTCCTGAACGTTCCATGCTGATTGAGCGAAGTTCACATAAGGATAATTGACGGAACTTCGGCTGAGAATCGCTATTCGGATATGGGGACGCGGAAAGTGAGTGGCCTGTTTTTGGTGGTAATGTTGAGTGGCGTGATGGTGCGCTCGTCGTAAGGCCGTCAGGGATTACGGCGACGGGCGCCAGCGGATGGGGTGTTGGACCCCTGTGGCTGATCCCGTCAAAGCTCGATCAGTGCTTAGAATGGCCTAGGGCGGCACAGCAGCTTGGTTGGAGACTATGGTTAGTTGCCTACCTATAGATAGGTAGGTACCTAGGTAGGTACGCACGTACGGTAGGTACAGTAGATACGATAGATAGGTAGGTACATATGACGGGTTTTCTTTCCCACATCAAGTCACTCTCGCAGTGGAGGAATTCCACCAAGGGAAAGAAAAGGCCCGAGCATGAACCCGAAATGGGCTCAGCGTGATGCCGTTCCTGTTCTGTTGTGGCGCTGGTCTCGGTTGGCCTGAACCATCTGATTTTCCAACCTCAACATCCCATGCTCTTCTAATGGTGCTCTTCGGCCATACGTCTCAAGTTTTCTTCAGCAGCACCAGAGCAATCAATCAGCCGTCCCTCACGATACGTCAAAGCCCAGTGGCAAGGGCCCGGTCACCACATCCTGGACGCTCTCCCTCGCGTCCATGCTCGTCGTCACTTTCGGACCAATGTCTGTCGTATCAGATCAGGCCCGCCGGTCCAGTCGAGGCAATCCATACCGACGAGGTACATAGCAATACGTACAATTGGCATGGAACGATAGTCAAGGCTGCGAACGAAACCCAACCTGACTTACCGGCGATGGCCGTCCACCAAATGAACCCAGCTGAGGTTCCCAGAACTGGACGAGAACGAACCCCCAACGAGGTCGTGGTTCCACCATTCCACGCTGACGCCTGCAGATGAAGCCTACTCCCCACTCGCCTTGATGTCTGTCGTTCCGCGCTGTGCTCCAATGTCAAACAGTCAATCCATAGCTTGTCAGGTGGAGATTTTCGGTTCTTTTGTCAATCCGCCATCCCAATGGAACGAAGCTTTACCATAACTTCCATCTTTCCACGCCCACTCATTCCAACGCGGCGCGCCGCTGCCAGCGAGACCTTGCCGGACGTCAAATCCTTGACCCTCAACCCCGGTTGGTCTTGCCCATCGTCCGCCGAGTAATGCTTTCCATTGTGCGTAGTCTCCTATTCGAGGGGTCGCCGCGTTAATTCCCCCAACCTGGTCGAGCGAGCGTACTGCGTAGGCGGGTGAACCGTCACTCACAGGTACAGGACCTCCCACCCAGCCAACCCCAGGCCTGTATCGTACACAGTTTGAGCAGACTTTCAGCACACTATTCTCCAACGCTTCTTGAGAACTAATGCATGGGTGGTGATCCGGCCCACGTCCGAACCGGCCGGGATCTTGGCATTTGGGGTATGTACTTGTTCGGGTGTCGCGAACTCTCCTGCCACCACTGTGAGGGGCAAACGTTCCTTTGACTTTCCTGGCCTGTCGTCAGCATCATACGTTTTTCTCTGGCATTTCCCAGTGGATGCCCAGTCAGCCCTGATACCACACCGCACCTCGCCTCGCCATGCCTTGCCTACTATACCCTACCTGCTGGGCCACCACCGTCCATTGCCGTACCGAGCTCCCCTACCCCTGCACCTCACTTATACGGCCGCCGTCTCTGGTAGGGTCCAAGATGTTGCTCTTGTCTCTATATAAAGCGCACGTTACCATGCCCTTCCTTCTCTTCTGATCAGATCAAACAATCCAATCTCGACATTCCTGCTTCCGACACAGCATCTGTTAATACCTAGGAGGACACCGAATTTCATCTCTTCAGAGACCTTTCAACATCATCCAACACCAACCATCATAATGTCTGCTCCCGAGATCCCCACAGAGCAATGGGCCCAGGTCATCGAGAAGACCGGCGGACGTATGTTCACACCTTGCAGCATTTCCGATCGCACTCGTTTCTAACATGTTACAGCCGTCATATATAAGAAGATTCCCGTTCAAAAGCCTGCTTCTGATGAGGTTTTGATCAATATCAAATACTCCGGTGTCTGTCACACCGACTTGCACGCCATGATGGGCGATTGGCCTCTCGAAACCAAGCTTCCTCTCGTCGGTGGACACGAGGGTGCCGGTATCGTCGTCGCGCGCGGCGAGCTTGTCAAGGATGTCGAAATTGGCGACTACGCGGGTGTTAAATGGTTGAACGGCTCTTGCCTTGCCTGTACCTTCTGTCAAGACGCTGATGAGCCTCTTTGCCCTCATGCTCTCCTCTCCGGCTACACCGTCGACGGTAGCTTCCAGCAGTACGCCATCGCCAAGGCGGCCCACGTTGCGCGCATCCCCAAGGACGTTAGCCTCGAGGCCGTTGCCCCCATTCTCTGCGCCGGCATCACCGTCTACAAGGGACTCAAGGAGTCCGGCGTTCGCGCCGGTCAGTGGGTTGCCATCGTCGGTGCCGGCGGTGGTCTCGGCTCTCTAGCCCTCCAGTACGCCAAGGCCATGGGCCTCCACACCGTCGCTATCGACGGCGGCGCCGAGAAGGGCGAGATGTGCAAGAAGCTCGGCGCCACCGCGTTTGTCGACTTCAATACCTCGAGCAACCTCGTCGAGGATGTCAAGAAGGCCACCCCTGAGGGCCTTGGCCCCCATGCCGTCATCCTTCTCGCCGTCAGCGAAAAGCCCTTCCAGCAGGCCACCGAGTACGTTCGCTCCCGCGGCACCGTCGTCTGCATCGGCCTGCCAGCCAACGCCTACCTGCGCGCGCCCGTCTTCGATACTGTCGTCCGCATGATCACCATCAAGGGCTCCTACGTCGGCAACCGCAAGGACACGGCCGAGGCCATCGACTTTTTCCGCCGCGGCCTCATCAACGCCCCTTACAAGACCGTCGGCCTGAGTCAGCTCGGCGAGGTGTTTGACTTGATGAAAAAGGGCCAGATCGCCGGCCGCTACGTCGTCGACACCAGCAAGTGAGCGTCTGCTATATATTGTGGAGCAGTTTTGAAAAGTTGGGGGGCTGGTGGTTTTAAAGTCGCAAAAGCTGGGAGGCGGCGATCGGCGGCGGCGGCCGGGTTATGATTTACAGCGGGCGAGTGGATGATTCGATGTATCTATTTACGGCTTTTCACGGATACCTAACCTGGGAGAGGGAGTTGAGCATGTATAATAAGTTGTATCCCGTTCATGGGAGACGACTAATGATGATAACTGTGGAACAACGATGGTCTGCTTGTTTGACTTGGCGACAATGACAATCCTCAATGATGCTCATGAGTGAGATGGACAAGCAAAAAATAAACGGGAAGAATTGCGACCATGATTGAAATCTTCGCCAGCTGGCGAGATATCGTTGACAAAGTATACGAGTAAGTTGACGTATGACGACACATGACATATTAATGGAGGTAATTGCGCTACCCTCGAACCGGGGGGTTATCTAGACGTCTAAGATCACCTGCTGCCCCAGGCTTCAAGCCTTACCAATGGAACAACATGGTTATCAAGGCCACAAACAGGAGTGGTCGACCGATTGACGTCCCCCCTTAGCTCCGAGCAAAATGCTTCAAGACGCCGGGTTCGTGGACGTAGAAAAGAGGATCGTCACCTGGCCCTTTGACGCATGGCCCGAAGACCCCAAGCTCAAGCACATGTGCTTCTTGGGCCCAGAAGGTTCTGCCTTGGCCAGTGTCGAGGTTGTACCGATGGCCATCTCTACATCTGTGCTCGGCCAGGGCCAGTAGGCCGAATAACCGGGTCATACTAAGACCGGCGTCAGCTAGGGAACACTTTGAAGCACTTTCATGAGCCCGGGCCTGACCGGAGTTGCTTTACATGGCTCAACAAGAAGCTGCCACGAGGAAACATCATCTGCTTAACATGTTCATCTGCACATGAACCAATTGGCGTCTCATGGCATCCGGTCCAAGTGTCTTTGGAGAGACAAGACTGGCCAGAGATTATTCGAAAGCATACTAATTGGGTCTGGCCGAAGATGGTCTAACCTAATAACATCCAGTTTTTTTTTTCTGTGTTTGTCGCACAGATTCATGGGGCCAACGACTTCACTCATTCTGACCACCATCAAGCCGACAGGTGAGAACTATTGAAAAGGCACAGCTTGGATCACATCAGGGACAGCCGGCATCATCGTCGTCCCAACCGCCACTGGAGAGCGGCGGCCTAAGGGACGAGAGTTGGACCCCGCCCATACGCAAAAAAAAAAGAAAAAAAAAAGGCATGACTGATGAAGGTCATGATTTTGAATTCTCGTAGTAAAGCAGACGCGGTGGTGGGAGTGGCGTCCTTTTAAAGTGACAATGGCTTGTAGTCTACGCTTCTCCCCAAATCTATGAACCGCCAGGGCCGCCCAGCAGCGCAAACCTTCTCACAATGCTGGGACCGTATTCCTCGTACTATCAAATCAGTTAGCAAAGCCCTCCATACTGTTCAAACAGAATGCACTTACCTCAGCCTTGGTGTGGCAGTAGGACCGGAACTCGGGCGTCTGGCCCAACAAGCTACCACCGAACCAGGGACCGTGTCTCTGTCTCTTGTGCGTAATGACCTGGACCTCCAAACCGCCGGACTTGGCACCGCCGCTACGGACCTCGCTGGCTCGGATGCGCGCATCAACCAACTGCTTGATATCTCTCTGCAAGCGACGGCCAAAGTCCTTGTACAGGGTGCTGCCACCGGAAAGGACAATGTTCTTGTAGAGACCGCGACGCACGTCAATGGGCGAGGTCTGGATGACATTATCGACGACAGTGGGAAGGGGCGTGAGGAAGTCGGAGCTGTAGATTTCGGGGTTGAAGAAAATCTCAGGGGCGAGGAAACGCTCGTATCCGACGTCGACGGTGACCTGACGGCCGCCGGGCTGGATTACCGGGTGCTTGATAAATCGGGTGGGGTCGCGGTCGTAACGGGAGAACTCCTTGACGATATCGGGGCACACGTAGCAGTGCTGCTCCTTGATCTCCTGGGCCGTCTTGAGCGACGAGTCTGGCTCGCCTCTGTCACGCAGAAGCGACTGCACGAAGTAAGTCAGGTCGCGACCGGCAATGGGGATCGACTTGATGGAGGATCCGATGACGTAGCCCTCGGCAACGGGGATGACGTGGGTAACACCGTCACCAGAGTCAATGACCGTACCGGTCAGAGACCGATCGTGAACTTTGGACGAGGTCCACGAGGCGGCCAGAGCAAGCACAGCCTGGACGGCGATGTAAAGACCGGCGCAGTTGAAGGACTCGAAGAAAATCTCGGCCGTGTTCTCGCGGTTCTCGGGAGGGTTCAGGGGCTATTACAAGATCAGCTCAAGAATCCTAGTCATCGGCGACGGGTGTTGGGTGCGTACTGGTTCTGTGAGGAGGAAGAAGTGGTCTTCGGGTTCCACGCGGAGGTACTTGAAGATGGAGTTGGACCAGAATCGTTCCATATGGTCCTGCAAGCTGTTAGCTCGTATTGGGCGAACTCTTCGCCAGACAAAGACTGACCCAGTTCTCTATTTGGCCGTGGCGGATGGGATAATGAAGACCGTAGCCTGGAGAATCCGTCAGCGGTTGGCCGTCCGTGCCACTATGTTCGCGTTCAACTGACCGGGTCCTCCAGATGCAGCAATGGCCTCATCACCAATAAAGAAGTCCAGGTCCTCGGTTCCACGCTTCGAGTTCAGGTGGCCGCTAGGGCCTGCGCCGCCGGTGAGGAAAGATGGCTTGTTCGCAACAGCTGGACGGCCTGAGCCCGTTCCTCCAGCGCCTCCGGCAGCACCTTTCGTCGCGATAGCGGTGGGGAACACAAAGGACGGGGAGTCGTTGCCGGCGAAACCTGAACCGGAAGTTAGAGCTAGTACTTGGTATACAGACGATGGAGGTGCGCAATTGGCGTACCGAGCTTCGAGAATCCCGTGCCGCTGTTGATGGCCCGTTAGCTGGAGATAGTCTCACTGACGTCTGCCTCGGGGGATGCGGGGCAGGGTGACATTAGTGGCTTACTTGTCCATGACAACGGCAGGCGTTTGGTTCGCCATCGTGGAAGTTGGTTCTAGTGCGCTCGTTGAGGCTCTAGCTCAGTTGCAGCATCAATGGGTGAGAGGATAGGCCGTCGGGTTGTTGGATGTGTCGTGATGTTGGTTACGACGTACGTCCAAGGTAGCCGGAAATGTGTGCCTTGTCACCGATGGAAGCTCCCAACCTGCGGCTGTGCATCAGAGTGGGTGGACTCTCCAGCCATGGAGAAGGTCGGTGCCCCACCAGAGAGTGAGAGGAAAGCCCCACCAAGCGCACCAGAGAGGAAAGGCCGTGCCGATCATCCTACACTGTATGAAACACTGTAAGTATATTAAGTAAGCACATGATTGTCTTGCTTGAACTTCGACGACAACAACTGTGCCTTTCCAGGATCTTTTCTTGAGCTCTTTGCTACACCGGGAGGCTGAATTGTTTGTGATAATTCTGGCAAAGCACTTTGTAATAGGAATCTGGGACAGGCAGGTGTTTGGGTCAGAAACAGTAAGGCGGACAACAAACTGTCTTTGCAAGTGTCACCCTCCAAACCGAAAATGTTTGGATGGTAATTATCGCCTGTTCATCTGAACTGAACTGGTTTAGTCAGAAGTCTCGACGTGCGAAAGACGTCGCTTTGCGCCTACCGGAGCTTGAGACGTTTGTTCCCTGGCTCTGAAGTGGGAAATCTCAGCAGAGAAAGGGCCAAGTCACGCTTGGGTTTTCTGAGCATTTTGCGACTTCCCACATTGCTCGTCCCCTTCCATATTCAGCGAGGCAACTTCCTCGCTGCACTATTCTGGAAGTCCCTGTAGACTTCGATCTCCTGTAATCTCTTAGCTGCGAGCCGCTCCGCCCAATCTTCATCCTCGATTTCTCCTCTTCTCCTAGGTCACATCTACGCCACGCTCACTTCTTGGATGGTAACCGAAAGGTCCTAGGACCACCCTTCCAGAGTCATCCCACCTCATCATTCATTAATCTTCTACGTCCATAATCATCAACTGTTTTCAAGCTCGACAGTGGACCTCGTCTTCTCGGCAACTGACTCAACGTCGGATCATTCCTCCACTGTCCGGTCACCGACTATCTTTAATGACCAATCTGCACTCGGAAGCCTCACAGTCTCTACTCGCAGCATTGCCTTACCCCAAAACCAATATCGACTACACTGCCCTAGGTACTCAAACCCACGATAAATCCGCTTTCCCGAAGATCAAACGAATGATCACTCCTGCACCGAAAGAGGGAACCCATTAAGCAATCCGAAGTGGCATCTTCACTTGATCGGACTGCACCTGGAATGGAACACTCGGTCACTGAGACCAAGTACGACACAGCTCTCGCAGCTGAAGGCTCTTCAACGCTCCCTCTACAAGGCCCGCATATCAGAGGCTCGGAAAACCATGTAAAGACGATGGGAGGCGCTAACGGCACAGTCGACCGGATGTTGAAGCGAATGCAAAAGGGGAAATTCGCCGGGGCCATTTTCATCCATGCAGGGGCTGGTTTCCATAGCCACCAAAATGAACGAGTTCACCTTGAGGCCTGTAGCAAGTAAGTCAACCCTGCGCGTTCTGATGGGCATCTGCCAACTGAATCAGTGCTGCTTCCATGGGAATGAAGTTCCTGAAATCGGGTGCTTCGGCCACCGAAGCTGTCGAGGCGGCTTTGCGCGTCCTGGAAGACAAGGAGATAACCAATGCCGGCTACGGTTCTAACCTGTCAATGGACGGGACTGTTGAATGCGATGCAACGATTGTCGACCATCTTGGCAGGAGTGGTGCCTGTGGAGCGGTTCCCAGTGAGTTACCCTGCCGACAACTGCAGTCAGTGGCCACAACTAACATTATGACTAGACATCAGAAACCCTGTCTGCCTCGCAAAGCTGATATTGGACAAAAGCAATAAGCCCCTGTCTCTACGACGTGTTCCGCCAAACATACTTGTTGGGGAGGGTGCCAAAAACTTTGCCATGGAGAACGGTATGCAGGTTGTTCCGAACGATTACCTGGTCTCCAAGAACGCACGTGACCGGTTTCTGCGATGGCAAGAAGATCTCAATCGGGCGGAGGAGAGGCTGAGGCAGGCTAGAGCACGCAAACCACCCGGAGAAGCGATCGATAACTGCCAGAAATTCGAGACCATGCCGATACCAGCTAGGTTACACCAGAATCAACAAAGGGACCATGCCAATGCTATCCTCAGCGGTACCTGGAATGAAGGTCAGCCGGATTCTCCACAAAGGGGTTCTCCGGCGCTCGAGCAGATGCAGGGCCATCATCAGGGAAACCCTTTGGCCGGATCAGCATACCCTAGGACGCCTCCTCAGCAGATTGAACGTTCTCCTTTGAGCTACATCGGGGTTTCCGCACCATCAGCCAACAGATCCCGGCCTACCATACTTCAGGAAAAGGAGTCATTGGCAGCGCCTCCCAGTCAGTTGGCGAACGAGGGAAGTCGTGACGGTACCAGGTCCCCTCAGTGGACAGATGGAGCCAAGTTCGCAAGCACGATTGCACAGCTCCAGGGCTGCAGCCCTCGTAGTCTTAAGCGACCGTTTTCTGCAACCGAGCTGGAGCATGAGGATGTCATCACCGACACCGTGGGAGCCATAGCAATCGATGAAAAAGGAAACATCGCGGCAGGCTCGTCATCTGGTGGCATTGGAATGAAGCATCGTGGGCGAATAGGTCCTGCTGCTCTGGTGGGCATCGGCACAGCTGTAGTGCCATGTGATCCGAACGATCCAGACAGTATCAGTGTGGCAACTGTCACCAGCGGCACAGGGGAGCACATGGCCACCACAATGGCGTCACAAAGATGTGCTGAACGGATATATGGCAATACCCGTCGAGGTCCGAGCGGCAGAGATATCGAGGAATGGGACGAGGACGCCATCATGGAGTCCTTCATCACGAACGACTTCATGGGCCACCCCGGTGTCAAAGACTGCAACTCTGCCGGGGCGATTGGCGTGATGACGGTCAAGAAGACACGGACGGGGTACTATTTATACTTCGCCCACAATACCGACTCATTCGCGTTGGCCTCCATGGGCGGTTCGGACAGAGAGCCAGTTTGCGTCATGTCCCGTCTGGGCGAGACTGCTCAAGTTACCCGGGGGCTCGAAGGATACGGGTGGATCCAGGATCGTGATAATGGGATCGTTACCGCAATCGGTAACTTGTTTAGTGCAGTCTCGGAAGGAAAAATGGGCACACGAGTCTGTTGGTGCGTTGCGGTAGTTGGGCGTGGTTTTGCGTCGCATGCGACGCAGTACCCGATGACTGAGCCAACAAGGACGGCAAGATTCGAACTTTGAGTATTTTTATTCGGTAGTGATACCCCTCTCGTATACATGGCAACTGCCCTCCTAGAGCGCCACCTCACAGGTTCATGCACGAGGAACAAGACACGTATTTTAAGACGCATTGGTCAAAGACATGATGGTGCCTGTTATTCAGCTCCACCACTGGAGTAGTTTATCTAGATACGAATCTGATGGTCATCCTTGGTGCGAATAGACGCCTCTTTTCAGACGCCCGGTTGATGAACCCTGAACCCGACCTGAAGGCTTCCTCCGTCCAGCTATATGCAAGTCGGAAGAAGTTGACCAATCCAGAACCCGTACTCCGATACAGCACAACTTCTCTGCTTTGGATTGTTCGCTTCCTTCTCTTTCGAGCACGAGCGAACCATTCCCTTGTATCTATATATACTTTGCTAAGTTCTGCGCCGGAGGCCTCTGATTAGGCTAAGCAGGCTGCATTTAGGCAGCTGTCTGCAGCGTCTGTCGGCGCCGTCATGTGTCTTGCCTGTTCTGCGCCGATGACGCCGCCTGAGCGGGCATTGTCTGGTGAATCTCGTCAAATCTTTTGACCTGTATTCTCTCCTTGTTGCTCTCGCGCCCTGTCTTATCCCGGACGCGGCGTTCCCGCAGCGCTGCCCGTCTCCTCCCTGCTGTGGCCGTTGGCCAGTACCGTTTTCTTCTTTTTCTTCTTCTTCCGGGGGATGACGGCGGGCTTAGCGCCATAGCTGCCGAGGGAGAGCTTGGTGCCGCAGGTAAGGCACTCTGAACCGTCAGGAACGTCGCAGAATATACTTAGGCAGATGCTGCAGACGAAGCCCGTGTCGACGACGCGGCCGTGGCAGAAGCAGGCGGCGCGGAAATCGACGGTGTGGTGGGTTGGGGGGATGAGGGAGGAGCGGGCCTCGGCGTCGGCGGAATAGGCAAACATGAGGTAGCTCAGGAGGCCGCGGGGGCTGGCGGCTTGCATGAAGGTGCCGTCGGTGATGTAGCTCGCCTGCTGGAGGAAGGTTGCGTCGCCCGAGAGGGCCAGGGTGTCGATGGGTATCTGGGAGTGGGCTGCGGCAAAGACAGCGTTCATGGTGGAAATGTATTGGACGGGCTCCGAGTCGGAGACAGAGAGGACGAAGATTCGGGCACGGAGGCGGCTGAGGGCGGAGGAGGTGGAACGGGCAACGTCGGGGGCCTTATTCGTCTCGTTGAGGGAGAGTGAGGTCTTGTTGATGTGGGCGAGGGCGAGGGTGAGGGCGCCCGACAGCTGGGTTGTTGTGCATGCCAGGTCGGCTTCAGTGGTGGCGTCGACGAGCTTCCGCATGGAGCTCATGACAGCGGCCTCGATCTGGGCGAACTGAGGGAACTTGTTGGCGGACGACTGGTTCGGCGTGGGAGCGAAGAAGTCGGCGTCGGTCATGGTCACGTCCTCAGCGTGGGGGGCGCCATTGGCGCCGGCGGCCTCGGGCTTGGAAGGATAGAGCCATACGGCACGGTTGCTGTGGGAGGCAAAGATTGCGACCTGGTTCGCGTTGCTGAAGGCGAGGTGGGCGTTGACGAAGACAAGAATATTGGCGATGGCCTTGGAGAGGGGCAGGACGTCGTTGAGGGCGGCCCAGGCACGTGGGTTCGTGTCGATGACGATGGAGAGGAGGGAAGGCGTGGCCTCGTGCGAGGAGACCTCGTAGTGGTCCGACGCGTCGACGGCGTTCATGGTGGAGAGGGTGGCGGCGGCGGAGGAGGAGCAGAATTAGGATCAATGCAGGAGACGGCGATGGCCTCAGAGGGCGGGCGCCAGGTCGCAGCGAGAGTGTCACAGGCGGAGCATCTGCGGTCCTGCGAGCAGCTGTTGTGTTGAATTATCCCAGGGCGTCGTTCGACTGGACCCCCTTCCAATCCTACGTCCTCGAGACCAACGAGTGGATTGGGACTCTTGGCGTGGTCTCATCCAAGAGGGAAAGGGCCGAGGGAGCAGGGTAAAAATAAAAAAGGGTTTATGGGAAGGTAGGATTCGTGTGAGGTGAGGTGCAATGTGATGCAACAACAAGCAAGCTTCAAGTCCAGAAATAATCCGTAACCACACCATGGCTGGAGCTGAGAGCTGGTCCGTGCTCCAGACACAGGATGGCAAGAAAGTCAAATGCCATTGGGCGGCTCAGGGCCAAGGGCCCAGGGGTAGGGGACGCGACGGGAAGAGGCCTCGATACCTAGCTTACTAGTGTTTTTCCCTGGCTGGGGTCTGCCAAAAAGAATACAAGGGGTGGATCATGCCGTGGTCTGGCATGGGAGGGTTGAGTTGATTTGATGTGATGATTTACATCACGGTCCGATAGAGTAGACACAGCGCCGGACCGAAGCTGACTTGGAACTGAAGCACTGGAGAAAGGGACCACCTAAGCTACCTAATGTACGTACTTATTTCGGCACCGGAGAGGGAGGAGAGGGTCTTGTTCGCAGGTAGGTAGTTTGTCTGCCTTAGGTAAGCTGGAATGGTACGGTACAAGCAAGGCTCAATCAGGAACCCACTAATTATCGGCTGTTTTCGAGGTCCAGCAAGACCGAGTCCACCAAGAGGAAAATAAACTCGAAAGTTTCGATTCATTGAGTTTATTATGCGCGATAGGCGGCGTAACTGTCGGGGGGCCCATTCTGCATTGTCGCCAGCGGTGCATTACAGTTGATGGATAGATGGAAGGATAGGAGGGGGAGGGGCACGAGGTGTGATGCAACAGCCAGTGGTAACCAACGAGGGGCACCCGTGGCACCTAAAACAAGAGATAGGAAAGCCGGGCCTATCGAACCTTGCAAAGACAGCCTTGACAGGCGCTAAAGGGAAGGGAGGAAAAGTAGCCTGGACAGACCTTGGCTTGGACTGCAGTATCTGACCTCACCGTCCGTCCTAAGTGCTTGGCTACCTACCGGAGGGTGTGTCTGCCTTGGGCAGAGTACAGAGACTAAGGTGCCTTACCTACCTCTGGTCTGGTAGTGAGTGGTGCGTGCTACCTGCACAGCCATGCTACTGTACGTGTACCTTACGCAGTAGGTATGTTGTGTGTGCTTGGTGAAACCTCTCGAGGGATTGATTGTCTGCTGCCATTCTTATCTCAGCGCTTGACTCGACCGGAACCTCCTCCATGCTTCTTTCTGTTCTGTCATCGCCGGACCTTGTGACCAACACATCCCATCACATAGTCGGACTCATCGATGCCGCCTCCGCCGTCGCCCTCGCCGCCCTAAACGACCAGAGACGAGGTACCCTACTTATATCGCTGGGTCGCCCCATCTCGTTCTAGACTCTTCTTTTTTTTCTTTCCTCATCCCGTCCCAGGTCTGGTCTGTTCTGTCCTCACTCATCCACCCACCTGCCACGCTACACCCTAGTATACGTTATCATCAACCGACCGCTTAAGAGCACTTTCACTCCCCCGCGTCTCGTGCCGACTGCCGCAGTACCAACAACCATGGCCGCCGTCACACATGCGACCGCTCCCAAGGCGGCGCCCTCACGAGAGGACGAGACTCTCCTCGTGCTTGCGCGATTGATGGAGGGCGGACAGGAGGACGATGAGACAATCCGCGACCTCGACCAGCTCACCAAGCTGCTCAATGAGGACATCCAGCTCATCCAGGCCAAGACTGGCGCCCCCACAATATGCAACCTCATCGACGGCGACTGTGTCGACACCATTCTGACATACCTCGACATGAGACAGCCTGAGATCGTCCGCGCACACGCAGTCATCGCCACATCTGCCTACCTCAAGGCCGCCGGTGACGATGGCGCCAAGAAGCTTTCTGGCTTTTTCTTCGACAAGATCAAGCGGGGTACTTATGACGACTACATTGTCGCCTTTTGTGTCGCTGCCTCGACCTTTCCCGTCGTGCCAGACCTCACGGCCGACCTTTTTTTGAGCGAGGGCTTCTTGAGCTCCCTCGGGCCCTTGATGAGAAGGAAATGGAAGAGCCGCAAGGTTGAGACCGCCTGCTTGGAGATGCTCAACGCCGCCTGCATGAACTCGCAATGCCGCGACGCTGTGGACAAGTACTGCACCGAGTGGCTCGAGGAGGTTGTCGACCAGGACCCCAACGAGATCGCCAAGGAGATGCTACAGGACCCAGAGTACTCGGCCAAGGAGGGCTCCGTCTCCATGCGCAAACACTCGGAGCAAGTCCAGAATTTGGCAGCCGTCATCCTAGCGAAACTGAGGGTATGGTATTCAGACCTTCCAACAGCCCGACACGGACCCGTCCAATCATAGATCTGACTGACTTCAGAACGAAGGCGGTGCCCTCCGCACCGGCGAACAATGAGGACGGCCAAGAGAGGATAACGCCTGCCATTACCACCATCGAAGACTTGTCGGCGAGGTTCACCTCCATGCTCCTGAGCGAAGACGACCATGGCCATCACCATTCCATCGAAGGACTGGCGTACGCATCAATCCAGCCCGCCATCAAGGAGAAGCTGGCGGGGAACCCGGATTTCCTAAAGAAGCTGGTCAAGACGTTGGCCGACGCTCCGCCCAAGTCGCCCGTGACTTACGGAGCCCTTAGTATCTTGGTTAACCTGACCAGGTACCAGCCCAATTTGACCGAGGAGGAAAAGAAGATGAACCAACTCAAGGCGTACGCCGCCGCCGCCGGCAAGTCCGCCGGGCCGGACCCCCTCAACGACAACGACCATGTCTCGGAACGGTGCAGGCGCGTCTTCGAAGCGGGCGTCACGCCCGTGCTGGTGACACACAGCAAGAACGGCTCACCGGCCTCGCTCTCACTCACTGTCGCCATCATTTACTCGCTTTCAGTCACGACCTCCCTGCGCGGAAAGCTTGCCCAGCAGGGCGCCGTCAAGCTCCTCCTGGCCGCGTGGGCAACTCTGCCCGACTCGGAAGCTGCAGGCCGCCGCACGGCTGCACAAGCTCTGGCGCGCATCCTCATCAGCACCAACCCGGCCCTCGTGTTCGGCGGGAGCCGCTCCAACACGCAGAGCTCCGCGATCCGCCCCCTCATCTCCATCATCCCCCCGGATCCGGCCGCCGAGACCCGTGATCTCCTCCCCACTTTCGAGGCGCTCATGGCGCTCACCAACCTCGCATCCACCGACGATTTAGACACCAGGCGAGCCATTGTCCGAGAAGCATGGCCGCAGATCGAGGATCAGCTGCTCTGCTCCAACGCGCGGGTGTCCAAGGCCGCGGTCGAGCTCGTCTGCAACCTGGTACAGGCGGCGGAGGGCATGGCGCTTTACGCCGATGGCAGCCCCCAAGCCAAGGGCCGCTTGCACATCCTCCTCGCCCTGGCGGACGCCGAGGACGAAGGAACGCGCAGCGCGGCAGGCGGTGCGCTGGCAGCCCTCACCGGCCACGAGAACGTTGTGCAGGCCGTCGTGGAACGCGAGCGGGGCATCAAGGTCATCCTTGACATGTGCGCCGACGACAGCGAGGACCTGCGGCACCGCGGGGGTTTCATCATCTACAATATGGTGGCCGCCGAGGGCGCGCCGGGCGCCAACGCGCGCAAGAAGATCATCGAGGAGGACGGTCTGGAGGCGCTCAAGGAGGCGGCCAAGAAGAGCCGGCGGGCCGAGGTCGTCGAGGTCCTCGTGCAGGCTCTGAAGGTCCTGCTCGAGGACAACCGGGCGTTGGAGGGTTAAAAGACGGGGAGGGGCCCGGGTCTCGGTTTTTTTTTCTTTTCTTTCTCTGTATAGATACATTATCTCCTTAGATCGAGTAGACAGACACTATATGGCAGAGAACCCACAAAGGGCGGGGAAAAGAAGAGAACAAGACTAGAAACGGTGTCTTGCACCGTATTTACTTTTCATTACGCCACGCTTTGTTTTCTTAGGTGGCCTGCTTGGTGCCTTTTTGGATTATTACAGACCAATCAAAATGCTGGTGTCACGATGCTGTTTTATCTACCCTGTCCCGTTGTTCCCCCTGCCTTATTCAAGCAAATCCTTGAGCAGTCCTCAAGCAGTTTTCTCCACCCTGTTCAACACGGCGACGCCCTCGACGTGCGCCGTCTGCGGGAAGAAGTCGAAGCCGACGAGGCTCTCGATCTCGTACCTGGTCCCATCGCCGCCGTCGCCGCGGACCAGCACGCCGACGTCGCGGGCCTGTGTGTGGACGTTGCAGCTCACGTAGACGACGCGGCGGGGGCCGAAGCGCAGCAGCTGGCCGAGGAAGTCGGCGTCGCAGCCCTTGCGGGGCGGGTCGATGACGACGACGGTCTCGTCGGCGGTGTAGGTGACATGGGCGAAGAGCTGCGGGGCGTCGGCGGCGAGGAAGTTGCACTGTGACTCGGGCAGGCCGTTGAGCCGGGCGTTCTTGCGCGCGCACTCGATCGAGTCCTGGGCGATGTCGATGCCCGTGCTGCCCTGGAAGAGGGAGGCGAGGGTGATTGTGAAGAGGCCCGAGCCCGAGTAGGCGTCGATGAGGTACTTGATGCGGTCGCGGTGGGGGCCCGCGGGTGGCATGACGTGGTCGCGGATGTAGCCGGTGAAGGACGGCAGGATGCAATTGTTGTTCTGGAAGAAGGAGTTGGCCGGGTTGGTGAAGATGTAGGGGCCGATGTACTCGGTCGTCATGGCGCTCGCCTCCGAGAGGCACGTCTTGATGTAGGTGTGCGTGTCGGTGTCGACGCGGATCGCGTCCGAAGGGACCTCGGCGGGGGGTTGTTCCGGGTCCTGGTCCTCCGTGGCGGCGGCCGCCGCCGCCCCGAGGACCTTCTTCGGGTACCGCTTCGTGCTCTCGCGGAGGAGGATGGTCGCGCCCTTTGTGTAGTTGCCGAACTCGCGGGCGATGCGGGAGCGCTCGCGCTTCATGCCGAGGCGGACGGCGTCGGTGCCGATGGGGCAGTCCTCGATGTCGAGCACGGCGCGGCGGCCCTTGAGGTTGAAGCCGATATCGGGGACGCAGTCGAGCGCCTGGCGCGGCCTGTTCTTCTTGTGGTGGCCGGGGGGCCCGTCAAAGTGCGGCGTGAGCTTGGTGCGGTAGCCGTACTGCAGCGGGCTGCCGATGGTCTCGGCCACCTCGGGCACGAGGGCCGGGTCGAGGTTGGAGAAGTTGCGGAAGGCCTTCTCGACGATGGTGCGCTTGTGCGCGAGCTGGGCGTCGTAGCTGAGCATCTGGAACTGGCAGCCGGAGCACCGGGTGAAGTACTTGCAGTTGACGCGGGTGTCGTCGCGCAGCGGGCCCGCCGCGGCGACGGAGAGGAAGTCGGCCATGGAGTACGACTCGGCGGGGAAGTGGCGGACCACCTTGACCCGGGCCACGTCGCCGGGGGTGACAAAGGGGACGACGTAGATGTGCGTGGGCGGCGAGCCGGCGTGCACGGCGAGGCCGTCGCCGGTGGATGAGAGGGCGAGAACCTCGACCTCGATCTCGGTGAAGGGGGCCGGGAGGGGTTTTGAGGGGACGGGCTCGGTCTCGACATCGCCTTCCTTGGCTTCCGCGTCGGTTTCCGCGGCCACCTCCGCCGGCTCGGGGAGAGAGGCCTTGCGGGACGCGATGAGCGCTTGCACGTCCGTCGCCAAGACCTCCTCCGAGGACCCCTCCGTGATATTCCTCTCACGCTTCGACTTGCGCTGCTTGTCCTTGTCCCTGCCCCGCCCACCCTGGCCCTGGAACCCGCGCTTGTTGCCTTTGGGCTTGTTGCCGTTGTTCTGCCATGTCTTCTGTCCCGACCCCTGCTGAGATGCTGCTGCCGGTGCTGCTGGCTTAGGAGAAGCCTCCTGAGCCGGTTTGGAGGCCGATTGCGGCTGGGGCGTGTCCTCATTTGACGACATTTTGAATGTGCGTATGAATGTTTTGCGAGGCGCGGCCGAGGTGTAAGCGCTGCCGGGGCCGGTGAGTGTGAGAGCCGCTGAACGGAGTGAAGACGAAGTGAATCTCGGTAGAAGCCGCAGAGACAGACTCATCGAGTCACTGGAAGGGTCTGTCACGGTTGGGGAAGCAGCAATTGCCGGCTACCTGCGCGGACCCAAGAGATGCAGCACCGGGTTCGAACGTGGTGCAAAAAGGTAAACCGCCGCCCAATAGTGAGAGAGCTTGTGACTTTTTGCGACTCGTGAGGAAAAAAAGTCGTCGGCCACAGCTCCTGGAGGTTTGCTGAGAATTACCCAATTTGCCGGCCGCTGATTGGTGTCCCTGGAACGCTGGGCGCGTGGTGTGGGGCCGCGAATCCAGCGTGACGGCCATCATGCGCACCACCTCCACCCCGGCGCCCCAGTTTAAAGTCGCTTATCAGTACGGTATCAGCGCCTGCCAGATCTGGGGGGGGGGGGGGCAACCACTCTGTGAGTTTGTTCATAGCGACTCAGTCTGTCGCAATCGACGGGGGGATCCATTAGAAATACATACTAAGTCATGGCACCCCCCCGAACACGGAACAGCTTGGTTTCTAATGCCTTCCCGCCCCCAGCTTTGCCTCACCTTCTTCCGCCGGGTTGTTTTGCAGTTGTTACGTAGCAGGTAGGGAAGGAAGACTGTTCTCCAGATAAAAGACAATCGTTGAGTGCCGACGTACGTTCAGAGTTGCACAAGCCTCTCTCTCTTTCTCCTTGTACCTGTGGGTCTTATCTCTCTTATCGGAGTTTCGGCCGTCGAGTCTCGGAGGATCCGTCCGGTGTCTGGAGCTCAGGACAGCCGCCGCCCTTCCGCTTTCGGGCTGTTCAAGATGAGTGAGTTCATCCCATCCAGCGAGGAATCCGCCCACTGACCGTGTCAAGAACCACACACTCACTCAATATGGCCCTTCTACGCCTCTCTGCTATTTCTGGCCGAGCTCCGCTCAATCTCGGCCGCGACGGTGCCGCAGTTCGTCTTTAATCCTCATAGTGGCGGCTTGGGCGCCGTCGCGAGTGAGGCCGTGGAGTGCAGCAAAATAGGCCGCGACCTGATCACGCAAGGCGTACGTCTTTTCATTACCTGATCAACCCCGGGTTGATCATAGATTCATTCTAGGCTTCGCTATGCGACGTCTTTACGCGTGTGACTAACCCTCTTCTCTTAGGGAAATGCTGTCGACGCGCTCGTCGGCACGACCTTTTGCGTCGGCACCGTAGGCATGTACCACTCAGGCATCGGCGGCGGCGGGTTCGTCGTGATTAGAGACGCCGACGGGAACTACGAGTCCGTCGACTTCAGGGAGTCGGCGCCGGCCGCCGCGTTTCAGGACATGTACAAGGGCAACGTCGAGGGGAGCGTTCGCGGGGGCTTGGCCGTGGGCGTGCCGGGCGAGGTCCGTGGATTGGAATACATCCACAACAAGTACGGGGTGAGTGAACCCGGGCTGGCGTCGAAGCCGGAACGTGTCTCAGAGACTGACTTTCGCTTTGCCCAGGTCCTGCCGTGGAAGACTGTCGTTACTCCGGCTGCGCAGCTGGCGACCGCGGGCTTCATAGTCTCCAAGGACTTGGTCCGATACATGAACTCTGCCATCGAGGGCCAAAAGAACTTCCTCGTGGAAGACCCCGTGTGGGCCGAGGAATTTGCTCCGAACGGTCAGTCTTGAGCCTGTCCAGTCAGAGATGAAATCCATCTAACAACTTCCAGGAACGCTTCTCCAGCTCGGCGACACCATCTACCGAAAACGCTACGGCGCGTAAGCCATTCATACAATTCTCCCCCCTTTTCCCCAGACAGCACAACTAACGACACGCCAAGCACCCTCGCCAAGATTGCGGAAGAAGGCCCGGATGTCTTCTACGCCGGCCCCATTGCCGAGTCCATCGTCGCCACCGCCCGCGCCACGAACGGCACGCTGACCCTCGACGACCTCGCCTCCTACAAGGTCGTCACGCGGCCGTCCCTGTCCACCTCGTACCGCGGCCACCGCCTCGTCTCCATCGGCGCCCCCGCCAGTGGCGCCGTGTGCCTCAACACCCTCAAGATCATGGAGCAGTTCGACCCCGCCGAGAGCGCCGACGCCAAGCTCGGCGTCCACCGCTTTGACGAGGCGCTGCGCTTCGCCTACGGCGCGAGGACCCTCCTCGGGGACCCTGATTTTGTCGACGGCATCGGCCCCTTCGAGGACACCCTCCTCGACGAGGACACCGCCAGGGACATTCGGCGCAGGATCCTTGACAACCAGACGCACCCGGTTGAGTGGTACAACCCGCACGGGACGTACGCCAGCGAAGGCTTCGGGACGTCACACATCGTCACGGCGGACAGGTCGGGCATGGCGACCTCCCTGACCACGACCGTGAATCTCTTCTTCGGAGCCCAGATCATGGACCCGTTGTCCGGTGTGATCCTGTTCGTTCCCCCCTCCTCGCTCTTCTACTCATAGACGGAATCCCTCCCACTGACGAAGCCAACAACAGCAACAACGAGATGAACGACTTCTCCATCCCCGGCGTCCGCAACGCCTTCGGCTTCGAGCCGTCTCCCGCAAACTTCATCCGCGCCAACAAGCGGCCCCTCTCCTCCATCACCCCCGTCATCGTTGAGCACCCGGACGGCACCCTCTACGCCACCGTCGGCGCCGCGGGCGGCTCGCGCATTCTCAGCTCCACGGCCCAGGTCACCTGGCACGTCCTCGAGCACGGCCGCACCATGAAGGAGGCCCTCCGCGAGCCGCGCCTTCACGACCAGCTCATGCCCAACGTCGTCACCTTCGAGTACCCCTTCGACAACGACACCGTCGCCAGCATGTTGGAGAAGGGCCACCATGTCAAGTGGGTGCCCGAGGGTGGCAGCGCCGTGCAGGGCATCATCTTCGACGGGGGCGTCTTCGAGGCGGCGAGCGAGCCGCGTCAGAAGAACAGTGGTGCGTTCACCGTGTAGAATGGTTTCCTGTTTCGAGTTGTAGAACGGCTTCACACGAATAAACAGACGATTAGAGGTCATGGCGCATTGCCCCATGCTTATTTGAGGTTATCTGAAGGGAAAAGGGTATCCTCGAGTCTATCAAGTACATATATATAGAAATACAAGCAAGAGCAGCTAGCAATCGCACCTAGGCCGTCAGGGCCACCAGCTTCTCCATCTGGGCGATCCACTTCTGATCGAACTCGCTCTCAGTAAACCTCTTGGCTGACTGGCGTGCCCGCAGACGGATGGGGAGCGTGTCCTTGATGGAAAGGGCCTTCTCGTAGCCTTCGGCAAACTCCTCGACATTCGTGGCGTGGAAACCTGCGCTCATGTTATTATACGGCCACAAGAATGAGTTCATCGCTTACTTACCTGTCGGCTCGCCGTCGATCTTGATGACGATATCCAGCTTGGGGCCACCGCTGTCGTGAACCACCGAGATCAGGCCAGCGGCTTGGTACTCAACGACACCGATGCCAAAGTGCTCGTTCCACATGCCGTTGACACCCACGGAGGCTCTCTGCAGCCAATCCAGAATCTCGGGCCATGAAGCGTCCAGGTGAAACTCGACTCTATCCTTGATGCCGAGCTCGTTCACCAGGAGGCGCAGCGTATACACCCGCTTGGAGTCGTGGTCGTCTCTAACACTACCGATGAGGACCAGTTTCGCATCCTTGGCGGCTTCGGACTTGGTCTTGGTAAATTCGGCAAAGGACTGGATGATAAGGGTGTGGTTCTTCTCGGGGCGGAACTGAGCAATATAGACCAAGGCCTTCTCGCGCTTCTTCTCGCTGGCTTCCGAGACCTCCACGGCCTCCTCGAGCTCTTCGACGGCGCAAGGCGGGTAGTTGACAGCGATGGGGTAGTTTCTGGCCTTGCCCTGGCGGTAAGGGCCCCAGATTTTCTGGACGTGACCTTGGGTCCAGGTCGAGTTCGTCATGACCACATCGATAGTAGATCCCATCCGGGAATACAAGGCCGCAAATAATCTCCAGTAAAACTTCTTGACCTTGCCTCGGAAACCAACTCCCTTGCCAGCATTGACACCTTGTGTTCCGGTCGTAGACTCGGGGTCAAGCGACTGCAGCATGTCGGTCGAGATCGTGGGGTAATGCACGTAGGCGCAGGTAGGGACTCTGCGGAAGAGTAGCTTAGACAGGCCCAAGGAGAAGGCATAGCCCATGGTATCAATAAAGATGTCTGGGACAAGGAGCTGGAAGGCATCCCAAGCCAAAACCACAGATCCAAGCGATTGCCCAAGAAGTGTGAAGTGGGGCCATGTCGAGGCCAGGACGAGGTGTCGTGTGCTGAGGTAGAGGAAGTTGACAGAAGGGGGATGCAGGTCGATGTTGAATCGGGTCTGAGACATCCTGTTAGCATGCGCAAAAGAGGGGTTGTACGTGTGTGTGAATGTGCCAGGGAGGCAAACCTTGACGCGCGCAAGAATTGTCTGCTTGTTTACTTCATGATCGCCAGTGTAGACAACGCAGAGCGCCTTTGGGTAACGTTCCTGGGTGGTCTTGATCGCAGCCCAAAGGACTCGCTCGCCGCCTCCGCCCGCATTGCTTTGTGCTGTTAGTGACTGCCCTCGGTTGTCATCCACGGTCAACGTACCAGAAGGGGTGGAAGAAGCCGACGACTCCGGTCCAGTCTGCATCTTTCTTTCCAGAGCTTCCGGAAGCTTGTGCCTGTACATTGCCCTTGGTGCCGCTTGCACCCTTCCTAGATGTCTGTGTGAAGGACTGCTGCTCCGCGTTCATGAGCTCCAAGAGCTGCGCTTTCCTTCCCTCTGTCTTCTTCCGCAGGTATAGCCCCAGCAGAGATCCGAGGCCTTTCAAGATGTAAGGGAACATGATGAAGATGGCTATTGGGGATATGGCAATGATCGGTACGACAACGTAGGCGAGAGTCCAGGGGTCGAGGCCGAAGGAAAAGGGCGTTTGCCCAGACGGCGCTGAGCAGGTTTCGGGCATCGGAGGCCGAAGAAGTCGTGGGGTTGATGGGTGTAAAATGTTTTGTTTTCTCTCGTTCGTTGCGACGTGACCGCGGTGGTATTCAGGAAGAAAAGAAAGGGCGGTCGAGGCCGAAGATGGCGGCGGTCTGGTCCAGCTTCTGCATCGCCCGTGGACTTGGTGGTGGGATGAGGTGTAGAATGGACGGGAAACAGGCCAGGTTGTACTGCAAGCTATAAAATGGGGGGGAAGCTTCAGCGCAGTTATCCTTCCTTGCTCGTACTGCGGCACTGGTCAGTGGAACCCCGCAAGGGTCCAGGTCTTTTCCGGTCCGGCAAGCTGAGCCAACCTGCGCTGGGCTGTTAAACGGTGACGCGCTGACGGGAGCGGTGGGGCTGCATTGCCTACCTACCTAGGTACCGACAACAGGAGGCTTTCAGGTACTTAGGTACTTGCTACATGGCTCTCTCCCACCTTTCCTCACCGCCCACCCGGCCCACGGCGGCAGATTCATTCAAGCAGTCGAACAGACCCGCTATTGCAGCTTCCCATTGACCACTGAGAGTCAATCATTGATTCATCTCACTCTCAGATATACCTATCCGTATTCAATACGGGATTCATCCTAATTTACAACATTTCCGACCGAGCCGTCAGAATTGACATTCCCTTGATAACTCTTGCCTACATCAAAAGGCCGGGTGACTCACTCGAAACCCGAAAGCCCTCTGATGAGCGTGTGGCCTTCTCATCATGGCTTCCCTCAGAGCGGCGCGTTGCGCTTTCGCGCCGAGCTTGCGCCAACCACTGGGCTTCTCACCAGCACAGTCGCTTTCACTGCCTGCCTCGCTTCGTCTGAATATGAGGCCGACGACGCTGCGCCCTTTCCAGAGGGCGGCAGGTGTCAGGAACCTATCCATGGGTGCCTATGTCGAAAGTAGTGTCCAAGCTACCGGGGAGGCTCTCATCTGGCTGAACTCCTTCAGCTTTGCAGGAAACTGGGGCACCACAATCCTCTTCGCAGCCTTTGCCGTCGCTGTCGTCAGAGCGCCACTCCAGATGATCACCAAGCACATTGTCAACAAACAGGCCGAAGCCATGCCCTTACTCAACGCCTGGAGGTTTCAACTCCATTCTAATCGCCTCTCGGATGCTCTGCAACTAGCCCGGACTCGGAAAAGGCTCTTCAAGGAACGAGGATGCCAAAACTGGAAGGCCTGGGCCCCCGCACTCGGCATACCTATATGGTTTCTCATGTCTGAAACTCTGAGGCGGCTCTGTGGTGCTCGTGGAGGCTGGCTGTCCTTGTTGTCGGGCAACTACAAGGACGCCGCCCAGCCAGCTGCTGATGCAGCGGCATCTCTCTCAGAGCAGGCGTCTGCGCCCCTATCATCTTCAGTTCAAGCTGTTTCGGACGGTCTGCAGTCTCTCGGCTCGACCGTGGAAGCTGGTATGGCCAACGGCGGCATGTTGTGGTTCACCGATCTCACGGTAGCCGATCCCACAATGGCCCTGCCCGGAATGCTCATGTTGACGATGGGTTACGCAATGTTCCCGAGACAAGAGGAGATGAGAAAGCTTGTGTTCGACCTCGGAAACTCCCAAGTGTACATGACCCCCGGCCTGAAATGGAGGGTTCGTCTTCAGAGGGGACTGCTTGTCTCGGCAATCCTCGTGCCCGCGCTCTGCAGCAACCTGCCAGCCGGCCTGTTCCTTTACTGGATCGCGTCCATGGCCTTCAGCCAGGTCTCTGGCAAGGTGGTAGACGTGGTGTTTCCGAAGCCTCGCGCCGTTCAACCTTGCCGGCGCAAGGAGCCCATCATCTTACCGGTATCATAGATCAGTGACGACGATGCACGACAGAGAAAACTGATTTCGGAATTATGTCCTCGGCTCCAGAGAAGCCCTGGTGTACAATAATAACAGCAATACGCCACCGAAACGCCACTGTAGCAATAGCAAACAAACAAAGACAGAAACCCAGTGCCATACTAGTCCAAGACAATCGCGAGGATGACAATGGTGAGAATGACTGCGAGGATCAACATCAGACAGCACCCCTTGTTTCGGGCTGCCTTTTGATGCCTTGCTGCCTGGCGAAGCTCAACCTGGGCGCCGCGGGTATCGTCGCGCACGTCTTCTACATTGTCTGCGATCGACGTAAGCTGCTCCCCTTGCTCTGTCACAATCTGCGCGACCTGTCTGAACAACACGTTCAGATCACCAACGCCCTGTTCGATGTTCCGGATCTCCTCCTCGCGCTCGATGATGAGCGCCTCCTGGAAGTCCACCTCATCCTGCGACGCAAGACGGCTGACCTCCTGCTGCTGCTGTAACTCGAGGCGTTCCCCGGACCCGGCCGAAGCGTCTGCAGCCTCGCCTTCGGTTGCCGCGCGCGCGGCTGTGACAGACGCCCGCTGTTTCTCAAGGGCCTTTCTCTGGATATCTTGGAATTCTTGGAGGACGTTCTGGAAGTCCGTCGATATTCTGGACTGCTCGTACTTTTGTTGTTTCTGGGTTTCGCGTTAGCAGAGATTATGCGCCGAGGCTTTGGTTGACACGAACCGTCAGATCGTCCCAGGTCTGAAGCTTCTTGACTCCATCTCCAATCTCCTTGCACAGGTCCCGAGTCTTCTCGAGGTGGTCGTGGACTCGCTCCCTGACGCGGGGGGTGTCGCGCTTCGTTCCGAGAATGTTGACATCGGTGGTGAGCTGCTGAATATTGCGCCGCAGGTTGAAGATCTTGTTGGTCAACTGGGACTGAAGTTGCTTGAATTCGGGATCATCAGAGTAGTTGCCCTGGCGGCTCGATCGGCCAGCTTCGAGCGATGATAGCTGGTCGTAGGACATGGCGACGATGGTAAATGCAAGAAACCACAAGCAAAGGTTATCAAAGAAATGGCGTCGTTTCGATTCGTGAGGCGACTTGGATCAGCGTTGACAAGTTGAAGAGTGGGTGGGGAGTTAAACTCGTCATGACGCCAGGAACCGACCGGTATGTCGTCGTAGGCTGTGGCTGGAACACTACGCAACGTGCTTCCCCCACCCAATCAGCTCGCTTTCGCAATGATGGTGCCTGATTATATCTTATCTTCACGTGACCAGAGTGGATCAATCCTTGCTCCTGGTGGGTCCCAGGGACGTCGGTGCTCAAGTGAGCTGGATCCGGAGCTGCAGTTGTTGTTGCACTGGAGATTTTTACATTATTTACTTCCAGACAGATCCAGGCCACGGCACAGTCCACGTGCAGCCTCGCCAACCTCGTCCCAGAACATACGGTCTCGATGACCATGCAACTTCGGCATGGCACCGTCAACAGTCAGAAGGGCTCCTTATAAGGACTTTCTGCAGCCTGCGCTTCAAAGGCGATTTTCTTCCACCGCAACCATTCTCCTTGGTCTATCCTACGTCCAAGCTATATTGCTCTCTGGCTGGAGCTCTTGTGAGTAGTCGCCCAGACGATGCAAGCTCGCAAAGCTTCCCAACTGACATGTTCCCCCCAGATTTCTGGTCTTGGTTTCCCATTGGCCCCGCCGGCTTCCGAACGATATTCCTTTTCACCTGCGGCCTGTCGATCCTGGTCCTGCGTATTGCCCAGTACCACGTCGGCGCCCGCGCTTCCAACTCAACCTTCCATGCGTTCACACAGTTCTTCTTCAGCATCAACACCCTCGAGGCATTTCTCTTCTACAGCTTCTCGAGCGCGCTTTTTAGCCATGTCTACCTGTGGTCCCTACCGGAGAGCGCCAACTTGGGATGGGTCACGTACTATAGTGGGGGCGAGCGCGCCAGGGTGAACGAGAGAATGCTGTGCTTCTACTGCTATATGAGCATCAGCGCTGTTGTCCAGGCCATCTTCCACTTCTACCACGACACCGACAAGCTCATCATCGACGTGTCGGGGTCCGAGGGAGCTGACGCCAAGGCCTCCGGGGATGCTTCGCTGAGCAAGGTCTTGGGCGAAGTGCCCGCGATCCTTATCCAGTCTAGTGTTCGATGCCTCAGCGTCGCTCCCATTGCCGCCGTGGTCCACATGCTGCTTTTGCGGTACTTCGTCTGGGGATGGGCATTATTTTTCCTGCGGCCGTTCTATAACATTCCGAAAACCAACATGCTGCCGCCTACTCAGCCCTGGGACATGCCTTTGTTTTTCCGTTGCGCCGTAGCTGGCTTCCTCCTCAACATCGTGTGGAAGACGGCGAACCATGCGTTTTCGACATTCATGGTCAAGCCCCCGCTCAAGAATGGCAAGCCTCTAACCAGCGAATCCAAGGATCCGAACGGAAGTCTTCTCAACGGACTCAAGAGCAAGAAAGACCAGATTCGGGTGAGTGCATCTGGGTGGATGAGGTTTCTTGTGTGGTGCCCTAGCTAACAAACGTAGTGCTTTGCCCTCTGGGAGCTGGCGTACATCGCACGCAATGACGAAGGCAGGCGCAAGGCCATCTTCCAGGACATCGATCGTAAAGATGGTTCCACATGGTCCCAGATCTACGTCCACTGCCTCAATGTCACGAGGAGTGTCGAGAACAGAATCGATGACTATGGGAAGCCTGCGGCTGTGCCGGCTGCTCCTGTCCAGCCCGAAGAAGTGCGGGCTCGCTCCTCGGCTCCTTTGAAAGAGGACCCGATTTTCCAGAGCAAGCCCGCGAACAGGACGGTGCGCGGCGAGATGGAGAAGGCTCTCAGCCAAGTTGGGCGGCATTCCGGCGCCTCGCCGGTATCACAGCTTAGCCCCATGGCGAAGAAGACGCTCCGAGGCGCTCGTGACAAAGTTCTGAGCAAGGAGCAGCAAGAGGCATTGTCGTCGCCTCAGCTGAAGAGCCAATTCCAGACATGGGCTCTGAAGGTCATCAGCAACGAGTACGTCGGCTGGGTCTTCCGCCAAGAGTTCCGGAACCGACTCACCGCCGTCGTGCTCGGAACACCCTACTCGGAGCTGAGCCAATACGTCAATGCGGTCGATGTGCTCAGCCTGTTGGCTGTACACAGCCTTACGGAGGATACGTTCGGCAGGGTTCACAAGGACATCCCTACCATCATAAGGACTTTCACCACAGTCATCAGCAAGATTGAGGCGTTCAAGGCCAACTTTCCAGTCCATTGGACCGATATCGAGCAGAACAGAGCCGCGCCGGAAGTGGATGCTCTGATCTCAGCCTTGAAGACGGGCTTGGCCCAGGTGATTGCCGAGTTTGAACCTTACAGCAGTGACCTGAGGTTGACTCGTACGGACATGAGACTGGCGAAGGAGGCCGCAGCCCAACAGGCCCCCTCGAGAGAGGACAAGCCTCGACTTCCCGAGATGCAGCAGACACACTAGGAGCGGTTTGCGTCATATGTAGTAGGGCAATATTACGAGCGCGGATTGTGAGGGCGTTGGGCGGGCAAAACGGCACATGCATAACTTGTATCATAGAACGAATGTCAGTAAAACACAGTCCAGACTACATCTGATAATCCGTGACCGCAAGTTTCCTCCTGTCACATGCGATTAAGGTGCACAAACCATGCCTTTTCTGCGCAAGTCGGCCGGTGGAGAGGAATGACATGAGACGATTGGATGCCGGCGATTGGGCACGACCATGCGTGTGAGACAGTGGACGCTAATGATGGGCTCATGCCTCCGCCCAAGCCAGCAGGATGGGACAAAAATGGATCGATCTTTCATTATGCCGAAGGCCCATTCCCATTCGCAGTCCATCCATCCCATTGTGATGGTGTCTTTGAGCGCCTGGAATCTGAAAAGTTAGTGCCCGTTGCCGCTAGGCTGTATTCCGAACCGGGCATGGGATGTGGAACCCCCACTTGAGCTTTGTGGAAGGTCAAGCAAGCAGGTGCTATGGCTGAGCCCATTAGCGAAATCAAACAAAACGAACGACCCCAGCCAACCTCCCCCGTCCCGTCCTGCTCGTCATCACCCTCAGCCCGCCTTTTTCGTCTTGTTTACCAACCCCCATTCCCTCCCTCTCTCAACCATACATACTATACCCTTTTTTTCCCTATGTACTCCGTAATGTCTAACATCGACTCCTCCTCTTAGCTTGGCCACTTTGCACTTCACGCTATTCGCACCGGCTCTTTTTTCCACCCAGCCATGCTTTTACTGTCTGTGCTACTCTCTCATGCACTGGCTCGCCCGTCCATGATCCCCAACCTGAAAACTCGTCGCTTCCCGGGTTGAGTCCTCAACGCTGGGAGCCTTCCGCTGCCTCGAAATTCTTCCCGATGTTCTCTCCACGAGCGATATTCCGTTTCATATACGGTAGTTTCTACTTTGTCCTTTGCTTCTTACTCACCCTACTCCTTCTCGTCACCCCCGGCGACGCCATCTACCAGGCCTACTCGAACAACCAGCCATATAATATATGGATCATTGCCGCTACTCTGGTCCTCACCCTCCTCATCGTCTCCTTCATCTATGCGACGCGGCTGTATCTCAACAAGACGATCCTCGCATCGATACCGAAATCATGGGTACCCATCGAGAAGGGCGACGTGAACAAAAAGGTTTACGAGATGATCACGGCCGACCTGAAGCGCAGCGCAGCCATCGCCTACGACGCGCGGCCGCGGATCGAAACGAGTTCGTTGGGTAGCGACATGGGAGACGTGCTGGCGGAGAAGCAGAACTCTGGGGGTAGTGCGGCCAGGAAGCGGTTCCAGCTGCCGACGTTGAAAAAACCGGCAACGACGGAGAAAGAAACCGGCATTGCGCTACCACCGAGACGGCCTGTTTGGGGCGAAATCGAACACTACGGGTGGGCTTCCCCAAACTCGATCGACCTACCGGATCTGCAATACAGCACCGTCCTCTCCGAACTACCGAACTTAATCGAAGCGAAAGCCCTGACGCTGGCGCCTCCCGACCCTTCCTCTCACACCCACCCACCGATGCTAGATGCCGATGCCGTGGCTCTACTGCAGCGGCCTTTACCCATGAGTCTGCGCGATTATCTCGGTCATCTGGCTGAGTTGGGCGTCATCTCGCTTAATGCAACGACCGCGGACTTCCTCTCCACATACGAATATGCGCGCTTCTCGACACGGCCGATATCGAATGCTCAATTCCGCGAAGTGATGCATTTGTTTGCTGCAATACTACGCGGCATGCGACCTCTAGATGCCGCGGTCCTGGGGCCTATGGACGGGCCTAGCGAGGTCTCGGACAGCGACATCGACAACGATGCGCCCATGGCCACCAACCCTACCACTCCACGTAGCTTATCTCGGTCTGCAACGCAGAGCACGCAAGGTTCCTACAACAGGAGAGGGCCGGCATTGAATGCGCGCAACTCGTCAGCCAATACATGGGCTCAGTATCGTACCGCGCCTGCAACCCCGTTAGGCACATTAGCCGGGGCAATATCGAGGTCCTCGAGCTTGAACAGCTTCGCCCATACTCGGCAGACATACGGCCCCCGTCACTTCTCATCAAACGCCAGTCTGAGATCGGGGGCATCAGGCAGCTCTACCTCGGGCTCCGTCATCCGCTTAGCAACGCGGACAGACTCGACAGACTTGCCTTACATCCTCTCACTGCGGGAAACCAGAGCGAGCTGAGCTTGGAAGCAACCAATTACGAAAATAAAAAAGAAGAAAAAAGCATCACGATTGAACGACTATGGGCACTGCATGATATCCACGGAGTTTGGGAGAGGGGGCTTCGACAGAGGGCTCCAATTTTTTTGTCGTATTATATAATTGTTTAATTGCAAATAGGCACGCGTATACAAACACGGCCGTATTCTCGGAGAAGGCCCTACCACCCAGCTGTGATGATTCCCTGCTCAAAAGCCGGACAACGAACGCTCGGCTATGCGACCGTGACATCTGCACTCGTCCCGATCCAACGTTGTTTGGGCTGCGGAACGGGAGATTGCATCATGCGTCCTTGCGGCGCGCCGTTGGGGGGACGGAGGCGCGCTTTGACGAGGGCCCCGTCCCCAACGGCAAACGTGGTGATATGCCACGGCCTCACGGGTGGCTTCTGGCGCCGGCTAGAGATTTGAGCTTATGTGCAAGCCTCCTGCGCCGGGGGCGGGGATTTTCCGAGAAGTGTGGCTTGTGCAGGGGTGTCGAATCGAAACGATTTTTGGAGAGGACGGGGTGGAAGGGTACAGAGATGTTTGGGGCATATGGGTTAGGGGATATGGGCTAAGGGAGTAAGTACTCCGTACTGTTGGAGGATTTGGGTTCCAACACTGTGGTTTGCCTGTGTGCAGAGCGCCCGCCTGCACCTATTGCTGTGACTGCACGCTGTGGTCGACAGTCAGTAGCCAATGGCGCTGGCTGACCTCGAAGGTACTTGGCTGTCGCATCATCCATGCACGACGCTTGTGGTGACCATTTTGCGTGGGGATAATGTGTTTCCCTTTGCTACCTAGAGCTGAGAAGACATTCACGCCTGTTCTCCCAGGTGTATTAGAGTTTCGGGTCCGGTTCCACAACTACGGGTACGGCGGAGTGGGGCCGTGCCGGAGTTGCACTGCTGCCGCGCCGTGCACCACAGGGGAGGTGACGTTTTTGGGGCTTTGGGGTCTGCCTTGTCAATGACCCGAGTAAGCCACATTTCTGTCCACCCTATAACATATCGAGCACTCACTGTTTCAGTCTCGATAATGCACGGGTACTTTCGTCGCCCAAATATCAAAAGCGAAAGCAAATCAGGTCACTCATTTCTGAGCCTTGGACATGATCTTGTGTATTTTTTGGGACATTTTCTTCTTATGCTGCTTGACGGAGGTCGTCGTGCGAGGTATCATCGGATTGGGGGACTCGTCATCCCCGAGGAAGAGTTGCAAGCGTTGGTCATGGAGGCGCTGGGCCTCGTTTGGGTAGGCGGCGCGGCTTGAGGAGGCGTGCCTGGAGGAATGACAGGTCAGCTAAGAGAATACCGGTTGGCAACGTGGGGCGGTTTTAATGAAAGAAGAAGAACAAAAAATAAACAAAGAAAGTGTGAGGTGTCATACCCGTTGACGACGGATGTGTTTGAAGTCGAGTCCATGGTTGTTCACTGGGAAGGATCACCCGCTGTTATATGTGCTAGTCCAAGTTCGGATCTGGAGGGATAAGGTACTAAAGTAGAGCCAAAAGCTACAATAAAGGGGATCTGAGGATAGTACAAATAAGCCATATTCAAAATTAGTCGGTAGGAGATCAAGACACTTTATATTTTGAGATAACGGCCGGCCTTGGACCTTGTTTTCAAATATCAGTTGTTCGCAGGCGCACCACCCTCGCATTCATCAACCGACTAGCCCAAGGTAAAAGTTGTCGAAAGGGTCCCCATGGTACGTGACACTGAGTGCCATGACACGCCAAAGTGGGAAACCCGACCACACGCTCTCCACGCAGGTATGTCTCAACAACAGTCCCACTACTGTACCGGTATTGATGGCTAACCAATGGGAAACACCAGTGGAACCCCCCTGCTTGACAGGGAACAAACACAACCCAGGAACAGTCGAATGGAAAAGGTAGAGAAAGCACAGGAGCCTCCTCTCATTGTCATCGTCTCCCACCCTCCACCACCATCATCTTCCTCCCAGAACGAGGTGGACCGACAAGGAGGGATGCAGCATTGTGTAGACCCATGTCATGCCCAGCAATTCGTCCAGTCTGGTTGAAGAGCGCCCATACCACACCACGAGTAGCAGCAACAGGCATACGCTACTTCGCGCAGTAGTCGAACCCGGGTGACAAAAAAAGTGTCCAATCTCAACCACATCGAAAAAGTACCTGTATTTAGAAGCCTGCCATACCCCCACCGCATTCAATAACTTAATACAGTATTTTTTTTTATGTTTGGCACAATGCAGGCTTTCTTAAGGCATATTGTGGTGATAACGTTATATAATTGTTCCTACTAATAAAAAGGTAGGAAACGTGATGTGTTAGTAAAAAGGTAGATAGGTAGGTGATATGGGAGACCGGCCCTCTTTCCCCCCCACCCGGGTGAGTAGTGTAGACACGTAAAGCCTAGAGGAGTGTAGGTCCTGGGCTTGTAGACGGCTGAGTGAACATATCCGTCATAAGTACCTCGATGGCAGGGCTGCAACGGGATATACCAAGAATTCGGCCTCAGGACAGGCCAGATACTTGGGCCACACACACACACATACGCGCGCGCAGCCAACTCGCTACCCATGTTGGGTTGCACGACTAGCTTCCTTTCGTTGTCACAAACCTTGTGGTTCGCCAAGGCGCCTCTCGCAGTCCGCATGGTCCGTCTCGGGTCGTTGTGCTGGCAAATGAGTGCCTGCTTTTACGACAAAGGTTCGCCCACTCGTCACCGATGGACCGAGAGCCTCATACAACTGCTTTTTGGTTTTGAAAGATAACAGACTCTATAAGCAACAAACACTCTTTGGATATTGCAATTCGGGTGCTCGGGCTTTTTTTTCCGGCACCGACCGTCCTCTACGATGACGAGGAACCGCACTTACAGCCGCACACGGAGTAATGTGGTCACATTTGAACAGCTGACTTCAACTATGGTTGGGAACTTCATCGAACCGCCTCGGAGAAGTCGCGTCGGCGGTATCGCGAAAGGCAGATGGAGAGTAGAGATGTATTGTCTGAAAAATTCACTCTTGCAATGGAACCTTTTGCCAAAAGACGCATAATCATTGTTATCTGGATATGAAACCTAGCTATAGCTCGAAGATGCTGAACCTTCTCGATGACGTCTGAACATTCCAGCCTTGTCATCTCAGACACCCACGTTTTCTCAAATGTATCTGTTCCAAAAAAAAAGAACATGACAGATACAGAGTCCGTGGATTCTGTGTAAGACGCCGTTGTCCTAACCTACGGATGGCTCTCCTCCTCCTTCTCTTCCGCCTCCTCAGGCTTTCGGCCCCAGACGGCATAACTGATCCACTGGTTAGTCATCCCAGTTCAATGAGCAGTGTCTTTGCTGCTGGATACTCACACATCGTAGTACGCGTGGACCCCAATCTTTGTGTGCTCATTCCTGACCTCGGCGCAGAAGACTCTTGCCTCTTCAGGACTCCAATTGAGAATACGAGTGAACGATGCCATCGAGACTGCTTCGATTCCCTTCATGGCAGACTCTTGAGTCCAATACCCAAGCGCCTTATGTTTCTCGTCCTTGGCCCACGGGTTGAAAGGCCACTTTTCTTTCTTCTCTACAACATCCACAAAGCCAGCATCCTCCAGCATACTTCTATAGCTAGAAGCAGCATTCGCTACCTGGCCTATCTTATCACCAGCCTCGACCAAATACTTTGTCCATTTCAAGGGCATAAAGTCCTCGGTCATGGTGTCATCGTCACACATCAGTGGGAACATATTGTCCTGAAGCTCAAGGTAGCCCCCAGGCTCAAGGTTTCTGTTTGCCACCATAGAAGTCAGCGCAGTGAAAACTATATTAGTATCACGACATCCACTTACTCATATGCCTGCGCAATCACATCTGGCCAGCTGGAGAAACTCCCACACATGGTCCTCATGAAGATGAAGTCAAAAGGCACCTTCCAAGTCCATTCTTTTTCAATGTCATCAACCTCGAAAGTGCAATTAGGAGACACGCTAAAGATGCTTATCAGCTGGGTTTACAAGAGTCTGGCTATTAATGAGGCACCTACAAATCGGGCTGGATTGGGCTCAGGTCAACGCCAATAACCTACACACTAGTTAGTTTCTCTCCTTGACCTGAGCTGTAACTTAGCAGGACAGACCATTGCTTCGGGAAACTGATCGGCTGCCAGAAAGGTCAGCATGCGTAGAACACCGTCTGGGGAAATTGCTTACCGTAATCCTGTGCCCAGATTCCGGTGCCGGTGCCGACGTCTAGAACCCTTTTGGCACCGTGCTTCTTCGGGCTGAGACACAGGTTATTGTCCCAGGTTAGAATCCAGAGATGGTGGTTTAGGTCTGTGAAAACGTCAGTAGCTGTTGGCAAAGGTGTTCTGAGAAGGAACGTACCCAGGCGGTCTTGTTCCCTCTATAGGTTCCTATTGCATTAGAGACAGTCTCATAGGGAGCTGAGCTACCAAGTCATACCTCATCATTAGGAGCCCGGTATTCTACACACAGGGGCTGTCTTAGTATCCGCACTCGAATTCAGTATGAGAACTACTCACTTCCATCGCTGAGACTATGGTAAGTCCGACCGTTCTCTCGACGATAGTTGTAAATACTAGAGCGTAAAGAGGCTAGCGAATTGTCGAAGGACTATATGATTTCAGCCACAAGATCCACAACCCAGTCTAAGACGGGCAACTAACGTAGCCAGCGATGGAGGACGCATCGTCATCGTGAGAGTCCTGTATCGATGTCAGTTCAGTGGCTATTACGACAAAACATACAACCATTCAGGGCTCTACTAAGCTCACCTCAGCTACCAGCTGTTGCGCGTCATCGGCCATGGTGTTCTGCTGTACTTGGGCTCGGTTTTCTTGGAGTTGTAAATGGAGTGTGTAGAACAGAGGTCAAGTGAAGAACCAGATGGGGGAAAGCACTCTGATAAATGTCATGTTGTGTCCTTCCAATAAGGGGAACGCCCCCTTGTGGATGTCTCCTACCATAAGCGCGGCCGCCCCTGCTTGTATGCCATGTCTGTTGGTTCACCCAGTCACACTCACGCAACTTGTGACAAGTTGATTGGCTTGCGATAAGTTTGTCAGTATTGGTCTGCATAGGCGAGAACGGGTTCAGCATCCGGCTAAGTGAATTCCTCCGGGCGATGTTGCCGCAATAGAGCGCATCTCCGGGTGCAGGAGAGTACGAGCATGCAAGGTCCGGGGGCTGCCCTGAGAACCAAGCAAACAAGAGCCCCGCGGAAACCATGGGATTAGTTGTACATGCCCCATAATATGAGAAAACATCTGGTTTCGATTGAGGGGTTAATCCTTTCGACGCAGAACGACACATAGACATCCCACACGTGCGCCCTCTGCCTGTCGAGCCTCTCTCAGGTTTCCGGGTGGGGCTGGCGAGAGTACCAGATGCCACAGAGCACATCAGACTTAGTATTCTAGAACAAATCTTAGGAGGCCGTCGCTCGTATATCTGCGAGGCAGATGGGTTGGCGATGGTTGATAGTCTAGGTGGCCTGCTACCCCAACAGGGTACCGACCTGTCCAAAAGCATATGTTACGTTCGTCACTGAAGGCATTCGTTTCAACAAGTCATCAGGCCTCGTTGGGAAGTATTCGAAAATAATAACAGAAACTAATACTGTGTACTTGTCATAGACGTTTGGCATCTCGAAATGCAGTCGCCTTATACTCGAAATAGTAAATCCACCTGGCCTCTTCTCAACGATGACGCATCTGGCGTGAGAAACTTCTGGACGAGCTTCATGGTCCTGCGCAAGGCCGCCATCAGCGCACCCTCTCAGGGCTGTTCCGCCTCATCATTCTCAGCATCCTTCTCAGGCTTACGGCCCCATACCGAGTATCTGGTCCATTATTTAGCCATCTCCGTATCGCGTAGATGATGTTTTGACTTACACATCATAGTAGGCCTGGACTCCTATCTTTCTGTGCTCATTTCTGACTTCAGCACAAAACACAGTCGTCTCTTCTGGGGTCCAGCCAAGCACACGAGTGAAGATTGCCATCGATGCACCCTCAATTCCCATGAACGCATTAGCCTGACACAATAAACCCAGATGGTGGAGCTTTTTGTCCTTAGGCCATGGGTTGAAAGGCCATATGGCCTTCCGCTCCTCAACGTCAACAAAACCTGCATCTTCAAGCATTTGCTTGAAGCTGTCAGCCAAATTGCTTGGTCGCCCGGCTTTACTGCACCCTTCAACAAGCAGCTTAGTCCACTTATTGGGTGCATAGTCATCTGGCATTGGGCCGCCTTGGCATTTAAGTGGAAACTTGTTATCATGCAGTTCGACGTAGCCACCTGGTTCGAGATGTCTACCAATAAATAAAAAGATTAATCAGCACGCCAACAAAAAAAGACACATGCATGCAGTACTGGATCAAATATACTCACTCGTAAGCTTTGGTAATCATGTCCGGCCAGCTGCTGAAACTTGCGATCATTGACCTGATGAATATGAAGTCAAATGGCCGCGACCAAGTCCAGTCTTCCTCAAGATCGTCGATTTCAAAGCTGCAATTGGGGGCTACACTGCATGACTTCTGTTAGTGAGCTAAACGATCCCTGGAGTATTCAGTGGTTACTAACAATCCGGGTTGAATTGGACTCAGGTCCACTCCGATAACCTTTAGCCAAATCAGTCACTCGGTTCTCTGGAACCGACAAAACTGTGTATTAATCTCACTGTTGCTTCGGGGTGTTCATCCGCTGCATCCAAGTCAATCACAGCGTATATTTCACCATAATGGCTTGCTTACCATATTCCATAGCCCAAATGCCTGTACCAGTACCGACATCCAGAACTCGTTTGGCACCGTTGACCTTAGGACAGTTGCAAAGCTTGTTGTCCCAAGTCGCCAACCAAAGGTTATGCGCCAAATCTGTAGAATTGTGAGCTCGGTTCAAAATTGGCCAGTGGCACAGTAGTACTTACCCAACCGATCCTGCTCTCTCTTAAGTGACCGTGTCAGCAAGTGTCTCGTATTCAAATGAACTATAAGCCAATACCTCGTCATTTGGCATCACATATTCTGTTAGGTGACGAGACCTAGTTAGCATATGACCCTCGCGCCAACTCAACATTTCACTTACTTCCTTCTTTGAGCCGGTGATACGTCCGTCCGTTCTCTCGGCGGTAATCAATGATACTGGATCTAAGAGAAGCCAATGACCCGTCTTCCGACTTGGACCTGTCAGCCTCATGGTGTGCTAGCCGGCGTGGAGCTGTAAGTAACTCACGGAGTCGCCGACGGAAACACCATCATCGTTCCAAGGATCCTATTGCAGAAGTCAGCTTGAGATCACCAGCGTGGTACGCCATGAGTGCATATAAGCAATACCTCTTCCTCTGGTTGCTGCGTCTCGTCGGCAGGCAATGCCTCTCCCTCAGGCTGCTGCGTCTGGTCGGTAGGCAATACCTCTCCCTCTGGCTGCTGCGTCTGGTTAGCAGGCAATACCTCTCCCTCTGGTCGTTGCGTCTGGGTGGCCATCTTGGCGAGTTGTTGTCTGCAATTGCCTTGATAAAAGAGAGAGTTATCGGGATTTTCGACGAGAACCCCCAGATGAGGGGAAGCCCGTCCTTTTTAACGCGTGTTTTCCGAGGTCCTTCCAAAACAGGAAGATTCCTCGTTACGTTGACCCATGTCTTCATGTCTTCTCGCCCGCGTGTTTCTGCTTGTTTGTTGGAGCAAGGAGCTGCGGGCGGCCATGCTGTGATTGGCCGATCCGCGTTTATCACCTCGCTTGCATATGCAAGTTGACCGGGGCCGTTCTTTGGACGTTCCGGGCGCACATGGATTTTGATAAACTGCGAATCCACATGCCTACCGTGGTCCGTGGATACTTCAATGTTTCCTCCACGCAACTCCACTCACCCTAGCGCCTACTAGTACAGACGAGGCACCATCTTCACCTCTCCGCCGTGGCAGAATCGTACGCCAGTCCTGTAATGCGCCATGTTCTCTGCCATGGTGCCTACGTGGCCAATTCCCACTTCGCCAGGCGACACCTGAGCAGAGACAAGGAATCCGAATGAGGGGAAGCGGCACTTAAACACTCGTTGCGCAGTTGTTGTGCCCAGATGCCTGCTTATCATCATACCCAAGCTTGCAGGCGCTGGTAACCCCGCTTGCTGGTTCCTTACATACTTCGTTCACAGCTCAATTGGGTAAACCCATGCCCGTGGTCTCGTTTCCACATATGCAGGCTCAACTTCTTTGGAGACCATTCCGGTTAGGTGATGGTCTTTGGAACCAGCGATTATGCGTTAGATGTCTGGTGCCATGCTTGGCGGTTGTCACGGTATCCTACATGGAAAAGCGCTGCGGCCGCGAAACCCAGCCTTGCGCTTTAACCCAGTTGAGTTGGTGATCTGTGGGGTTCCAAGGGTCCAATGGGGTCATCACGGCTGCAATTCTTGCGCAAAGTACTGGAACTTTGTTAATGTGCAAACAGTTAGATATAAGATCGAGTGAGTGATTATCTGATGACGATTCCAAGTGCAAAGAAGTTGAGTTGTTCTATGGCCGAGCGACTATGTGTGCCAGATTCTGCCACCGCAAGGACCGTCATCATGACGATTCTACTCGGCGTGGAAGGGTTCGCTATGTAATGCCCTTTATCCTACAGTCCTTCACATACATTTTTCATCGCGTGTCGTATGCTTCTGCAACGAGTCGACGTCTGTAGCCCAAGCATGGACAATTCTTTATCTACTCTTCAATGTCTTTCGGTCTTCAGGGGAGGCTTGGGTTCCCCGGCGGCGGGTATCTGTGGGCCAGAGATTGGCTTGCCCGCGAACCTTTGCTGAAACGACTCGATGGCGTGGGCAGCGCGGGCCGTATGGTACTCGATGGACGACCTCACGCCCCGTGGACGGTTGGACAGAGGTACGAGCGCGTTGCCGTCTCTCGGGTGTTCCTGCTGGAAACAGACGAGCTGAGACTGGAGAGGGATGTAGGCGTCAAGAGGGTTGGGTCGACGAGAGTCGGGGCTCCTGTTAGTGTTTAGTAAAAGCCAGCATCCGGCACCATCTTATGGTACAGCCAAGGGGCAGGAAACTTACTCTTGCTCCTCGAGTTTGTCACCAGAGGACGACATTGTCAAGTGCTGTTGACTGATCAGTAGGTGTCTCAGTGCAACGTATTAGCCATGCTGGCGTGGTAATGAAGTTGGCAATATGGGCAGTATTGAGAATCTGACATTGTAAGTCTGGGTGTCTTATAAACGACGCCCCTGACGTCCTGCTGTTCTCCCGCTCGTACATACCTGCGGCTGAGGGGGTTGAGGATGGCGGTCAGTACAAGGGAAAGCAACAATCGGCACGAGAGGTATCTCTGAGACTGCGGAGAACGCGCCAGGAAGGGTCTAGATCGAACGTTTCTGGGATAAGACGTTCAAGATAACATTTCTGGGCCGCCAGTCGTTCGCACTCCGACTTGGCTCTGCCCGCTGTTCCGCGGCCGGCCGGTGGTCTGCTCTCGAGACGAGAGATGAACAGCAATTTGTCACATCGCCCCTCCCCTGGTCATCACGTCTTCAAATGGGCCTGCTCACAAGGCTACGGCCCGCGAGACTTCATACAACGACCCAAGGACCCGGTTTGTGGCAAGTCAAGGGGAGGGCTCATCTAAACCACTCACGGCACTGTACCCGCCGGGGCAACGCCCAAGGCGGTCCTCTCATTTCCCGGCGAAGTCTTCCAATGCTTCTGTGCCTCTTCCACACCTTCCTTTAATGGACGCTCGTACGTGTTCACTGGGAGACATAAGTCCCAGCAGCGTGATGAGACTGGCCGGGTTCCGTCTGATATGCATAGCACCAGCCACAAGCATGTCGGAAGAATATCTCTCAAGGCCATCGCACCTGCTTCTTAGAGGCCGCCGAGGCGCTAGAACGTTGCATGAGCGGTCAACGAGGCAGCCCGCATGCCAGTCGTCTGCAGAGTGAGGTCTTTTCTCGGATTGAATCCAGGAGAGTCGCAGAGAGACTGTACAGTATCCACGGGATGACTTGTGGCTGGTGCCCGGAACGCTGACAAGGAGGGTGAAAAGTCGTCCTGCGAGGTGTGGCTAGTGTGCCCCTGTCTGGTTTGGTGGCCGCCTGCATGAGGGCAGATTGGAAAGGCGCCCAGCCACAGTTAGGCTGGGGTTCTTTTTTCCCCGTCTTCTGATTTGATATGTTGCGAGCATCCTTAGCTTGGGTCGTCGAGCTGGCAACATCACTGAGGCAACCCCGGCTCCAATACCCTGAGAGATGCATCGGCCGACCAGAATGGCCTCCGCTGCACCCCAGTCCATCGCTCGTTCCTCGGTGCTACATTATGAGCTCTACGTGACAGGAGACCTGACTGGTTGTCGTCGGTAGGTCGATGGTGATGGGGGCACCCGGCTGGCGTACCCTGACCGAGGTCTTGTGTCATGCCATGCATGTATGTCCTAGCCGTTGGAAAGGTTCAGGGGTCGGCCACGTCCGGGGCACACCGAGCCCGCTGTCCTTCTTGAGGCTTTTTTTGACGCCTGACATGTGGCTAGTACAACGGTTGAGGAGAGCGGCGGCGAATCTTATGGCCCTTTCGGCGCAATGTGTCTGCAGCTGCTTGACCAATCATGAGCAATTCTGAGCTGTAGCTAGGGAGGGAGATGTAGGGGCAGATCTATACCGTTTCTTGTCCGTCCAACCAACTAACTTATCATCGCATTATTTGCATTTCGAGAGATTTGGATGGATTCTGGTAGCAATTCATCACGTTGCGGTACTAGTCATGAACGCTGGCTTGTCGTTTAGTGGTGGTCGTGGTGTGTAGTCGGAAGAAAGGTCCAGAATTGAGTTTCGAGCGTTATGGGGGAGACCCGGTGGTCTCGGGCGGTGCCGCCCTGTGGCAGGTGCACAAGGGGCATGTGCATCCAATGGGATGCCCTGTAACCAGTTGCAAGCGGTCGGTGTTCAAACATCACGATTCCTTGTTCCTTGCTTTCCCTCCGCTAGCTAACCGGAATAGGATGGGCACCGGCACGACGCACCCTGTCAGACCAGTGTTTCCATCTGCAATCTGTTGATGTTCAAAATGGAATCGATTGAACTCGTCACTAGTCGTCTCGGAAAGCAGATCGAACAGACCGGCGCAGGTTGCCATACCACAGTTGTGAGAAAGGCAGAGGCAGATGCGCCAGATCTACTCTGCCGAAGAGCTTATGTTCTCGTGACTTGGCCCGTATGACGAGGATATATTACTTGCATTCAATACCAAGAACCTGGTTGACCAGGCTGTTGACAAAGTTGTCGAAAGTCTGCGTCGAATACTTTAGCGAGTGCATCTCGCTCTGGAAGAGAACAGGACACGGAAAGAGGCTGGCACTCGCATTGGCGAGGTCACCGCTAGTTTGAGTTCGGAGCACAGGGTGATTCTGGCATCATTTATGAATCCGGAGGCGCGAGTGGAGATTGCTCTCGCCCTCATCTCTCATGCTGTATACGTTGAGCGCGAATTCGCTTCTTAGCCCCTTAACGACAGCGGCGACGAGGCATTCAACTGCAGTTTGTGCGAGTGTTTCGTGGCAGGGTTCGAGGCCGAGGGCCCTAGGCTGACCCGGCTTCGTGGGTGGAGCGTGCAAGATGGACCATCGACTGAGGCCCATGGCCAGGTGAAAGTGGGCATCGCCGACTGAAACTGGCGAGACCGCGGGATGGTGGAGATCGAGAGAGAGAGACAAATAGAGGTATCTAGGCGTTGTTCATCGAGATATGACACACCTGGTGACATTGTGTGCGTGTTCAGGGGGTTCCAGGTGCCTGTGATCTTGAGGAAGATGGCAAAAGATAAGTGTTGGAGGCTAGTGGGTCGTCGGGGCAATGAGTGTTGAGATGAAGGCGATGTTGCACGATGGGTCCGCAGCGGTGGAAAGGTTCGTGATTCGTCGAGGGACCTCTAGACGATACCAATCGAATCGTGGATCGTGGTACCAGATCTCATAGATCGATCGGTGCGTTGGCCGATACGACGTAACATGCCGACCGAGGGGTTGGTTCTGGGTGCGAGGTAACCTTCCAGGGGCAGGACAAGTCGAATTCCACTTCGAATTCTCACCCCAGTCTCATGTGAAAACAAGGGCAGCATATGAGTTTTCATTCTCACTAGGCCAAGGATAAATTCAAGCGATGCCCGAGGGCGTATCAATTCACTGTGATGAGTTTCGTGAGGTGTCCTAACTCTGGCTTCACTCATCTCTCAGATGAGTTCACGTTTTTTGAAGACTGTTCACCCAAACAGTAAGTGGATCACTCAGGGCCCCCTGGTGCACTATTATGATCATCATCTCAAGATACAGGATACAACCGTGGCCACAAAACCCATCAATAAAGAGAACAAGAGCTCAGTTTTTAATCGTTCGGTCAGTGGAACCTATGAAAACCGCAGGAGAAACCAGGGATTGGTGAGAAAGGCACCTTCCCGCCCTGGAACTTCTTCCGCGATGGCGCTCTCACGCCGGTCAAGGATGCCACATCGACCCTGAATTCATATGTGTCTCTCTTATAATATTATATCAGAGGTTGAAAAACGCATGAGAACAACCTAGGCACGATAGTATGCGACACAAAAAGTATCTGAAAGGTGGTGACTCATAGATATTCGACCTATTGCGACTTTCAAATATAGTTCTAGCTTCATATAGACTCGGAGACGGTGTTCATTTTTACACAGTTTCGTCACTTGGGCCTGATCTGTCACATCTCGTGATCTGCTTGAAGAAGCTCACATATCATAAGCAACAATATCCCTGAACGCTGACGATATGCTGTCCAGCCGAACGAAGGAAGGAAGCCAGAAGGTGGTATCGAAGACCGCCACAAGTTACGGCCTCAAGATCCGTCTCTAGGTATTCATAGCCCCCGCCAGCCAGACTTTACCTTCACCTCACATCCGGTACCGTCGCCAGGCAACCGCGCCGCCGCACACACACCAAGGACGCAGCCCGCCACGCCTACACTTCATAACCCAAAAGATACGCATTGTCTGTCGGGGTACAGGAGTAAGCACACTTGGCCGAGTGGTTCAATTGTGGCTGCTTCTGTATGGAAGCAAATACCATTTACAGACTGTAGCCTGACTTCCCTGGCAGCGCGATATATTGCAATAGTTTACCATTTTGCCATTTTAACCCTACTTTTTTCTTCTTCCCTTCTTCTTTTTGTCGATTCCCACTTGGATATTCTATTCTGATCCTTCTACGGGACTGTTTTGTTTTGTCTATGTGTGGTGAGCAACAAACGTTGGTGTGCTAGTCGGACTTGACCACCGAAGCGGAAGTTCTTGAGGTCAAAATCTGGAGGGTTGCGGTTCGAAACCCCTATCGGCCACTCATTTTTGCACCGTTTTTGTGCTTTTCCGATTGGGCCCATGTTGTCGTAGTCCATAGAGGCGCACACTGCATTATCTCAAACACCATGATCCTACCGTGTCGAACAAGGCCTTTTGTCCCTGACACTGCGCTCAGAACGAAAAGACGGTCCTGTCGCATCGGGGGAAGAAATGACAAGAGAAAAGCCAAAAGGCTTGGTTTGTCTCGTCACCAGTTTACTGCCCAACCTTGTCGCACGCACCCCTTCTAAACCCCAAGACCTTGAGCAATTCTACAGCAAAAGCACATCTCAAAGCACCCCCCCATCACATCAAGAACAAAAACCTCTACTCACTCCCCCGCGAGCTCTTCTCAAGCACCTTTCTCGTCCGAGACCCCCCTCCGTCCTCGGCCCGGCCCTGAAGCGGGGCCGAAAGGAAACCCACACACGGAGCGGAATACCTAGGTAGGGAGTGTCGATCCTTCCGCGCCTGAATGCGGAGAAGGTCGCACGCACTAAGCCGCTGCGGGAGAAGACTGCACTAAAACCCGTCCCCTGCTTCCATCCTTCCCCTTTCCTCGGCTTCAGCCCGCGTGCAACCGCAGAACCGCGCTAAGATAAGGAGACAGAACGACCACAGGTGGGCAGCAGGCTCGATAAGGTCAATATTTTTTGGAGCTCCCATCCGCATTCTACGTAAAGAAAAGAAGAAAAAAAAAAAAGGAAAGGCAGAAGAAAAGGAATCCTGTCGATCCCAAAACACAACCGCAGTGTCGCAAAGGCTCCACGACCACACACATACACACACGCACGCGCACACACAAGCGTCACGCCTTTCGCGCAAACAACCAAACCCACGCCCCCCCGAACCGACTCGTCCGCCGCCCGCCAGGAAGCCCACGCAAAACAATGGCGCCCGCCCCCGAGGCCCCCAGGCTCCCCGCCTCGGCCGACTTCAATGCCATCTACAACCGCATCTCCCTCGCCTCCGCCAAGCAGGCGACCTTCCTCGCCTCGATGCGCGCAAAGTACCCCTCCCTCGCGCGGCCGGCGTCCGTCCCCCCTTCCTCCTCCGCCGTCGCGGCGAACGGCACCTTCTCCTCCCTCGCGAAGCCCGACCCGTCCTCCGACTCCCGCGGCCCCGCCGTAACCCCCCGGGGACCCCGAGACGACGACATCCGCCTCGAGAACCCCAACGCGGGGCTGGGCTACGCCGCCCCCAAGTCCGAAAACGCCGCCTCGGCCGCCACCCGCGACCTGAGCCGCCGCCTGCTGGGCGGCAAGCGGGGCCGCGCCGACGACTCCAAGGCCGCCGCCGCCGCACTCGCCAAGCGCAGGCTCCAAGACGACGAGAGCGAGGAAGAAGAAGGGCGCAGCGGCCTGGGACGGAGCAAGAAGAGGCGGGTCCGGCAGGAGACTCCCGAGGCGGAGCCATCTCCGACGACCACGACCGTGCCCGCACCCGAACCCGAAAACAATGCGGCAGAGGACGAAAGGGCAGACGTCGCGATGCGCGAGACCGCCGAAACGGAAAACGGGGAGGAGAGCAGCTCTGCCGCTTCGGCCAAGGACGCTGCTGCTACTGCTGTTGCTGCTGCTGCGCCCGTTGGCCCCGCCGGACCCGACAACCGGCCCGCGACGGGCGAGACCTCCAAGAAGAGACGGAAGAAAAACAGGAACAAGCAGAACAAGGCTGCGGCTAAGGCTGCGGCGGATGGAACGAAAGAAGATGACTAATGGATTACCCCCGCTCCTCCCCCCCTTCATCTCGGCGGAGACCTAAAGACGGCGCATCGTGGGTGCGCAGGACTCGAGAGCGGATTGGGCGTAGATCGACATTTGAGGCGTCTCCCTCGACCCGACCGACTGGGACCTCATCTCACCAAGAACGTTATCCGCATCCTTTGAGAGGCTCACAGACTATGGCGGGAAACATTGCGTTGTCAAATATGGTTTGGCGTGACAATACTTTTCATATTAACCCTTCACGCTAGGTCCGGCTAAGGCTCGCCAAGCGTCTGCCATCAGGCCATTTGCAAGCCACACATGTCTGCTGCTCGCAGCCGAGCACCATAGACCAGTTAGATAGGAACATGCTCCAAACAACACCATTCCTCTCGCATCCAAAATGCAATTCTCGCAAATACACCCTCCCGCCCCCCCCACGTGCGCACGGACGGACACCATTACAACGAGTCCTGACAAGCCCAGCCGCCGTTTGTCCGTTGGGTATCCCTTTGCCTGAGCTCCGACCACAACATACAGTCTCAACCCGAGATGGGGAAAAGTGTGAGACGAAATCCTCAGCCCGTTCTACTTTCGGTGTTTGAATCGTCGTGAAGACGCTGAATTACTAAGGACTGATTGTCGTCTCGCATGTTCTGCTTCACGCGAGCCGGCCGTCAATCCCATGAGATGATGCATAAAACCGGCAAAGGATATTGAACTTTTGGTAAGAAATCCAGATGGCCCGTCCAGCGTAGGGTGAGGGATCGACCAGTGAGATGGTCGCATTATGTAGTGACCGTCAGCTTGTGTATGTTTCGGTCTCGCTCTTGCTCTTTGGTCGCCAAGAGGCGAGTGTGCAAACCATGTGTCTGCCCGAGGCCAGCTCTTCCGTCCCTCTTCTATACAAGAAAACGATTACAATAATCATTGGATATTTTTCACAGAAATGTACGGGCACACCCTTTACGGTGTGTGCCATATATGTTGGGCCGCAGCCTGCAACCGTTACCGAGGCAGGCATCTTGCTCACTGCATCCGCTTGCGCTTCCGGTCGTCGTCGCCTCGGGGATCCTCGTCTTCATCGTCCCGCTCGGCCGTGTCTGTTGGGTTGAGGATATGCGCCATGCTGCCACGGCGGGTTGGCGGCCCGGAGCCGTCTCTGATGGCCAGGTTCTTATTGTCCCGGTTCGCAGAGTTCCACGACCAATTCCCAAAGGCGTCCGCGCCGCCACCAACACCGCCGCCGCCGTTTGAGTAGGGCACACCTGGCGGCGTCGTAGGTCTCGACATGGACCGCGGGTGGGATGCGTTTTGCAAAGAATAAGTGGAGAGGGACTCCCTGAGACGCTGATCTTCCGGTGGAAGCCGACTAGGCGAAGAGGGCCATGGTCCCGAGGGTGGCCCAGACGGAGGCCCCGAAGCAAAAGGTGGCGGGGCGCTCGGCTGCCAGCCGTGTGCACGAATATCGGCAGATGTATGACGTCTCGCAAGACTTCCGGGAGGTGCCTCAACTTGGGCCAAGGGATGCGGTCCAGGGGGCGGTGGAGGCGGCGCCGCCCGTAAGGGAGACGAAGCCTGTGGCGCTGCCGAGCCACCTCCAATTGAGCCATATGGCCGCCGGGTGCTGACGGAAAGATTCGAGGGTACGGGCGGCCGGTAGAAATTCTGTCCCCTGGGCTGAGGGACTGCAAGGTTCGCATTTCGCCTCGGATCGTCCTGGGGTAACTGCCGCGGCGAAACGGGTGCGTTCTCCACATTCGAAAAGTACGCACGGCTGTTCGCAAACGGAGATTCCTGGGGGTCGTCAATAGTTCGGAGCATGTCTGCCTGTCTTGCCATCTCCCCCTGCAAGTTCAGGACTGATTCCATGCCTGTTAGCCTCCAAGCTGCTTTGGCGGGGCCCGGTTGAAACTCACCATCTCGATGCACCGGATGGTCGGGACTCGGGATCAAGTTGAGAACCGTTCTTGACAGCTCCTGGTTGAACTGAAGGAGCCGCGACATGGTTTCCATGACGGCCTGTTGCTTGATGTGCATGTAGTGGGCGTTCTCTTCGCTCCTCTGCAGTCGCATGCTAAGGTCGTACAGAGTGTGTTCGATTCCAGACATGCGCGGATCCGAGCCATCGTTAGGGGGCGGCATTGGCTCGGCGGGTGTTCCAGGCTGTGACGGGCTCGGCTTGGTATTTGGGTATTCCCGGTGAACGAGAGCGTGACGGGATGCGCGGCGTTTGATTTCGCGGAGCCCAACTAGGTCGCCTCTCTTGAAGTTGCCATTTCCGTGTTTGAACTCCCACAGCGCGGTCTCGGGACTCGTGGTGTGGAACACGTCGCTTACTGTCACCCTCGGTTAGCTACTGGCGGAGGTGACCGGGCACAGACATGGATCCAACCTTTGTGAAAGCCGTACATGTTCAGCTGTCGGACGAAGGAAGAGATGTTGGTATGCTTGAAGTATTGTCTGCTGGCGGTTAGCGGGCGACCAACGCGATAGACTATCGATTTCCACGTACGCGAGAACCTTTGAGAAATCGGCCGACGGAGACATGACGAAGCTCTCAGCACTGGCCGACCAAGATATCAGATGCTGGATGCTGGGATCCTCGAGCATGCTGCGCCGAGTTAGCTATCCGTCGTCGCAGGTAATTGGCTGCGCTGCAGCGTACCTGTAGAGCTTGTGTATGAAGGCCGTCTGCACAATCTTGGGCTGATGAACAGCGGCGGCAGCGGCAGCGGGGGCGGCAGGCATGGTGACGGAGCTGTGGGAAGAGTGATCGGTGGGCGAAGCTTGCTTGGAGGCGCCGTTGGCGTCTGTATTGTTGGTTTTGCCCGAGGGCGAAGTGCTACTGGCTTTGGGGGAGGTGATCTCCATAGGGTCGCCGGGAGATGGAGCGGACATTTGGATGGTCGGGGTCGGGATGGGTACGATACGGTTCGATGTCAGATCGGCATGGCCGTCGGCAGGCAGAGGAACTCTCTGCGGACTCTCAGTCACTGTGGCCATCACCTCTACACGGTGCCAAAGCCCGGGTTAGCTCTCGAGACACGGGCGCAAGGACTCGGGAAGGGGAATGCGGGTTGGAAACAAGCAGGGAAGGCAGAGGAGTGAGTTAGGGCGGCCAGGGCAACCAGAAGGCGTGGCAGCAGAGGTTTTAGGGCAAAGGGCCGAGGGATTTGTCTCACCTCATGACTTTGCAGAATGATAGCGGTGCGGCGAGTGGGTTCGGCCGTCGAGCGAGGGTAAAGGGTTTGCCGGGAAGGTGGGAGAAGGCAGCGACGGCTTGGCCCAGGGCGACACCGAACAAGTACGGTGATGCAGACGTAGCGTGCGAGGGTGGTTTACCGCTGGATGAAGGAGAAGCAACGGCGACGGCTGATTGAAGGAGACAGGCGCGAGCGGGTGAAGGGGGGGTTGGAATTTGGGACGTCCAGGCGTCGAGGGGATTCGCCAGGCAAAGGGTGGATGGGTAAGGTCTTTGTTCCAGTTACTGACAGGCTTGCAGCTTCCGATTGAGTGCCAAGTGGTAAGGGACCAGTCAAGGTGGAATTCGTCTTGGTGGAATTCGTCTTGGTGGAATTCGTCTTGGTGGAATTCGTCTTGGTCGAGTGGACAGGTCCGAGGTGTGTCGTCGGCCTAATAAAGAGGTGGTGGCGGCGCTTTCAGAAGCGGGAGGGAGGGGAGAGAGCGAAAGTGGATGCAAGTGAGTTGGAAGGGTTGAAATTCTAGAGTTCGAAAAGAAGAAGAAGGGCCATAGAAGGTTAAGGCGGGCGGAAATATGACGAATGGGGGAGGACAGGGACGGGGGGGGGTGGCTACCGGCGAAGGTTTAAAGTGGCTCGAGCCGATCGATAGTCGGCGGGATCTGAGAGGAGAAGGGGGCAGATAGGATAATGAGTGGCAGTGTTCAATCCGATTCAGCTTCTGATCGTCAGCCGGTAGTTTTCTGTTGCCAGGTACAACAACAGCGTCAGTGACATCAAACCGCACAGGTGTGTAGCCAATTGGTCGGGGAGTCAGGCAATTAGTGCAGACTTTGTGCAGCGGATACGTGAGAGAAAGAAACAGGGCGAGTAGAGGGCGAGTAAAAGAGGGAGAGGGCGAGTAAAAGTGGGAGAGGGAGAGAGAGAGAGAGCTTCGTAGTGGAGGAACGTGGCCGAGGTGCAGGACAGCACCGTGTAGAGTGTGCAACGAGAGATACTATTACATACGTGGGACCGGAAGAGAGGGAAAGAAGAAAAAAGGGTAAAAAAAGGAGAAGGTAAGGATAGAGTGAGAAAAAAAGGGATCCTGTCCACACGTACCTGTACCATCAATGGCCCGAGGTGGGAGAGAAGGAGAGGGAGGTGTGGCGCCTGTCCCACCAAATGCACCAAGTGAGGATGTTCAGAATGTTCAGGTTGGGGAAAGTGTGGTCGATGATTGAAGCTTACTGATTGGATTGAGGGAGGGGGCGTGTGGGAGAGTGTGGTACGTGCGAGGGCCTCTTTGCATGGACAGGCCTGTTTTGCTTTGCCGTGGTTTTTGTATTTCTCTTTTGTTTTGTTTTCTTTTTCTCTTCTCTCACCCCTGTTCCTCTCTCTCTCTTCCTTTATTCCGTCTTATTTTACGTGTAGGGGAAAGAGGGAGGGAGCTGAAGAGCAATCAAGGTCGGGAATAACTCTCGCACAGGCCGGGCTTGATAAGGTAAACGAGGCGGGTGGAGGGAGACGCGAAACAAGAGATGTCTACGGATACTGTGTTGGGTGGTGTACAGAGGGCCCACAGACTTGACTTTGCTTGTACGGAATCCCTCTTCTGTCTGTATCACGATTGAGCTTCCATGGGTGTGCGTATGCGTGTGGTTGTATTCGTAGGTAGCCACGTAGACTGAGGCGTGGAAAGACGACGTCGTCGAGATGAGATGAAATGCTTCGAACGTCAATTCGTGGCCCATCGACTCACCAATCATGGCCCGGGTCGTAAACAGAGAACAGACAAAACTCTCCTACCTACTACCTAGCACGACTAGACAGGGGGGAGCAAGAAAAAAAACCCCCCCAAGAACAAAAATCATCCGAGAGCTGTCAAGAGCCACCAGCTATTTCTCCGTATTGTTAGCATACAGATCCACAGCAAGAGCTCGACTCATATGCCATTCAACTGTGGATGGGGTGGGTGGGTATATGATGGCTGCGGGTGGTGTACCCCGCCGCCTCTGTTTTCCCCTTGTAATCCCTCTCCCCTTGATATGTTCTTATTGATAGGAAACCTTTCGCCTACCATCACGATGCTCCCCATTAGGTTACTGCCGCACTGCCGCAATTCATCATCATCAGCCCTGCCCGCATACCTAGCCATGTGTACCTTACATATTATACTTGGATCGCTATGACTCCGTCCGTAGGTAGAATGAAGACGCCCCGCGGGACTGGGTGTCAGTATCCTTACCGAGTATCCGTAGACAAACAGACAAGACACGGCCCGGTGCTTGGAACGCCCGCCCACGAGGAACCAACCCTAAGACCATCGGGCTGGATCGCACTTCGGCTCGACCATGTTTGAGCAGTGCGATCCACTAGTAGCATTATCATAACGTACCCAAGGTAGATAGGCAGCTCACAGATGCCTCTACATTACATTACATTGCATTACATTACCTACCTGCCTATTCTGTGATGCCTCTTACACATGCCAGGTAGGTACTCTGCATACATCGTGCTTGCCTACATCGTCGTGGTTTCCATGTTGAGCAAGTACCCCTGGCGGCTCTTTTATTCCGGGCTTCACCTTCCTGCTCCTTGTCCCCAGTGCCAGCCTGGCACCTGCCCATCCCTTCTGCTCCTCCATGTGGAACCCCTTCCTTCTTCGTCGCTGTCCTCCTCCTCCTTTTTTTGTTTTCTCCCTTCCCTCTAGCTCAATTTTACAAAAAATCTTGGTCAGATACATGCACCTTCATGACACTGTCCAAGCAGTAGATATATCTGTTCCTGACTTTTACTCTTTGACACGCGACGATGCCGGTTGCACATCATGTCCACCTTTTCTTTCAGTATCCCTGACTTTACCACTCGATCCATTCTTGAATACGTTTTGGTACTTTCTTCTCCCATCGCGCGCACACGCTGCCCAATCTGACCCATTGTCTCAGCCATGCAGCTCGACATTACTTCCCCAATCGGTTCACCAAACGACATGATGGCCATCTGCGACATCGATTACCTGTCGGACCAACCCCAGTTGCCATAGTCCCAAATGCGGCCGCGCCTAGGAAGGGTGTGTGGGTACGTGGGAACGGATATATGCACGCAAACACACCCCTCCCCTTAACGCCGTCTTCCTTCCATTGAGATGCTCGGAGCTGCCAGACAATCCTACCTACGGATGCCCCTCCATTTGCTTCTAGCCTGCTGTACCGAAGTCCGTACCGGGGGTTGGAAGGCCTAAATGAGATGGACAACTCCTTTTATTGTCAACCAACAACACCATCAGAAACAACCACTCAATCACGCAACCATGTCAGTCTGACCCTTACCTCCACGGTTCTGAACTACCATTCTGGAAGTCGACTAGCCAGCTGACTTGTACGATACCTGGCTTCGCTACAGGTCTGTGGCCTGTGCTCCTCCTGAGAACAGTTCGGCATGTGGCATTCGGAGACAATCTCCTCATTAAACAGACATGGAGGGGCGTTAGGCCTTAGGAGCCCAGGAGCTTTGGATTGGTTACCTTGGTCTTACTATGGCATGATAAGAGCCTCTGCTGCGAGCCAATGATGGGCTGCTTTCTGACCCTTCAAAGAGACTCTTAACCAGGAATCGTGTAACAGTCGAACCGGCCAGACGGTGCCTTCCTATTTCAACGGCTTCGCTTCTCCGCGCCAATACCCACTACGCGCAGCTGACGACTAGCTCATTGATACCGTGCGCAATGACCAGTCTACGCCACTATACACGCAAGAGTCACGCCCACGATGAGTCAAAGAAGCTTGGGGAAGCACAGGATCAGCCGGCGCCTGGGCCATGTACCGAAATCCACGCCCATCTCGCAGAGTCTTCTCGAACCACTCTCGGAGCTGCTTTGAAGGAGTTTCCGTTGACGTGCCAAGGCGTGGAACCCCCCCACCCCCCCGGACAAATGACTTGCCACTTGCTTGAACGAGCTGGGATCGGCGGTCGCACTTTGCAAGCCCTGGCTGGCTGCTACTAATCGCAAGTGTGAGATACCATGCTGGTCGCAATAGATGAGAAGCTTTAACACCCGACACAGGAGTGCCGGTTCAGACAAGAAGTCTCGTCGTTTCCAAGAGCCTCTTCTGGTGTGTCTACACCGCGATGCAAGTAGAGGCCTCTCTCAACTGTCCCGGAGCTTCCTTGCTTCGTTGTCTTCGTTGTGAAAAAGGGGCAGCGGGCAGCTATGGACCGGGCCGACAAGGGTTAGCCAGCCTACTTCTGGCCGAGGGACAAAGCGTCAAGCAAGAGCCCTTACTTTCCCCCGCGACCCCTGCCCCGGGTCAGAATCAAAACTACGACATGTGTCCGTTCCGAGTTCCAGAAGACGCTACCAAGGGCCCCAATAACAGAAGGCCGGCTTTTCGACCCTTTTTGTTTTATTTCTATATATCTCTCTCTCTTGTCGTTTTACCCCATCCGGCTTCCTTTACATACCTAGATACACCTAATAGGCGGGCATGAAAGGCCTGCAACGAGTTCGATCTTGAGGAACGCGCACAAATTCCGTGACGGTTGAGCATTGACAGCTTTCATCTTCGACCATGCATGAGCAGACGCTCCGTGTGGCATGCGTTTCGGTCATGGGCGAATTTACTGCTGGGTCGTCTTTAATGTCCGATTGTAAAGAAAAGGATATTCACATGCTCCGGCCTAGCTGCGACGAGTCCAAGAACGCCGTAGCCAGCATTCGCCTCAAAGCATGCTGGATCTTGTTCAGCCTCGAAAATAAGTTGTCGCGACAGTAGCTTGGCCGTGGCTTGGCGCAGTCTTTGAGCCCCGAGTGCCCTTCATCTAGGATGAGATTTCAGCTCGGAAATGTCGACTTCGTCGCGAACCCATCTACTTGCATCTGGAACGCAGCCACGCCATTGCCACCACAACTTCAACCTCACCTCAGTCGCAAGCTCATCTGCGAAGGGAAGGATACGTTAAAAAAAATAAAAAAATCGGGCCACATAGCCACTCACTCGTCTGTGGATTCCCGTTCACCCAGCGGCATGTTCCAACAATCGTTCTGGGCCACCTGAACCGGCAATTTGACTTCTTCCAAAACGAAGGAGATTGTGGATGGATGGTGGCCTGAGCGAACGAACTGCAGTCCCAATGTTTCAGCAGAGCCATCGGTTCTTCGCATTCTCGTGCGGTCCATGAGACGCCCTGCGTCAAGCATCATCGACAGACGCCTCAAGATGTAAGCTGCAGCAGGTTATTGTTGATCGCGCACCACGCCGTCGACGATCCGACAACGGCCCCCTGTATGTTGGCCCTCTATTCGTTCGCTGAGGACCTGGTCTTCTTCATGCATCGTCCCCGATGTAACGCCATTCCGCTCCAATGACCCCTCCCCCCTCTTCGCAGTTTGGTTCTCTGTGTCTGAATAGCCCTGAAGAATACGACGTCGACGCTCATCTCAGGTGGACCATGACCTTCTAGAAGTCTCAGGGACGACTCCAGGATGCCCCTTGGGGTGCTTTTTAGCTCGGAGCAAGCACCTGGTACTGTGCCTTTTTTGTTTTGTTTTGCAATGCCTATCTTGATCAAATACAGCTGTTCGCTCTTTCACACACACACACACACGCGCGCGCGCGCGCGCGCACGAGGAATCGCCTTGACGCCGCTGCAGTGCCTGTAGCAGGTTCGCAGTGCGAGCCTGCGCTTGGGATAGCGGAATCGACGGAACGGCACATCCGAAGCAAAAGCGAAAGCACCCAACCCACATACACCATGTACGTTTAGTTGAGGTTCAAATCTTGGGCCTGCCACGTCGCATTCCGGATGTGGCACTTCCTCCTTCCGCCCCTTGCCCAGCATGCACATCAATGTCTCATACTCGTTCTGCAGGCAGCGTGATGTAACCGATAACATCAAGCAGGCAGACGGGCTAGCAGGATCTTTACGCAACATCGCTCCCAACTAGCAGCAATGGCGTCTATCTTGAACGGGATTCTCCGAGTTCAGAGGATTCAATATTCCAACTCTCCCATTCCGTGGCCCGAAACCCGAGCTGTGGTCTACCGGCCAATATTGGGCTTCTGTATTCACGACAATCTCTGGGACACGGGAAATGCCATCGCGATGTCCCCTGCATGGCCCGTCTCGCAGGTGAAGAGGGTATACGCTATCTCGGCCGGACCCATGCACTAATGGCCTGGTGGCCGTCCTCTTCGCCCGCCTCGAGGCTTACGAGAGACGCTCAACCCAAACCCTCGAGACAAAACGCCTCGCACGGCAAAGAACCACGGCATGTAAGCGTCTCCATCGCGGAGAGGCTGCGTGGCGGCATAAGGCAGCAACCAACACGTTGGCGATCTCTTTTCGTCCACCTCCGGATGACGGCTGGTAAGCAAATCGGTTTATTGTCCCCAACCCCCTTGTCGGTTACAACTCGGAGCTCCAATCTAGTTTTCGACGGAGATGTGTCGGAGCCGGGAGGGCGCGAGTTTGGTCCCATGCAACCTCGTAGTCTAATATTATGCCGTCCAATACGAGGAAGGGGGTTAAGACTCAACTTGGCTTCTCCGAGAAACACCGAGCCAAACGTTAACGCTACCCAAGGGGAGACAGGATGTGAGTTCTTCACGACGGATGGGTGCTATGCGATATTTTTCGGAACCGTACCCTTCTGGGGTTCCTCGTATTAGCGCACCCTTACCACGGTACAACCCCCCCGGCCCCCAGATCTCTGTCGTTGTGGTCCGTGGCACACGCGGGTACAATACCGACGGGGGCATCCTTCCTATGACATTATTCGTTCCATTGGCTCACCCGGCCGTACTGAGCTAGATTTTATAGACATGTGCGAAGAAACAGCCAGAACGACGACTCGTCCCCAAACACCCCCAGCGCCCAGTAGTTAATCATTGACACACAAACGCACGCACACCCGGTAAGACGGCATATGTTGCCCCATCGTGTCATCATCCAAACGCCTTTTCCCCTATACTGACGCGAAGGACCCATCCAAATAACCATGAAACCCAATTCCCGCCAGGCGAGCAATGGGAGGATATGACCTCCCCCCCCCTCACCCCTCATATTACTCTGTACTAGGTATGTACTCCAACCAGAAGGATGGTAGGGGAGGATTGGAGGGAGGGGGGTGGGGGAGCAAGCAAAGTCTAAAAGTCGCCATCGTCGACGTCCATGCCGCTGACTCTCCGCTCCCCGATCTCGCGGATCTTGTCGCCCAGGATCGATCGCCCGTACCGCTCCGCGACCTTGCCCGCCGCCTCGACCATGCGGCCCGTCCGGTCACGCATGAGGCTCACCAGCTCCAGCGCCCTCATGCCGCGCTCTTCGCCCTCGCGGCACTCGATGGCCAGCATCTGGAGCAGCGTCTTGTCAAAGTCGAGCTCGAGGCGCGCGAGGCCGGCGCGCTGCGAGTGCGTGGCGTCGGTGTGGTCGATGAGGTCGCGCAGCTGGGCCGAGTGGATGCCGGACAGCAAAAGCTTCTGTTCCAGCTGGCGCGATTCGCGACGACCCGCGTCGTCGTCGTCGTTGTCTTCTTCTTGCCTGGAAGAGTCCGCGTCCGGCGCTGGCGCCGAAGTGAGGGGCACGGAGAAGTCAAACTCGGACAGGAGCGGCCGGGGGAAATAGGGGTATTGGTCCCCGCCCTTTAAGATGATGCAGTGGAACTTGTTGTCGGCTACCGCAATGGGCCAGTAAGTTTCCTTCTTTCTCCCTGATGCCAGACGCGGCAGAAGCTTTGTGTCGAGGAGGGGAACCCAGCAGGCGCGGGAGGGCTTCCGCCAATGGAGCAGCGTGAGGAGTGTGCCTGTCGAGTCATAAATGCAAGGATCCTGAGCCGGGACAGAGTCAGCAAAAGGGAAAAAAAACAAAAAAAAACGAACAGTATCCAAAAAGGAAAAAGAGAGTGACACCAAAATTACGAAACAACAGGGGGGAGGGTGAGAAGGGGGTGTTAAACTCACGCCAACATCCGAAAAGAAGACGCTCTGCAACGTCGCGCCATCTGGCAGTGCGACGGTATCTTCGTTTTGGCAAATCTCGTCCCGCTTGATGTTCTCGATAGTGTAGAGGAGGCGGGCGTTGCCGTCGGCGCCGACGGCGCCGTTGCCCATCGTGATGACGTAGTCGCGCCAGCTGGCGCAGGTGACCACGGGAGTGCTCTTGGGGCGGTAGACGCGGTAGGGGACGCCGAAGAGGGTGTAGATGCGGACGTAGTTGGCGGTGGTGGTGACGGTGATGAAGGAGTCGCTCAGCGACATGGCGACGACGGCCTCTCCCTTGGGCAGCTCCGTGCGCCAGTCGGCGCGCTGCGTCCACGTCTCGTGCGGGCGGTAGAAGAGGGTGGCGGGCGCGCCGTCGAGGGGCGGGCAAGCGAACAGGGCGCCGTGCTCCGTCAGACAGGCCTTGTCGTAGAGGAACGTGTCGGTGAAGTGGAAGTCGCGGTGGAACTCGTGGTCATAGAACTCCACCGTCACCGTGTTGTGGCCGTCCTGGTCGACGGTCCAGACGACGCCGATGAGGTTCAGGCACAGGTACTTGCGGTTGCCGCGCCAGGGCGTCGAACCGGGCTGGAAGGCCTCGTGGAACGTCGGCTCGAGCAGGCGGCGTTTGCTGGCGCGCCCGGCGTCGTCGCCCTCGAGCGGCCTCTTGGTGCCCGTCGCGTAGCCCGCGCCGTCGTCGTCGACGACGAAGTCGTCCCCGTCCTCGTAGCCGTCCTCGCCGTTGAGGAACGAGTCGAGGCTGCCCAGCGAGTCGCGCCGCGGCCGGCTGGGTATCGAGGCCTTGGCGCCGTTGGCGTCCGGCCTGCGGGCGTTTTTGTTGTTGGCGTTCTCGGTCAGGGGGTCGTGGATAAAGGGCGCCGGCTGGCGGGGCAGCTGCAGGAGGGCGGCGAACTGCTCCGTGATGAGGTTCGGGTAGATGTAAACCTCGCCGTCCGAGGTGGTGAAGGACAACAGGTTGTCCTTGGGGTGCCACGCAAGGTCGAGAACGTTGCTATAGTCGAACTTTTGCACGACGCTCTGTGTCTTGGTCTCCCAGATGAGGAGCTTGCCGTCCTTGGCGGCCGTGGCCAGCAGGGCGCCGTTGGGCGACCAGGCGAGCGCCGTGATATCGCCGAGGTGGCCGTTGGAGAAGGCCCGCTGCTTCTCCCAGTCGTTCTTGGACACGACCTGGACGTCGTGCATGGGGGTCGGCACGGCGAAGGCGCGGCCGTCCGGATGCCAGGCGATGCGGGCCGACGTCTCCGAGTCGGACTCGAGCGGGCCGATGACGCCGTCCACCTTGCGAATCAGCTCGGGGGTGTCGGCCGTCATGGAGTAGACGTAGATGACGCCGTCGGTGCAGGCGAGGGCGAGGAGGCCACCTCTAGGGTCGAAGGCGAGGTGTTTGGTCGGGCGGCCGTGGTCCTTGAGCACGCGGACGCGCGAGTTGTCCTGGGTGTCGACGACCTTGACCGTCAGCTCGTCGCTGGCGACGGCGCACCACTTGGCGTCCGGGGAGAGGGCGACGTCGCGGACGGGGAGGGAGGTTCGGGTGAGGAAGCGCTCAAAGGCCGTGTCCTCGACCGAGTAGACGCTGACGGTGCCGTCCTCGGAGCCGACGACGAAGAAGGCGTCGGCGGCGGCAGCGGCGCAGTTCTGCTCGGGGCAGTCGTCGATGTTGTAGGGCTCACCGTCGTGGTGGGTGCGGTACAGGCGGATCGTGTTGTTGGAGCCGACGGTGACGAGGCGGGCGCCCGAGGGCGTGTAGGCGAGGCGGGTCGTGCCCGTCGTGTGTGCCGGCCTCGGCCGCGGTTTCGGGGCGAGGGAGGAGGCCATCTTTGCGTAGTATCCGGGTGTGTTTACTTGGTGGTCATGGGGGGAGGGGTTGTCGGGATGGCCAGCTTGATTGCGCGAGGGAGGCGGGACTTCTATTGAGTCTCGTGGAGTTCGTCGGACAGGGCTTCGGGACGGGAGGTCGTTGGTGATTTAGAAGAAAGACGGGTTGTGTGAGGCGGTGATGAAGGGGGGGTGTGGACGACGTCGGGGATGGCGGTTGGGAAAGACGCGTTCGGACGCGTCGCGGAAATTCAATTAACGACTTTTTTGCTGTGCAAATCGGCACTTTACGCCAGCGAGGTACGCGGGACAAGGGGGGATCCGACAGTGAACCCCTCCAGGTACGTACCGCCACACCAAGGGGGGGCATTCCCATCTGGCGCCAGCCGCAAGAAGCCGGCGTCAGACGGTCACGGAAATCCATCGCAGGCGTATTATCAGAATTGATGAGAAATAGAAGGTCCGCGGGGTGAAAGTGGGCGCGGCCCTGGAACGACGGCTCTCGAGAACAGGCACCGACGACAACTGGGCAAGGCTATATATCTCTTCTAAGAGTTCTTTCCGCCCTCCCTGGAGATACCACTCACTCGTAGCCCTTCCACCGGTCCCGTTTTTACAAGTATTTTCTTTTTTTTAGAGTTCCCGGCGGAGATAGATCACCATTCAAAGATGCAGTCATCCAACCAAGAGAACTTCTTTGAGACGGAGTGAGTATATGAACCTCCTCCCGCCCCCCCTCTTCCCCCTTCCCCAGCAAAACCCTTTCCCCGAGTATCTTATACATTTATCCATGATTCGGGGGCTTTTCTAACGGTAATTCACAGCGCACAGCAGGCCAAGCGCCAGCTGCGAGCCAAGAAGGAGGCAAACACCTTTGGCAACCCGCTGCGCATGCCCTCCAAGCTCCTGGCCGTCATCCCGGACCCCAAGAAGCCGCATGTCTCCGTCTTGGTCGCCGAGTCGGGCGGGCGGGTCTCCCGGGTCGACACTGAGGTACGATAGCTTGTTCCATCTTGTCAACCATATCCTCGTGGGTGCGGTTGAGGGTCGCATCCGATCGGTAGGAGGGGCTCGCTCACACGCCACCAGACACGCGCCGTCACGGCAAGGTACACGGGCCCGTCGGTCCCCGTGACGTGCCTCGCGACGGGCGGCGCCTCGGACGGCGTGCTCTTCGCCGGCAGCTGGGACAAGACGGTCTGGTCCTGGGACCTCGCCACGCGCCGCCCGCTCCGCCGGTACGACGGGCACTCGGACTTCGTCAAGGCCGTCGTCTGCGGCCGCCTCGGCGGCAAGCCGATCCTCGTCAGCGGCGGCGCCGACAAGAAGATCATCGTCTGGGACGTCGACTCGGGCCGCAAGCTGCACACCCTCCAGGACCCGACCACCGCCATGATGTCGCTGCAGCACCTCGCCGTCGACCCCGTGCTGAGCACCCCCGATGAGATGGTCCTCGTCAGCGCCAGCAGCGACCCGCACATCCGCCGGTGGCGCGTCACCCTCGACTCGTACTCGCAGCTGCCCATCGACGATGCGGCGGCGAAGACGACCGGGGCGGGCGAGGAGAAGCTCACGATCCAGGAGCACGAGACGAGCGTGTACAAGGTCCTCTTCGACGCCGCGGGCGACGAGGTGGACCTCTGGACCGCGAGCGCCGACGGGACCGCCAAGCGCCTGCTGCGCGAGAGGGCCTTCGCCGCCGACGACGTCTTCGAGCACGGCGACTTCGTCCGCGCCATCGCCCTGGCCGGCGAGTGGGTCGTCACGGCCGGCATCAGCCAGCAGATCAAGGTGTGGGACCGCACGTCGGGGGCCCTGCGGGCCGTCGTGGACGCCCACTTTGACGAGATCACCGACCTCGCCGTCCTCCGCGACCCCGCCGGCCGCGCCGCCGACGACGTGCTGTGCAGCGTCGGAATCGACTGCACGCTGCGGACGTGGCCGCTGGACGGCCGGGGACTGGACGCCGTCGTCGAGGAGATCCGGGCGGCGGACGAGGCCGTTCCGGAGGACGGGCAGGCGGAGCCGGCGAAGAAGGAGGGGGGAGAAGGGCTGATGACGGCCGAGGAGGAGGCCGAGCTGGCGGCGCTGATGGAGGATGATTAGGCACTTCGCCGTTCGAGGGGGGACAATGTCGTGATGATGCCGTGGGAGAGGGGCCCAGGTCCAGACCGCGTCTCCGTACGGGGATCAGGAGGTTCCCCCGGGCTCTGCGAATCATTACAACCGCGACTCGACCAAACAATGAAACAAGAAAGGGGAAAAATACTATTGCTCACATTTTTTCGTCGCCAGAAAAAAAAAAAGTCAGCTGTGTGTGAAGTCGTGGGTAGATAAGGCTTTCTGGCCTGCCCCATTACTCACTCAAATATTCTACATCCCCTATCCAAACAGCGGGAAGCTACAACCCGTCGTCTCCCCGGCCCAACGAATTGCTCCTCTTTCTCGGGTTTCGGCCGACTTTATTAACATAGCCTTCACAGAGTTTCCAGATACCCGAGCTATCTCGGGGGTTCGTGATGGGATAATGCAGGCTTCTTCTCAAGGGAGTGGGAGGGGGGAATGTACGCCAGCCAGCATGACCTTGTCGAACTATGGCGGCTTGCCATCCGACCCCGGCCGGTTGTCTACAATTTCCCCGATGCCGTCCTGGGCATATCTGCAGTCAGACATTGGGCGTTTCTTTGGCTAACGATGTCTCGGTACGAGCTTGCACGCCTCCGGTGGGGAATTCATCGAGACATGCGCCGCGGAGCAAAGGGTCAGGCATCGCTTGTGACGACACCGGAGGAGACACAAAAAGCGGCGTGGCATCTGTTCACATGACCGGCGCTCCTGCGCGCCATAGTTCCAGTTGAGAGGAGTCGTGAAGTCGTACTGGGAGGGTTCTGGATAATTGTAACGATTGGAGACCGCCGGGGGAGGAGGCATCATTGAGGCCGACACCGTCTAAGGATAAGAATCACTACAGGCAGCAAACAACGTGCTCGAGCTGCTGGGGCTCGTCATTCCATCCGTCAGAGTGTTATTCTCCGGCCAGCCTCATTCCTCCCTAGAGCGCGCTAGAAAGAACCTAGTAGTGCGTTCCAGGGCAGTGAGGATCATCTTTACCTAAGCGGCCACGCGCAACGTCGAGGGTGCAGGAAAACAAACATCATAAGAGCCAAGTCCAGTCGGGTACCCTACCATTGACATCTCAAATCCGCCTGTGCTCTAAACGTGACAGAAGGAACCGATCGACCGCCCGTCCCTTGGCCGTGCCTGGCGACCGACTGCGGACGGCGGAAGGTCCTCGACTGTGCCAAAACTTCCCTTGGACCACTTTGTGCCACCTGAATCCGGTGGCTGCTGCGTGGGAACCCGAATCACTCGAGAACATCCAGCGGCAGGAAATGAGTGGCTTGTTTGCTTCGCCAGTCCGTGCGGATACCTGTGGTCCCTGAATAGTCCCGGCGGTGTCCCGACACCACTTTAACCTACCTATCGTCTTCTGACTGATGTTAATAAAATAAGAGCCACAAGGCGGGCAGGACGGAGCTGGCCATGCCTGCGCAGGTTGTTTTGGACGGCTTCCCGAGTAAACATCGGGAGGCTACAGGCATTTCGAGGTCCATCGCTCGAGGCACGGAATAGGGGGGGTAGGGCGACGAGCCAACTGGCGCACAAGCCTCTGGAAGGCTCGGAATGTTGGGTTAGTTGACAGCTTGACACAGGCTTGGAATCGAAGGCGGAAGCTTCTAGGCCTCGGTCGGAACCTCTTCACCCCTGGGCGAACCAAGCAGACCAACACGGACGTCGGGGATGAAGCACGTGCTGGTGGAAAAACTTGGATCTGCACGGGTGACAGACAAGTGTGATACTCCGGCGGCTGGGAGAACGCGGCTTTGGCGGAGAAGAGAATATCCCCACGCCCTATTTCTTGAAGCCCTGCTTATCGCACTGCGTCGCGTCCGCACAAACAAAACGCGAGCTGCATGGGCATATGTTAGCCCGACGAATAGTGTCTCTGTAGAGGTGGAAGGACAAAGGACGGATGCTGTGGTTGCCGCAAACCATTGTAGAACAAAACGTGACCAGGAGGGGGGGGGGCTGGGGCCGCCTCGACGATTCGGGTAGTCTGCAGTGCAACAAAGACAGCTTCTAGCCCGTTTCAAGCCCTTCATCGCCCTCTATGATGACCAGTGCCAGTATGCCTCGTTACTACAAGGACCGGCTTAAGAGGGCAACGACGAGATGGGATCTGCGGAACCGCTTGCACACGGGTGGTTCGGCCTTGGGGGCAAGGTGTCTGGGCCCTTGTCAACGATCCAAGGACACGGTACAACCCCAGAGGCGCAGCGCTGTGGATCTGGACAATGGAATGTCCCGGCCCTTCCAGCTGGGGAAATGAAAAGAGCCCAATGGCTCTCTGTTCAGGCTGGCCGATAGCACTTCTGTAGTGGATGAGATTTTGCAAAAGAAGCATAGTTGCATACCTTTGCGGGCTTGTTTGTGGACGGCGATGTTTGCGAAGTCGGAGGAAGGAAAGAACTGGCTCGCTCCATAGGTGGGAGCCCGCCACTAGGGGATTCGAGTCGTGGAACAAGCTTCGTGAATACGGAAGGGGGCCTATCGAAGGATTCCACGACGTCCATGCCATGTAACGTTAGGTTGCACCCTGCCGAGGTACCCGTCCTTTCAGCCTGTGGTCCAGAATCCCTCCTGGTCAGTAACTGGTCAAGGACCGAACATATAACAACGTAGCTAGCTGGTTACAGATTCGCAATACCTGTAGGTAGCCAGTGCCAACTGCTGCCGCCGGTGTAACAGGAGCATCGTCTGTTCGGTTGAGTTGAAGGAATGATGGCATTCGCCGCGCAGAAGTGAACAAAGAAAGAACTGCTGGCAAGTTTACTGTAGCCATTTGTTTGTTATAGCATGGGCTCGCGGCAACCTGACTAATAGTCTTTGTCTTTGGGCATTCGAATGACTTGGATAGATGCAGGACACGGTTTCGCCGTTGAGGCGGGAGGTGCATGGCAGAAGTCGACGGATATCAAGTGCGGGACTGCAGGCGATGATGGCATTCTTGGTTTGGATAGCCCACCTGGGTCGCCGCTTGTGTTGACTACTGCCAGAGTCATGGTGGTGTAGATTTGCTGCCCCCTGCAGTGCGGTATTGTGTTCAGGGTACGCAAGATAGAGTTAGCACGGTGGCGCTACTCGATATCTGACCGCGGGCGGCTCGGGCTCTGGCGGCCATGGTCGAACGGCGACTGTTTTCAAGGTCAAAGCTTGATGGCAGCAGACGATGGCGTTGGTGTTGAGAGGGCCGTCACCGTTAGGCCCTCGCCGTACATGCAAGGAATAGATAGATGTGAAGACAGACAGACAGACACACAAACGAACGGATAGGCGGCGGCGGCGGTCATGCCAAGGCCACAATGTACGAATGTGTAATTGGCATCCGTAGATGGGTTCGGATACTGGAGAGGGTAGTTTGACGTAGTTAAGCAGCCAAAGTGCGAGCAAACAAACAAAAACACGTTCTGACCTGCCGATTGGTTATCTTCTTTCCGATCCAGCATGAGCCTGGTCGTCGATCGCCTAAATAGGCAAGGCCTATTTCCGAGTCGCCCCTGCATCAATAGCTCACCCCCTGTCCACTCCTCCCTCCACTACCAACCCACGCTTCCTTCCCATCACGTCGCTGCGATCTGAGGTACTCGGTACTTATCTTTTCACTCATATTCCCACTGACTTTCTCGAGGACCCAAGTGCAAAGTACCTTTCAGGCACGTGCACTGGGTAGAGGCGTAGTATGTATCCGTACTATCTATCCCGAACCCTGGGGCGGATCCACCAGCTGTCGCCGCCCACAACATGTGGCCCACTGCCTCCCACGTCTCCTCCTTCCTCGGGTTGTCTCTCCCCACGTACGTCTGTTCGGATGTAGGGGAAATTACTCTGGGACTATCAGTTCAACTACACACGTCCACATTCCGTCCTCCATTCCGTTTCTTGCAGGTCGACTGGACTGGTCATTGAGTGGTCCGCTTCAATTAGAATACATGCCATTGAGCCGGATACTCTCTTCCGCCTCATCTTCTTGCTCAGTCACTCCTGTTTGTCCAATGTCAATTCGCGACAACCTTGGGCCTCGGGCCGCTTGGCCGGAAGCCTCAACCACGGGGGTTTCCGTTGAATTGAGCGTGTTCCTCTGCCACTGTTGCCTCTGGCCTGTCTCATTCATTCCTTGGTTGCCACGGCTGCCCCCCTCCATCAGGACAGACTGTCGGCCATACGTATAGGTAGGTATTCATCGTACGTACCCAGGCAGGCAGGTATCGATATGCACGATCAAACGGCGGCATGGCCCCGTCGCGTCGATATAGGCAGGTGGTATGATGCAAGTGAGGTGGCGGCGGCGGCTTGCGCAACTGTCAGACAGATTCGTCCCTTCCTCCCCGGTGGTGTGCAGGTCGACGGACCTACCGCCATGAGACACCGGCATCATATCGGAAGACCGTCTTGGGGCTAGTCGCAAGCCATGAGTACCGACCAGGGAGGAGGCGCCTGAGGACCCTGTCCCATCTTGCCGACCTTGACGCAGTAGTGTAGTGTGGTGTAGTGTGGTCTACCTACCTAGGTAGTGTGGCACGGAACCTTTCGTCCAAACTCTCCCGCACCTGGGTCCGTCGCCCGGCCCGGGCTCGAGGTCGTCTGACTAAGAGACGCTCTCAGTCGCGGTATCTTGATGAGAAGGCCAACAGGACAAGCCGCTGCCCTGCGCTTCAAACAGTCTCTTTCTCATGATCTATGCATACCCAGGGATTGGAATTCGCACCACCATCGTGGGCGGTGAGACCATTCGATTCGATTCGCCCACTTGTTACACCACGCACCCAGACAGAGCCGTTCTCGCCCGGACCAGTGTTCCATTCATTCCAGTATCAGAGTACCTAAGCTTGGGCTAGGATGAGGCAGTCACCACCTGCTGCTTCCTGCCGCTTGCCGCTCCCCTAGTCCCGCCGAATCCTCTTGCGCGACAGGACGGCAACGATCGATTAGCATAAGACAACGCTCACTCGTAAAGGTATGTGTGTATGTGTGTGTGTGTGTGTGTGTGTGCGCGCTCTTGTCTCGGGCGAGGACTGGTCATGCATACATTCGTTCGTTCATTCACATAAGCTGAAGGGCAACCACCTCACCCAGACCGGTTCCTCCCCACAGACTTCGCCGCACCTGCTCTGCTTTCCCTCTTTTTCTCTCTCGCTCTCTCTCTTCTCATCCTCCACCCCCCCTCTCTTGCTCCCCTCATGGGCAGTCTTTTTGTCGTTACCGATCTAGCGGCTTGAGGCGCAGTTTAGAAACGCCAACTATCCATCGCCTCGTACCCTCTATGCCAAGTTAGATCAAGCCACTTTCTTTTGGGTTTGCGCCGGTGCCCGTAACAGCTCGATTATCGCTTGCCCCCGAAAGTGCCCTTCATCTTTTACTTACCAGAAGAACATTGCAGTTTTTCATTCTTCACTTTCCGTTTATTCACTTCATTTCTATTCTTTCGACTTATCACCACAGCCCTTGCCGTCAACCTGGGCCATCTTCCCTCCAAAGTGTGCGATTTCTGCAACTGGTTGCATTGCATCACACCTCTTGCCCTTTCATCCTCATTTGGGTTCACCAAGTCAAATCCAATCAGCCGACTGAATACTGCCTCTGCTGCCGCTTCACTTCACTGCGGCTCTACGCAATCGATTCGAACAATTAACCTAGCCATTCCACCCGTCCTTGGTATAACACACGCTCTTACCCTACGCTGTCCGGCTTCAAATGGCCGAGTCTGCCAAATATCATGGCTCCCTGGTCGCTTTCGAGGGCCCCGGCGACCTAGTATCTACGCAGCTTCGCCTGTTACCCACATCCACACAAATAGCCCTACTCCCCAGTGTCAAGGAATATCTCGAGCCCGACAACCCCCAAGAGCCTTTCGAAGCCCGCAAGTTTGTCAAGAGGGTTCATGACGCCGTCGCCAAGAGGCGAGAGGTCGCCATGGTGTTTTTGAGGGGCTCGACACCCAGGCGCAAAAGGCTCGTCTTCATGAACGGCGGCACACCCAGTGCCCAGACAGTCTGCATCAGGGCCATTTCCCGGAATGTGACAGACGGGGACATTTCCAAGGCAGAGGCCATCTTCAAAGAACTTGTGAAAGGGGGCGTCGACAGCCTAACCCGGCATCCCGCTAGTGTGGGGGCCTCCTTTCTTGATACATCCGAAGAGTTCGTCGAGGACCCCATTACGAGAGCCATGCGCGCGGCAGATGCTTTGGATCGCGAAACCGAAAACCTCCAGCCTCCCAGAGACATGGATCTCACAACCTTGAGCTTCCGTCCGAGGAGCTTTAGCCTGCCAATGTTCTGCTTCGCTGACACGTATGGGGACACCGCGCCCTTCTATGTCTTTGGTGGACACTACCACGAGGAGTTTGGCGGAGATCAAGGTCGGCAAATGGAGACCGCTCAACTCCGCGATTCCACGCCGTCGTTGGCTGTCACGGACTTCGGTGAACGTATGGGTACAAGATTCAACCGCGAGAGCAACCTGTCCGTTACAGGACCGCCCCGCTCTCCTAGTTGTGTAGGCGAGGCGTACGAACGGGGAGATGTATCCTCGCCGCCGTCACCCAACCCAAGCACTATGCTTGGTGTGGCAACTCCAAGGTCTGAAGTCTTCAGCATCCGCTCGACGGAGCCCATATTCATCGAGCAGGCCTCGCTTGTTCGAATGCAATCATCGGCCTCCACCAACAACCTCAAACGATCCAAGTCCAATGGTCAGCTTACCCGCACCGGCTCGCGGTACCGGGATACACTGATCCGGCTGAGGCACAAAAAGAGCCTTACAGAGGCGGCTAATGCCGACGATTCGGCAAACGTCCGTTCTGTTTCTGGTCCTGTGCTCGCCTCAGAGGTTCCACAACGCGAGAGCAAGGCCAAAGCTGTCGAGGGCCCCAAGACCGTGTACGTCAGGTCCCCCCGAACGAACAACCCAGCGCCGTCACCGATGGAGGAACTGGCTTGGCATCACAGGCGCATCACGAACAGATACGTCGACAGAGGAACCGACGCCCAAGATGCCGACGAAAGCGAGGATACTTTCCTGGCGGTGTTGCCGTTTCACGAAGACCTCGTGATTCATTTCAAAGACGAAAACCCAGACCCTATACTGGAGCACATGATCAAGTCGTTCAAAGAAGGTATCTACCAAGTCGCGACGTCTCCGGGTAGCTCCAGCAACACATCCGTTGCCGATGGTCGTTCGACAGCTCCCAACACTCCGCCAATACCGACAAGCGATTTTCTGATGAAAGCACCTACTCCCGCCATCGCCGTCGGTGAAGGGGAGTACGACCCCTATTCCTACGATGATACCGTCTTGGCTAGGAAGCACCCTCTGTCTGCCCCTAGGAGCATGACGGTCTCAGCCTTGCCGACACCGGCACACACGCCTCCCCCAACGATCCCGGAGCCGGAGGATAAGTTCCGCGACTTCAAAGCTGTGAAAGGTCAGACGGCTGTGGCCGTGCAGAACTCTCTCCGTTCAGTACTCAACATCTACTTTCCACCCAACGGAAGGGGATACTCTCAGTTCGGCTTTCCCCTGCTTCCAGAGATGGAAGGGTTGTGGAAGCCCATTTTCCGCGAGACCGACCTGGACGAAAATTTGGGCAAGGACAGCCGTCGAATTGACCTGATCCTGGCTGTCGGAGCACAGCGCGGGGTCAAGAAGCCGTTCGTCTCAGGGGTGGTCAGCCAACTTGAAAAACTGGGTAGTAAGCCGAATGGAATCTGCCGAACGGGCAGGCTCGACTTTCGGTGAGTAGTTGTTCGCCATGCTATTGTGCTTAACGGATTATGGTTGACTTAGCTCTTCAAGATACCTCATTGCCAACGCGATGCAGTCGTTCACTGCGCAGCCCCTGGCGAAGCAGACCCACGACAACCCCTTTTCGAACTCGTACTTTCTGGCAACTCTCATCGTTCCTCACCTCGAGACGTATTTGGCTGCCCACTCGGAAGTCCGCTTCCTACTCCTCGATTACCCCCCTGACCACCTCGCCACTGTTCTTGCTCTGCAAAAGCTAGTCGGGGTTGACATGATGAAAGTCGCTCAAGTAATTGATGCCGCAGCCAAAGAGCCACTTCCCTTTACGCATGCCCGGGGCAGCTCCTTGGGCCGTGTCTCACCAAACTCGAGCTCGGTTCAGTTGAAGGATTCCAAGGCAGGCGCGTCTGCGCCCTCACGAGACGGACTGGCGGTCTCCAAGGCCAACCTCCTTCTCGCATCGACTGCGACCGAAAAAGAAGTTGCCACCTTTGTTTCCACTGTTCGGACGCTTCTGATCAGCATCTCCAAATTCTACTTGCCTGATAAGGGATCGAAGAACCTAGGCAAGCTGAGAACGGGCAACCCCTCGCCCATCACACAACAGACCATGAGCCCTCCGATTTCCCCCCTTTCTATGAGGAGCAGGAGGCACATCAGGACGACCAGCTCTGCTAGGTCCTCGCCCAGGACCTCGTCTGTTACGGACAACATTATAGTCCGCCGCTTCAAGTCCCGAAGAGGTGGTGACACAAGGCCGGGCTTGGGCGATGACGGATCCATCATGACGGTCGATATGGAATTTGAGAGCGATCTAGACCTCGAGGAAAGGCGATTGATGCCCATGTTCCTGAAGAAGAACCACATGCGAAAGGGCAATAGCCGCAAGGCCTTGAAGTTCCTGGGGTTGGCATGATCCGGTCCTCGGCGACTTGTACTATACTGTATGTCGTAAGAGCCTGCGGGTTGGCTCTGCACACTCTTCTTTCTCTCTGGAGGACTGTTTTGATGTTTAGCACGTGGCTCTTTCTTTATTTCTTTCTTGCTTTCTAATAGTCACCCGGTGGATTAAGGAAGGCTGGGGTCCTCAACGGGGGGAAGGACGGCAGAGGATGACCTCGCATGAAGTAAGGAGAATCTCTTCATGTACAGAGAGATGAAAGCGAGAGATGGATGGACACTTGCTGCTCGGTTGAAGCAGCTGACAATCACCTTTGCTACGCCTGTCAAAATGAACGGTCGTTTCGACTCATGTTGTGGACGGACGCTACAATACCCTGGGATAGATAGGTGGCCCGTAAATAGCGTAGAAACTCGATTTCGCAATGTGGCTCCCTGCCTAAACATGCGTGAATTCTTCAGTAAGGGGTTCTCCCGGACAAGGCCGCAGATGTTGAGCAAGCGTAGACGCCGAACCCGAGCTTTGCCAACGAACCCATCACTGGTGTTTTGCCGCTGAGGGCTCAAAAAGTCGTCAGAGTGAGCGCTGCCGTCGATGCTCCTCTATAGCATGCAGGTTGATAATGCCTCATCACTTATACTGGTCAACGACCCCCCCCACCTTCAATCAACGTAGAACCTAAAGAGAAACCCGACCGACGCACAGGCCAGACCAATATCGTGGCTAGGACTGACCAGTCCCCTATTGACATCCGAGAGATGGACTGGAAGATAGTCCTGGACTTTCCGCTGACTGATATGATGCAGCTCAGTCCTGAATTCTCCAAAGCCCTGAGGCCAATGCCACAACGCATAGTGGTTTGCAAGCCCAAAAGAAATCAAAGGGCAAGGAGAAAACTGTGGTTGACCCTAACATTCTGCTGGCATCAACATCGACAAGTCAGGTCACACATCATGACCATCAACGATCCGACTATGAACATCAGTGCTTTTTTTTTTTTTTCCTTTTTCCAAAGCAGTACTCGGCTACTTGACGACCATCCAGAATTGATTGCAATCTTGGCGACGCTCCTCACAGAGGACGTACACGACCAACCACCATCTTGGAAACCTCCAGGACGGGTATCCAGACGAAAAGGGAACGAGGGGTGACGCCGTCCCGATGGGAAGAGCCGGATGGCCCGAGTTCTTCTCCCTTTATGACGTCAAAGACTAAGATTGCCGTCGGTCGCCCTGCCTACCCTATCCTATGTCGATAACCCCCTCGCATTAGGCGGCGGGCAATTGCTTTCAGCTCCCCCTTCCCCTTCCCCTTTGCTTTCCCTGGCAGCCGCAAATGATGGAGACGAAAGTCAAAAAAAATAAAAAAAAAATAAGAGGTGGTAATAAACACTCACGACCTGAGCTGCCAGCCGCGGCGGGCCTTGGGAGAAGGTTTCTCTCTAACCCCCTAGAGCCCGATCGGCCGGAGGAGGCTGGGAGGAAGAAAGGGTGGGGGGGCGGGGGCGGCTTATCGGGGGGACCGGGCGGCAGAGCGGGCGGGAAAAGGGTTCGATTTTCTACCTACCTAGGCTGATCCGCATGTGACCGAGCGGACGGTCATGTGCTCTCCCGCCCCGTGTCATCCTCTACCCACCTCCCCCAAAACTCCCACTCCCTCTCCCGCTTCCTCGTGGTTCTGCGCCCCTGGGGAGATTAGGACCGCCCACGTGCACCCGACCCCGTGACCGGTGTCTCCGAACCGCAGCGCCGCGCCGCACGTCACCCCATTTCCTCGTGTTTACACTCGTGTTCGCCATGCAAAACCGCCGCGGCGCGGGTCGGGGTTGGGGTTGGGGTTGGGCGCAAAACGTAAACCGGGCATTTGGTAAGGTGGCAATCGAACAAAAGGGGGAGGGGGGGCGGGGGGCTTAACTCCAGGCGGCATCGCGGCTTTAGGGACCTCATTTTCAAACGTCTTGGGTGAGGCTGGGATGGATAGATGAAGAGGAGGAGGAGGAGCCGTCACGACACGGAGACGACCCGGCAGAAAAAAAGGGAGAAGAAAAGAGTTGAAACGCAGACTGTTTAATGCAGAACAAACAAGGAACACGTCACTTGGTCCATTACTTTCGATCCTATCCTATCTACCGTACCGGGGGCGGGAAAGAAAACAGCAGTCGCCATAAGACGACGGAAAATCAAGAAAGGCAAAAAGAACACCGACAGACAGAGAAGAAAAAAACACGCAGATACCGTACGGTCTTGCCCGCTTCGTTGCCCATGTGATTCGCCCCGCTGCCGTTCATGTTCGTCGCAAAATACACGGTGCGCCAGCAAGACACGGCCTACGCAAACACACACACACACACACACACACAAATATGAACGTGCCGAGATGGACTCGTATCCTCCCCTGACGAGCGTCCGGGAGCCGGACCGCTGGATACGTCAACACCGAAAGGTTCCGTCTCGTGCCATGAACAAACGTCGTGAGTCCCATTACAGAAGGTATCTTGTGTTGATTGCGTGTGCGATGCGGAGGTGGAGCTGGAACGATCCAAATCAACACTCGTCTATGCTTAGAACAAGTCTGGAAAGCAGCCGTAGCGGGGGAAGGAGAGAAAAGCAGACGACGCAGCCTTTATCTGAGCCGAATCCGATCCCGACACCTGTGCAGTCTCCCCCCCTCGCCTAACCTGCCAAGCTGTCTCCCCTCCGCCGAGAAAATCCGTAAAATGCCATAGAACACAGGTAAGGAAAAGCGGGCTTCGTGGAAATCAGGGCCGAGCCGCTTAGCAGCAGCCGCCGCCCGAGTTGGAGGAGACGCCATGTCCGGGTCCGACCTGCACGGAGGGTTTCGTGTTGTTCGCGGTCGTGCTGCCCATGCGCTCCTTGATTTGGCGGGCCATGGTCAGGAAGGCCTGCTCGACGTTGCTGGCGTTCTTCGCAGAGGTCTCGAGGAAGGGGATGCCCAAGCTGTCGGCGAACTCCTGCATCGGAAGTCAGTACACCTCATAATATAAAGAACGCGAGGGGGTGGGGGCGTGCTCATCGCCGAGGATGGCGACGGTCGGGGTCCAGCTTACCTTGGCGACGGTGTACTCGACAACCTTCTTGTCGGACATATCGCTCTTGTTGCCGACAAGAAGCTTGTTGACGCCCTCGGTGGCGTATCTGTCAATCTCCTGGAGCCACTGCTTGACGTTGTTGAACGAGTCCATGTCGGTCACATCGTAGACGACGCAGATGCCGTGGGCACCGCGGTAGTAAGAGGAAGTGATGGTGCGGAAACGCTCCTGGCCGGCGGTATCCCACTGCACAAGAAATGACCTGTGTCAGTCTATGCGACAAACGGATATCGTCCAGGAATTCGGCGGCAGGGTTTGAACTTACGATCTGGAGCTTCACCGTCTTTCCGTCGAGCTCTATCGTGCGGATTTTCTGTAGTTCAACGTCAGCAGCCGTTCGATCGGTGTCAGACGGGCGGAGGGGTGGGGGAACATACAAAGTCGACACCGATGGTGGAGATGTAGGACTCGGTGTAGGTGTCGTCGGCGAAACGCAACAGAAGACAAGACTTTCCAACACCGGAGTCACCGATGAGGAGGAGCTTGAAGAGGTAGTCGTACCTGCGGTCGGGTTAGTATCCGGGTCGGAGACGAGCGGGCGGCGTTGGCTTCGTCGTCCTCGCAAGGAAATGGCGATGGCATCGAGAGGGCGGGATGGATGGAGGGGGGACTCTGTGACAGATAGCAGGTCAGCTTGGCGGCGGCTCCCGAGGCTACCGTCGTTTCGAAAGGCAAGAGAGGCAACGTACTACTCGGGGTTCATTGTGAAAGGCTAGGGGAGGGGCTGCGATGAAGGCTTGTAGAGTTGTTATCGTGCGGCGGTCTGGAGGGGGCGCGCGGGGCGATTATATGGGCGTTGGGTGTTGAGAGGTGATGGATTTCGGTGGTGTCGTGATGAGGTGTCGAAAGGAGCAACAAAGCCAGGTCAAGTGAGGTAGGAGAGTCGAACGGAGTACGGCAGGCTGCTACGTCAAGGTTTCTAGCGCGGGAGGGTGTACCGATACCGCCAGCGTCAGTGTGTCGAGTACTTAGCAGTGCCAGTCCAGTCTCTGATTAGTGTGTTTGGTGTCCTGTTCCCAGAAGAAGTCCTGCGTCTAGGTAGCGGCACCACCTGGCGGAAGGGAGCGAACGGGGCCCACCTCCGCCTAGTCAGCCAGGACTCATTGGGTGTGCCGCTGACGAATGAAACCCTTTCAAAGTGGCACGGCGAGCACGGGACCTGGCACGTGACATTGTTGCATGTGGTCTGGACCAACTCTACCTAGGCCTACCTACCAAGGTACCCACCTCAAAGGCAGGCAAGGCATCTGAGCAGGTAAATAGTAGGAACTAAGCTGGCATGAAGCCAGGTATCTATTCAGGCATCGGCTTTCGGCTGCTGTATTATGTAAACAAACTACCCGGGTCCCTACTCGAAGGACAATTGCCTACTAGCATTCCTTGAAACAACTCCGCTAGAAGCCGCGGGCCGCTGTGCAAGTTTCCTTCAAAGGTTGGATCGATTCTGGGTTTCATTGGGTGGTTATAAAAGCATACTTTGTTTTACTGCCCTTTTTACCACGACTTGCACATCTGCTATTTGTCGTGAGACTTGTGCGGAGGCTCTGCATAATACCTCGGTTTATAGTTTGATCTATCCGTAGAGTGCATGGGTTCATTGACATACCCCCACAGCTCGCCCTATCCTGCATACTTCGTTTATTTGGCTCGTGTGGAGCTTCCGGGTTGTAACCTCATCCCAACCAGCGGTCGACTTGAACTTACTCCAGATTCGCAATGTTTGATATAGGGTCGCAGTGTAACCCTGTCGTCTAATCTAGAATCTCAAACCCGTCCTACTGTGCCACACTGGTCCGAGTGAGAGCTGCTGATTCATGGTGACCCAGGTGCAATTGCTGACTGGCATCGCTCGTCCGACATAGAAATGAAACACTGACCATGATCGCCAAGCAGTGTGCATGCGATCGCTGTCAGACTTGCAAAGCTGTCGCTCCCGACAGCCAAGGCTGATTTGTGTCTGGGTAACCCTGGAACACCATTCGTGCAAGCCTTTTTCGCCGGCGCCTCTTTGACCTAAGCAGATTACAAGGCTTCCGAAGACATCCCCGCAGGTGGGTTGAAGGCCTCAGTCATCATCAACCTTTTTCTTGGTGACGGCTTTCAGCCCTGCCATCGTCACAGCGAACTCGACAGCGCCGTCCAGGCCCTGGCCTGTCGCCTTCGTGTGGGGAGCGAAGACTACCTTCATCCACCGACGCCAGTTCTTCAGCGCTGGCACCCCCCGTTCGTCGGCCTCGTCCTCGATATGTCGATGCACTCCATACACGGGCTTTTTGAACAGCACAATGCGGCACGCAATCTGCGTCGACCAGACCAGACCCAGGCTGGGCGTCTTGAGTCCGTAGTCGGCGAATGGATCGTCGCCCCATCCCGTGAACCACCGTTGCTGGTGGTCCAACGCTAGCGCGGGAGGTGCGGGCGGGCCGAGGTCATCCGGACCTGAGGGTTCGGGCATGCTGGACCGGACGTGTTCGGCCATGGACGACGTCGGCTCGACGGCCGAAGGTGAGAAAGCTCTCGGCCCCCTGCTCCGTGACGCCAGCGGACTTTCCTGAGTGGACACGTCGCCGCCGGGGGAGTGCGCCGTCTTAGGGGTCGCCATCGGCACAAGGGGGCTGGAGAATCGGTCTGCCACTTGATTGGCAACCACGACGGCCAGGTTGTACTTCTGGGCCAGCTCTCTAAGCAAGGCCCCGAGCCGTGTCAGCTCGGTGCTGCGGGCTCCCATGTTGGACCCGAGGCTGCTGACATGGCCTCGCTCGAACTCGGCTCGGTAATTGGAGGCCACGGAGTCGAGCACGACGAGCCCGGTGTTGCGGCGCTCGACCTCGACGGGGACCTGGAACTGGAGAATGTGCTCCTGGGATTCAAGATCAGGGGTCGAGGTGCTGGAAATGCCATCCAAAGACGGCCTATCCCCGGGCGGCAGATCCGCAAAGCGAGGATTGGTCGATAACATCTGGGAGAGGCGTACCGTCGACAGCTGTGCTTCCGTTGTGATGTACAAGGCGGGACGGCCCAGGCCGTACGGTGGTGGCAGCTGGACAGCCAAGAGCAGAGACAGCAGAAACTGCGTTTTCCCGACACCGCTCTCGCCCGTGACCTCGGTCACGTAACCGGTCGGAAGCCCTCCCCCCAGGGCTCGGTCAAGGTCATCATCGAGGGTGCTGATTGTGGACCACTGGTTCTCGAGGTCTGTGAGCGAGCGTCTGAGGAACGGGTTGCCGTTTGACGGTTGCCGGTTCGCGGGGTTGAAGTCGCGGTGGAGGGCGTCCACGACCGCCGCGCATAGCCGTTTGATGTCGAGCAGAGGCAGCTGGGTGCGTTTGCCTATTTCGACGACATCCTGGGTCAAAAGGTCGGTGGTGGAAAATTGGTGGCGCTCCAACTTGTGCAACAGCCCAGCAAACTGCCCAACTGGGAAGTCAGGTATGAGCTGGAGCAGGTCGGTCATGGCATGCGAGAGTCGTGCAGCGGCATGGGATAGTCGAAGTGACAAGTTCGGATGAGGTGAGTGAGACGCGATGCGACGCCGCGCCGCGCCGCCGCGTCGAACGCAGCGAGCCGATCCTGCTTGGTGGGACGGGATGCAGGGAATGCTCCTTCTCAACGTAGCATAGTCATTGATCACTCTAGATTGTTGCCCCTGGACAAAGGCGATGTGCGTTGGAATCGATGAAGTCGGCTTGCGTTCAAGTTGTTGATTCGTGCATCACCCCCCCGAACATGGTTTACCGACTGAAGCCACTTGCCGCCCATTGGCAGGAGAAGCTAGTGGAGATCGTGGATCCATCCATGGTCCACATCATTATGTAATACAGGAGGGGAGCGGGAGGAGGTGGGGCGCATCGACGTCCTTCCAGCTTCTTTCAACTGCCTCATTATAATCAGCTCGTGGCGTGCGTATTGGGAGCTGCCGTTCGTTATCAGGCATCGGCGAATCATCAGTATTGACCGCATGGTCTGCGAAGATGCGGACGCTCCGTACACGCCAACTCGCTAAACCCCAGATTGCGCCCTGGCATGTGCAGACGCCAAGCCAAGGACTCCATTCGGATGGTATGCGGCTACACGTACAGATGATGTACAGGCAGAAGCCACTCGCTTGGCAAGATGGCTTCCTCAAGCGCAAGGTGGACCACCTGAAGACAGACGGAACGAGCAGGCGGAATTCCTAGCGGACCCGAACCTGACTGGACTACACTATCGAACACATCTCGTGTCCATGTCAACCTGGCCCAAAAAGCAAGCACGCGCTCGAGGCTGAATTCCGCCTTCAGGCGGCGATCTTGTTTAATCTTGAAGCACCAGAGAGGGCTAGCGTCGTCTCTGGGCGTAAACCACTAACCTTCTCTGGCCTCGGGGGCGCCAGGCTCACACGCCGGATGCTCCCTGGCTGGCACGCTAAGAACGGGAAACCCGACGCTCAACGGCACGGTTTCCCACTTGTCGTGCCCTCGACGCAGTCCTGGGAAGGCCGAAAGAAGTAGCCTCGAGTGCTTTAAGCTTCGCCTTTTCGCCTTCGGTCACGGTCCCAGGCAACAATATTAAGGTCTCTGGACGTGCCCGAGCTGTTCTGCTTCGAGGGAGGGGTCATGATCGACGCAGCAAGGTTACCTCGGTCAGAGACCTCAGGCGGGAACCCTCACCCAACTGGGTGCATTTCTTTCCTGTGTTATGTCTCCGAACGCTCTGAAAGCAACCTTGGCCTCCGGGCTTTGGTCCATCTTTCGGGCAAAGTATGCATGTCAAACAGCCTCTTACTACTCGGGCGTCCTATGATGTTCATCAGCACCTGATGCGCATTCCCCCGAGACCCTTGCCCTCCGTCTTCGTGCTGTCCCCGCGCTTCTCCCTGCTCACCCTAGATTCATGCGGCCTCATGGCTGTCTCTCCTTGCCTTTCCCATCCACACTAAGTCTACTCTTGTCGTTCAGCTCTGGCAAGCCACAATGGGCCCGACTGCGGTATGATTGGGTCCGCGGGACCCTGGATGCTTGACCAACCAATCCCCTCGAGCCGAGCTCATCTGCTGGGCTGAGCGAAGAGCTAGTTCAGGGCTGAGCGACTTGCGGCTTGTCTGTCAAAGTTGACCGAGCATTCGCAGGTCCCTGTTGTGCCTGCACGCCGCGACCATGGCTCGTGCCTATAGAGTGGTGCTTATAGAGTGGTGGAACAACAACAATGGACAGGATGGGGGAACACAGCGGCGGCAGTCTCTGTATAGTGTATAACAATGGCAGCCAGCCTCTCTGCTCTTCGAGCCCTTCCCCCTCCCTTCTCCCTCTAGTCCTGCTTGAATCCTCTCGAGTCGCCCGGCCGCACAACACACCTAATCCACTGTCCAGTCCACTCCGACGAGACCTGAGATGGCGACTTTGTTTCGATATGCCGCCGGCCTGGCGGTCCTGGCAAGTCTCGCCAATGCCACAGTATCGTCCCGGCTGCCCCGGGCCACGACGACGTTCAACTTCCCCCTCGACCAGTTCGCACCGCGGCCGACCAAGGCACCTGTGTACGGGGACCTGAGAAAACGACAGTCGTCGTCGGACGTGACCGTCCTCGTCGCCCCAGACAACACGTGCGGCTACATCTCGGGCCGCGCCGGCGCCGAGTACACCTGCGGCGGCACCGCCACCTGTGCGTTGATGCCCGCCGTCAACTCGAACGTCCTCGGCCGGGTCGCCTGCTGCGGCACCCAAAACTGCAACGCGCCCCGCACGTGTTTCGACTACAAGGACATTTACACGTCAAGCCTCTGCGACAGCGGCTGTCGCGTGGACACGGAAACCCGCAAGTGGTGGGTTCCTCCCCCCTCCCTCCTTCCGCAGCCACAAGGGAAACAAAACCCCCCCGAGAACTGACACTGAGCGCGCAGTACCGAAACGGGGCAGCCGTATTGCCGCACCGTCTCCTTTTCCGACGACATCTACGGCTACTGGTGCGCCTCGGAGGAGAACTCGACTCCCCAGGTCGTCTTGACCACGTACGCCGGCCAGCGGGCCCGGCAATGGTCCGAG